AGCAGCTAACCAGCCATTCGAAACACCATGCACAGCAAGCCATTTGGGAAACGCTCGGAACTTACAAACTCAAACCAACCACATGCAAACCAAAGAAACACAAACGTCCAAATGTCTGTGTCCAAAACTATCAAACCGAGGTCATCATAAAAGGTGCACATACCGGTACACTGATTCGTTTCATCTCCATCTCCACTTGGCAACACCAGCAGCCACAAGATGCAGCCGCCTGCCGCACAGCTCTCGGCCAACCCGCCCACCCACCCGCGCACCTCTCCCGCTCTCAAAACGTCGCGTGGGTCACAACGGCATTCAACGTAGCATCAATCTTAGCACGCTGTTAGCGCCGACGACGTGACAGACACGTAAGCAGCATACAACCGTACTACTGTCGCTGTCGCCGTACAAACGTCAAAACGCGATCAAGCAGCAGAACGGCTCACGTACATACTAGATAGCCTCTCCTTTCGTAACAAGTCAGCCCGCGTAAACTCATGACAAAACCTCCGACAACAACAACTGCAACAACAAACAACGGCGACATAGCCACGAGAAGCAAACCGGTGGCACGACACTACGTTTGTAGACGTACATCTATATAAAGCCCCTCAGTAACAAAAACCCTCCGTCTGCAAACCTTTGCACACCGAAGAGTCAATGCAGCATCGTTGGATCTCTACTACGGAAGGAAAGCTCTGTCAACTACGGAAAGGAAGCTCAGTTGCTGGTAATTAACAGCCGCTTTGTCTTTCCACACAGCACACGTCAACATGCAAAGTGTTGGACTTGTATGCAACAAACGACAACAAACGAACGCCGGAGATCACGATCCACGTAACCCCTCACGCCCTCACGCCCACCATTCAACTCAACCGCTTCCCTCCATACATTAATGTGTGTAATCTCAGCAACCCGGACAAAACTCCTTTTCGTCCGCCGCCTATTCGCGTGCATCCAGGCGTAAATCTCCGCACACCCCTCGTATGACCACCGCTCATCATACGCACTCAACCCCCCATAAATAGCACCCTTGAGCGGCTCCAAAACCGCGATCGGAGATAACAACGGCCCTCGAAACCCTCAACCGTCAATCGCATACATTGCTGATGCGTACCTACATTCCATGCATGAATGACGCACCGGCAGAGCACCTATGATGACCCTCAACCTCAGCCTTTCATCGCCTTCCCGCCAAGCCAAGCCACACACCAGCCACACAAACCTCCTCGTACGTACCCCCAGCACACATCATGCCCACGTGCGCAGTTACGTGTTGTTCCTTTTGAGTCATCGTATGCTCCCCTCTTTGCTAGCTCGGGACTTTCCACGTTACCAGACATATACGTTTACGTCACGCCCCCCCTGTAGCTCACCGCACAAACTCCACATGACAAAACGACAAACCCTGAGGAAAGCATAATGTACACGTACTATTGCTCACCATACTTAAGAAATGCAGACCATGTATGTGTATGCTGCGTCTCTGTCGTACATATGATATCCCGCACCAGAAGGGCACCAGTAGGCGAACAAGCGAAGCGGGTCGTCCTGTCGCGACCCATGGGTCGTAAAAACAAACCACGTGTTAGATGGGCATGGCATGTAACCGGTGACGAAGCAAGTAGCTGACACCATAAGCGCACAATCTACACAAGCCATCAGACCATACATACGCTTCCAATTTCCACACTCAATGCAATCCTAATGATATAGCTACTATTGGTATATGATAGCAGCCCTAGGGCAGGCTTGCTACTATGATACCCTCACAATGGCTCCCTCTTTTGACAACCGGGACGCTTTGAGTAAGTGCACCATCGTTTTCTTGAGGACATGCGTCACTCGCCCACAATCAGCACCTGCCACTTCGCCTCTCCCTTCCCTCGTCAGCAAAGGTACCGGCAACGGGTAACATCCACTCCTCGTGTACTTTGTGTGTGTATGTGTATTGCACTGAACCAATTGCACAACAACAAGATGCGCTTTCACCAACCCTGCTCCGGTGCAATCCCCATTCCCCAACACCCATCCTCAGTCATGCGCCCCCCAGCTGCCACCAAACGAGCTCAGACGCCGTCTCAACCAGCCAACCACACCTCCCAAACCTCCATTCCCTCCGTCGCTGCGCCAGCCAACGCAACCGGCCGGAGTGTGTGGCGTCTCCGCCCCGCCGCCGCGCCCCAACCCGCCAGGCACCTGAGCTGCGGTTGACTGCCGTAAGCAGTCTGCGAGCGCGGTGTCAGCGCTGGTCAGCAGCTCTACCGGCAGCCCTTCTAGCGGGTGCGACGAACAGGGCGGAGGCGGAGGCGGGGGCGGTGCCGCACGAGGTAGCGGCGGAGCCAGCAGCAGCGGCGGAGCTGCGGCTGCTGTACGGCAAGTTGCTGCGTACGGCAAGGAAGGAGATCTAGGAGCACTGCTTTGCAGCAGCCGCTGCTGCTGCTGCTGCCGCTGCTGGGTTGGCGTGGCGGAGGGTGACGCGGACGGGAAGAAGGAGGATGAAGTCGTCGTACCGATAGCCGTACCGATCATTACGTCAGCAGAGCCCGCTGGGAGACGGCTGGAGGCTGCAGCAGCAGCCGCTGGTGCTGCTAGTAGTAGACTGGGAGCTGTGAAAAAAGGAGAGGACGCGGGCGGAGCAAGGTCTTCGCAGGAGACGGGAGCTACGAAAAGCAGCGGTCCGGGCGGTGTCCTTGGAACAAGCGGAGGAGGAGGAGGAGGAGGAGGAAGCGGGAGCTGCGGAGGTAGCGAAAGCGCGGGAGCACAAGGAGCACGAGGAGCAGGAGCAGCAAGGAAGTGTTTCAACAGTGCTTGGACTGCTGCTGAGCCGGCTTGCTGCTGTTGCTTGGAGCAGCTGACGTAGCTGACGGTATCGGAGGTCCCATCGCCGCTGCTGCCGGTGCCGCTACCGCGCGTAATGCCGTTGTTACACGTCGTGAAACCAGACGTACAACATCGCCGTTGGGGCGGCAGACCCTTGGGAGCCGCCGACCCTTCGCAGCCCCCGTTGTTCGAGGCGGGCAACCCGCCAGCGGCCAACGCCGCTGACGCTGACGCGAGTGCCGCCTGGGTTCGGAAAGCGTGATCTGCAGAAGCGGCAGCAGCAGCGGCGGCGGCAGCGGTGCGGGGTCCTTGAAAACGCAGGAGGGAGTGAACCGACGCCTCCGTCGGGGCGTTGGCGCCGCCGCCGACAGCGTAAGGAACTGCGTCCTGATGGCTTGGCGGCGCCGCCGCCGTCATCGCAGCTGCCCATGCAGGATGGTGAACCGCGGGGTGCACCGCCTCTGTCTCCACTAAGACGCGCAGCCGGGACGGCTGCTGGCAGCGAGCCTGTTTTGGCAACTGCAGGAGCTCGGGCGGTTGCGGCGGTTGCTGTGGTTGCGGTTGCTGCTCGTACCAATAACCGACGCAGGTAGCTGCAGTAGCAGTGGCCGATGTGGCGGTAGAAGCAGCCAATATAGTAGCAGCCCGGCTGCCGTTAACGGCGACAGCAGCAGCACCTTCATCTTCACCTTCCTTCTCCTCCTCTTGCTCCTTCTCTGTGCTGTACCTCACACCGCCTTCTCCTTCTCCCTCCTCCTCCTCCTCCTCAGGTACGCCGCTCCCTTCGCTCACGCCAGGACTAAACCCAACAGCCGTCAGGCCACTGCTTGACGCCGCTCCGCAACTCCAATCCGTCTCCGTTTCCTCCTCCTGCTGCTCCGACCACTGCTGGCTGCAAAGCGCTGTGGCAGCGCCCAGGGTGCTCAAGACGGAGCCCCGACGCCGCGGTGGCAGCCACTGGAACGGCTGTACGACAGGCCTTGACGTCGCCCACACCGGCACCGGCACAGGCTCCGCGGCCGTTAGCAGCGGCCCCATGCGGCTTGGGATGGGAACGGCAGGGGCAGGGTACGCAGCAGCGGTGGTGGTGCTGGTAGCGGTGGCGACGAAGGCGGCGGCGGCGCCGCCGCTTGCTCCCCCCGTCGAGGCCTCGCTTGTAGCCCCCAATGCCGCCGCTGCGGCCTGGGATCGCACGGCTGCATGCCGACTGAAGCCTGAGGGGTAGTCCAGCGTAGCAGCCGTTTGGGAAACAGCAGCAGCAGCAGCCTGCCAGGAAGGCAACGAGGACGACGCCGACGGCAGCGGCGCCGTCGCCGACGTCGACAGGGTGTACGGCAGGTCGATGCCGGCTCCCAAATTCACCGGAGAGCAGCGCTGCAGCCGTCCTTGCTGTGCTGGCGGCGGCGGCAGCGAACGTTGAAGCATCGCAGGCGCCACCGCAACGGCTGCCGCAGCAGCAGGACCAACAACAGCATCTGGTGCTGCTGATGATACTGCATGCAGCACCTGTGCGCTGTCGTCATGCAGGGGCGGCAAGTTGTCACGCGGGGCAGCTTCGCTTTGCGGAGGAGGCCCCAGAGTAAGTTTGTTGTTTGGGACGAAGGCAGCAGCAGCAGCAGTAGCAGAGGTTGCAGCTGTCCGGAGGTGAGCCGACGCAATGTCGTCTGGTTGGACCCACACCGATACCGATGTGGGAAGAGGAGAGGGTGGTGGTAGCGGTGGCGGTTGGAGGTGGCAGCTGCCCGCAGGGGTGAAGGCAGTGGATACAGAGGCCTCCGTCTCCGTCTCCTGCTGCAGCTGTGGTTGCTGTTGCTGCTGATGCGGCCCCGTAGCAGCTCCCCGCCAGCAGCAAGAAGCGTCAGCGGGGGAGCCAGCTTCCTCCTCGTCCTCCATGCAAGCCTCCTCCCCTGGAGACATCGTCGCCCTGCTACCGCTGTAACACCTCTCAAGCGCGCTACCCGCCGTGAACAACTGCTCCGCATCAACAAAGTACGGCATCCGCAGCAACTCCTCGGCGGTCGGACGGTCCCGTGGGTCGGTCCTCAAGCACGCCTCCAGCAACTCCAGAAGCGCCTCGTCCAGACGCCCAGCCCTAGCCAAGACCCGCCGCAAGCCCTCACCCACACCCACACAACCCCTTCCTCCCCCTGCTCCTCCTCCTCGCACCCATCCCGACGCCGCCCCACACCGCTCAAACCCGTCGTCTCCTCCGTCCCCCTTCTGCACCCGCTGCTGCTGCTGCAGCGGCTGTGGCTGCAGCGGCTGCTGCATCTTCCGTAGCTGCTGTAGCTGCTGCTGCTGCCTCGTACGGCCGTGTCGTACCACCATGTCGTACGGCAGAGGGCCCAGCAGCTCCTCCACGCGGGCCAGCTGGTCCAGCGAGGAGGAGCCCGGCAGCAGCGGCCGCCCGGTGGCCAGCTCGGCTAGGGTGCAGCCTAGCGACCAGATGTCTGCATGCAGGGGGAGGGAGGAGGGAAGCCGGCGGGACGGCAAAGGCGGGAGAAGATTAGTACCGTTCTGTTGTCTTAAGGCTGTCGATGCAAAGGAATGCACCCTCGAGGAAAGTTCCGGGGATTCATTATGACTTTGAGTTGTTGATGGTTGGCGACAGCTGTAGAGTTGTAGGCTCACTGTCCGCTGACGTAACCCAATCTCCTCCTCTCACCTACAGCCGAGCCGTACGACATGCCCAGCAGCACCTCAGGGGCGCGATACCAGCGTGTGATGACGTAGGGCGTCAGCGGCTCGGCGACCCGTGGGTCAGTGGGCGCCTGCTGGGACGATGGCGATGACGCCATCATTGTGTAGCGCGCAAAACCAAAGTCGCACAGTCGCAGAGTGCCGGCGGAGTCAATGAGGATGTTGGCGGGTTTGACATCTCGATGAACGACCTGAAGGCATGCAAGCAAGGGCAAGCAAGCAGGGGCAAGGGAGTTGAAGGGACACGGGAAGCTGAAGGGACCTCGTGTGGTGCTTCTTGTACCGTGTCGTATCAAGTTAGACAGCGAAATGCATCAGCGTTCCCTAGGCGGCCTTAAAGCCATGTTTGTCAATTATTTTGTTAGGGGCACATCTTCACGCCTGTACGAACTGTATGTCAAGCAGTGTAGGTCAGGACACTCCAGTCCCAAAACAACTTCGCCTTCCTTGTCATCTCCCAGGCATGCACACACGCGCCTCTTGAGCCAACCTGTGCCCACCTGTCTGGCATGCAGGTAGCGCAGTGCTTGCGTCAGTTGGAAGGCCAGTCGTTTGTGCAACGGTTGTGGGACACCGTTGGGGAAACGGCTCTCGAGCAGCTGTTGTGCGGATTTGCCGCCGTAGTCAAAGACCATGCTCACGCGCCCTGTACGGCAAAGAAGTACGATTGGTACAATGTTAGTGAAACGTACCGTACTGCGTGGTACTAGTCATTGCAGGTTTACGGCAAGGGGCAGCGCATGATTTTACATTTTTTCAGGACGTATGCTGGAACAGATGTGGTGGCTGATGGGCATGAAAGCTTCACCGTTTAAGGTTTCCGTCTACTGAAGGGTATGAGATGTGAGCAATTGTAGGTTGGCCACTGTAACTGTCAATCACTTAATTACCAAACCGGGGTGAGTAATATAGCATGAGTGGATACTGAGAACAGATTCAGCAGCTGAGGCGCAAGCGTCAAGGCTTGTGGGCTCGTGGGACTCTTGCGGCAGTCATGTCAGGATTAAGCGTCGTAGCGTAAGGCGCGCACACCTGATGGCGAACGGAATGCAGAGCGAAGCTTGATCACGTTGGGGTGGTCCAGGCTTCCAAGAACTTGCACCTCGCGAAGCGCTATCCGCATTACCTGGATGAAAGGTTACGCAAGATGTGGGGTCGCCAAAAGCAGACATGCACGGCTGTGAACTTGCAATATTCATATGAAATGATGACCTTTGCCATGATCAAGGGACGGCGAAGAATGCAGAAGCCGAGGATTTTAGGATGGAGAGGGCCATGCGAGACAGAAATGGGCTCTTACCTTGTGATCCTTATGTGCGTTCCTCAATGTCTTAAGCGCTACCAGTGTGGAATTGCAAGGACTTTGTCGGCTAGAGCGGTCTACCGGGGCATTGCCAGCTACGCTGCTGCAGTTTTCGCCCAAAAGCATGGCGGCCGCGTGCGAATTGATTTGGCATAGCTGCACATCTCCGTAGCTGCCACAGCCAAGCCATCCACGATGCACAAAAGCCTGCGCCGGGTGCCGTGGGCGCTAACCGAACGAGATAGAATGGCGAAGTTGGCACCATACGAGCTACACGCATTAGCTCATGCGGTTTGACCAATAAAGCCCAATTTACCTCCATTATCTAAAGCACGCGTCCTGACTGCTGGTTTCCCCGAAGGCTCAAGTTGTCCAGCCAGGAGGTGCGTGCCGCGGCAGAGGAGGTCATAAGGAACTTATGATGCCTTAGTACAGCTAAACAGGCCATGGGTAAACTGCGCTGAAGAAAGTCCGCGCTCCTGCAAAGTGGCCGGCAAATATCCCGTTTGTCCTGCAGGAAAATATCAACGGATTCAGTAAGATACGCCGGGTACAACCAAGTCGTTGTAATTCCCTTGTACCGCGTACCTAGTCCTGGCTGCTTGTTAAGATGGTATTACGCTGCGTGCTGCACGTTTTTTGCCGCGCAAGAGTCGTCGTCCCTAGATAGCTAGTTTTGAATCGTGACCTGAAAATAATCTGGGGCAGCACCAGCGGCACATACATACTCGAATGAGGCATCGTAGTAGCGGTGGGTCGATGTCTTACGCTACGCCGTGCAATTAGCTGTTGCCATGAGAGTCAAGCTGTGCGTCCATTCTTTCGTGCTACCTAGCCCGACCTAGCCACTTTTCCCTCCGCCTATTTCAACAGATGGGCGAGCTGCTGCATCTATTCACGACTAGCCAGGTCCAGCAGGGCCGGCGAAATATGGAGAGCACTTGAGCGCAGCAATGGCATGGCGTACTCCCGCATCTCCCGGTGCAGTTGCCCTTCGCCCTGGCTACTGACTTGCTCGGTTGTAGCAATCATGTTGCTGATGCACGTTGCGCAATTTCCATACACGCGCCTAGTCCCCTCCGTCGCGCAGTGTCTTCGCTACAATTCGGCTTACACACACGAAGGTGTCCAGCGAGCCGCATACCCCAAGGCTGCCGAGGGGCCAAGAATGTTTCGTTGATGCCTGCCACCTGATTACCGGTAAGGCGGCTAACCAAGGACCTCTCGCCACCTTCAAGGCTTAAAAGTCGCACCCAACAGACGCTTTCCTAAGCAGTTGTGTGTTGGACCTCCTCCGACCTGCCCAGCAAGGGATGCGTTTGCATCGCAAAGGAATTGCTGATCTGGGCACTTGCCCTATCTCAATAACGAGAAACGGTCCTGCTCTAGATGGCGCACTGCGTACTTGTTACGATTGGAGGGTGGGTGGTTGTGCCTTGGCGTGGCATGGTTGCTTACTACCACCAGTAGCATGGGCGCCAGGAGACTAGGGGCAGCAGCACATGCATGGCCGCGCCCATGGTCTGTGCCCCACATCAGTCCAACATACGTCGTGCAGGAACCAAGGCATAACATGCAAGTTGTGCGAGCTGTGTGCCCTCAAAACAGTGACGCATTCCTCCAGCCTGAGGCACATGTTAGGGTGCTTGGCAACGCTCCCAAGCCGGGTGCATGGGGCTTGCGTTGCTGGAGCGGGGAGGGGCTTGGACCCAGAGCCGCTTAAAGCTTTTAATGACCGATGCGTGTCTAAACGTGGAAGGACAGGCTTCTGACGCGCGTTGGCATGCGGCGTGCTTCTTCCCATGGCCTTGCCCACGGTAAGTCAACCATGACGCTTTCATCAACCGTAGTACGGCACGCGGCAAGGATGCTGGCTTCACGCTAACCAGGTTCCTTCCACAGCGCTGCTGTGCATATTGCATTTACACCAAGTAGTTAAAATAACGATGGACGGAATACTCAAAGTCTTCGGTGGCGCAGGAACTAAAGCGAACCAGAATGCACAGCCTTCATTATTAGCAGATTGGCAGGATTACTCAAACCGAAGCGGCGATGTTGAATCAGGTGGTGCCGCTTCAACCAGCTCTACAGCGGGGCTGTTTCAGTCCGCGGAGCAGGCTGGCACGAAGGTTACCGGATTCCTGACTGAATCACTAAAAACAGTCCAGACTGGAATTACAAGTGGTGTGAGTACAGTCACGAGCGGAGAGGCATTCAGGTGCGCGGGAACTGGCGGATAAGCGCATGCAACAGACGTGCTGACCAGTCCGCGCGAATAATTGCAGCTTACCAACTGGCCAGGCGCTCGTCTACTTCTTCTCATTCTTGGCAGCTGGCGGGGTCTTCCTATTGCTGGCGTTTATGCTATTCCTCCCAGTCATCATCCTGTCACCCTCCAAGTTCGCGCTCAGTTTCACGTTGGGATGCTTAAGCATCATGGCCGGTTTCATCCAGCTCCGAGGTTGGAAGCAGCAGCTGCAGCACATGGCGTCTCCCGAGCGGTTGCCATACACCCTAAGTACGTACGGCCCCCATCCTACCTCCCCTCCCCGCATTCCGCATGTTGGATTCTGCCGACCGGGCAGCCTCGAAAGCTTCCCGTTTGCCAGATACCGTTGCCAACCTTCTCTTCTTGACAATCCAAGCCAACAGCCAGCGACCCAATCCACCCCCAACCCGATTCCCGGCACCCCACAGGCTACGTGGGCAGTGTAGCAGCCACCCTGTACGCGGCACTCGTCATGCGCTCCTACCTGCTTTCGCTGCTCTGCTCGGGACTGCAGGTGCGGCCTTGGGGGACGTTTGGTTGCTGGGGGGAGCTGGGAGGGGGGGAGGTTGTACGGCTGCCATGATGCGATTAGGGTGTGTATCGGTGGCGCCGGGGGTTGTGAGCTTCTTGGGGTTCATATGCGGAGGCATGTACCGGCGCGTACTGCCAGGGCGGGGGCGCGTACTGCCAGGGCAGGGGCACGTACTGCCAGGGCAGGGGCAGGAGGCTGGGTTGCATCCGGGGTGTCGTGCGGTGGCGGCTTCCGGTGCGCCGCAAGAGGGGCTTTCAGCACTGCAGCAAGACTGCAGCATGGCAGCAGTGACCCTAGCTAGCAGCATGGGACAGTCTGGAACACACAGGACCGTGGGGAACCGGCGCCGGGCCAGGGGCGCCGGTGGAGACGGGCTGCGACAGACCCTTCCATGCGTTACTACTCCGCATCACAGGCAGGCCGGACGCTACCCGCGGCGACATTGCCCCACCCCTGTCCCTCCACTCCTGCACATCCACTCCTGTTGCGGACGTTCCACATGCGTGCATGTGCCTATCCTGGCCCCTACGTCCATTACACTGCACCCTACCCCCATGTCGCTCCTTGACACCCCATGTGCCATGTCGTACCCTACCCCCCCCCGCCCCCCAGGTTGTAGCACTGCTGTACTACCTCTTGTCGTATTTCCCTGGCGGCGCCAACGGCGTCAAGTTCATGTTGGGGCTGTTCTACCAGGCTGCCACACGCTGCGCAAGCAGTGTGTACGGCATGGTGTTGAAGTAGGGGTAATGCAGGGGTGCACTAGATACTGATAAACTGAGCCGCGAGGAAGCACTGAAGCAGGGGAGGCGGAGTTGGGGCGGAGAAGGATGGGGGCGGGCTTGTGGGGCACAGGAGGAATGCAGTGTAATGGATGACAGTAGGGCAGGAGGGGATGGTGTGTGGGTGGTGGCGGCCTGGCTGTTGGTGCCGGGCCGGTGTGCATCATGCCCTGACTGCACGGCAGGGTACGGAAAGGACCGTGGTTAAGCAAGTGAGCACGTTGCCTGGTTTGGGACTTGGGGCTTAGATACCGGTAGTGGGAGGGGCGCCATCGGCTGCCTCGCCAGAGGTGCCCAAGTGAACAAAGCCGGTTGCATGCAAACATGCGCGGTGGTGCATAAACGGTACATATTGACGCTGCGGGGGATCTGGCGGAGAGAGCGAAGAGTCAAGTGGGCACATATGGATAGCTTCTTGCTTGATGCTGTTTGATGGCTGGCACCTGCTGGCAGGCGTGGGAGGACGGTCCCTGTTGCCGTCGCTCGATTTAAGCTCCAGCTGATTCGGGTGACTCGACTGCTCGACTCATTGTAGAGCTGAGCAGTATTAGTACACGGCAAACACTTGTTGCTGCTGGCAAAGCCCGTTCATTGCAGTACGTAGCCCCCAAGACATAACAACTGCAGCCGCTGCTTGGGTGTAAGGCCCCGCATCGCGCCGGGGCAACACCCGTGCCGCTTGTAGGCAAGGCATGTAGGGGCACGGGTGAAGATAGAAGCACGGTGGTACAAACGTTGACTGCAAAACTATAATTGAGCGACAAATAGCATCCCACCTTCTTCTCCAAAAAGACCACACTTCACAACCCAATCAAGGGCTGCTCCCCAGCCCAAATCTTTATTCCCTTCAGCTACCAGCCACGATCCACACCATGTCCCCCTCGAGCCGCCCAGACCCCGCATGCATCATCGTGCAGCTCCCTCTCACGCTACCGCTACCCACCAACAATGCACACCCGCACAACATGCCCTCATGCTCACTACCAGGAGCTTTCCTTCGGCTCCTTCCTCTCCTAACCCAGCCGAATTTGTATCAGGGCCCCAATTCAACCACTAACACCCCCTGACGTTCCTACTCTATCACGGTTCTACACGCAGACCCGCCCCTTCCAGCACGATATTCCCTGCTAAAAGATCAACAGCCTGGCTAGTACGACATCCTCCCCACCGCTAAACAAACACATCCTGCCTACCTCCTAACACATCCTAAAAGCCATTGCAAGCTTGTGTAAGCACCCCAAACCCGCTACCCCTGCAGCTGAACGAATGACCATTTGTTGTGGGATGGAATTAACATCCCGGACATCTACCGATGTGCGATCGCTTTTAGCGCACTGTTGCGCTACAACACCATTCCACAGCACTTCCCGCGAACGAAGCAAACACCCCCGTGATGTATCGCCCTGACGGGCCCTGTCAGCCCTGACGGTCTGCACCAAACTAAATACCTAATGGAACAGCCTTGCAAGCTTGGTGGTTAGTAACACCACCGCCACCAGCGTCACAATCAACAGGAACACGCACGCGCCCAGCCGCCAGTTGTTGGACGACTTGAGCAGCTGCCTTACGCGCGCCGTGGCGGCTCGCAGGCGGCTGTGGCTGACCTCCACATCATCCGCCAGGTCGTCAAGCAGCCGGGTCTGCAGGTCCACCTCCTCGCCGATTGCTAGCGCGATGTGCTGGGGAGCATCCGGGTGGGCGGGTTAAGGGGGGGTGAGGTAGGTGGGGAAGAGGGGTGTTAGGAGTGGGTGAGTAGGGGCCGACAGTTAGGGTGGACGGGGAGGGCGTCGGCGTGGCAGCTATGCTAGTCAGCGCTTGCGCCTGCTCCCTCATGGAGGCTCACACTCTCCCACACCCAAAGCTACCTTGCAAGCTTCCCCCTCCCCTTCCCTTCCCTCCACCCCGCCCCTTCCCCACCCAAACCCACCTTGGTGCTGGCCACTGTTTTCTCCATGGCTTCCAGCTCCTCATCCTGCTGCCGCATCACCTGCTGCTGCAGCCCCAGCAGGCCCCGGGTGTCCAGCTGAGCTGTCGCCTCCGTCTCACGGGGCGGCAGGTGACCGCTGCTGCCGCTGGCGCCGCCGAAGAGGGCGTCCCTGCGGTTTCCGGAGAAAAGGCGCGCAGGAGGTAGGACGGGACAGAGGCGCGACGACACAGAAAGTAGTGCAAGAAACCGGAGGAACCTTGGACACGGTGCCAGCTGAAGCCGTTGGTCGTACGTGTGCGTATACGCAGTTACGCACGCATGTACCCATGACCGCATGTGAATGCTTAAACACGCAAACGGCAGATAGCCCTGCGGCTGCAAGGGTCTGCATCAGGGTTCGTGCCCTTACTAGGCTCCTGTCGATCCCGCCTCTCCTGCCGCACGGGCTACTCCCTCTTTCCCCTTTCCCCCCGCCCGTACCGTTCGGCCTGTCCCTGGTTTCGTTTGATCGCCAGCTGCATCTGCTCGCGGCGGTTGCGCAGGTCGTACAGCAGGTCACGGCGGCGGTTGCACTCGGCCTCGGAGCTGGGTTTCGGAGGGTGGAAGAAGGGCGGGAAGGAAGGAAGGAGGGAAGGAGGGAGCAAATTAAGGAGGGGGCGGGTACGAGGAGAAGGGAAGAGGACAAGGGGAGGAATACAGGACCAGCGTGGGGATGTACTGGGAAAAGAGTCAGCATGGCTACGAAGGGAACTTGCAGGAGGCTAGGAGAGGGGTACAGGCTACACGGGCCTAGGGTGCACGGGTGCGAGATGCACAGGCTGGTCAAACGAGAGCGCCGTGAACCGCAAGCAGCAGGAGCATACTCCCTTAGCAGGGGGGCTTACAGGGAGGAGGCGTCTGGGCTGTCTAGCCATCGCAGCAGCCGGTCCGTTGACACACCCAACGTCCCCAGCTTTTTCCGAGCAGCCGCAGATAGCCGCGACGCCTCCGGTCCACCATTTGGATGCCGGAGATTGCGTTCTTGAATTAGTTGGAGCGTTTCCTAAAGCAACACAAACAAGGTTTGTGGATGGCCATTAGGGCGCGAACGGAGCAGCTGAAGGCGTCCGTCCTTGCCTGCGCAAGTTGTTTGCATTCCTCGAACTCTTTTGTCCAGCCATCCGTATCTAGCCGAAATCCTGTGTGTAATGGGATTAGGGCGGGGTTCAGGTGCTGAGCTGACAGGCCGAGCTTGGGACCCGACGCCTAAGACAACTTGCCTGACGGCATTTTTAAAACAAACCGAAGCGTCCGCTTTGGGCTTCTGGCGTGTGGCAGGTTTCCTTGAGAAAAGATGGAGGTGGTTCGCAACGGTCGAGCTTCTCGTGCTTCCACATCAAGGTCGCACTATTCCTTTAGTGTTCGCACCAAACTGCACGTAAATATTATGTTGTAACAGCAGCTTTTTATTTTGTCTGCCATGCATAATCCCAGCCTTCCCAAACGGCCAGGTTGCTGGTCACGCGATGGTGCCATTGGGTCCACAATGCTATAAGCTTAGATCATGCAGGAAGACACGGGTCGAACGGCCTTTACGTTCGCGCCCGTTCTCAGGCACCGCACCAACGATGCTGCCCGGCGCATCACAGCCCTTTCTCTAGATACCGCGGCAGGACGCATTTTTCTCGGCCTTGCTAGCGGCATTATCGAGGAGCATCAGATCGTTTCCAAGCAGCCCCACTTCGATGCTTCCTGTGGCAACTTCGGGCCATCTGCCAATGGCCCGTGGGCGAGCGGCGCCCCCGCCTCCACTCGCCTAGTTGCCGAGAAGCGTGTATCCCGCAAACCAGTCACTGCGCTTGCCTGTCTGCCGACGGCAGCGCGACTGGCTATCGTGTGCGAGGATGGCTCAGCGGCAGTAGCCTCGTACGACACGTGGGTTGTCACAGCCCTGCAAGGTGTCCGTACAGCAACTGCTATGGCTGCGGATCCGGCTCCTGCTGCAGCTACGGCCGCTGCCGTACGGCGGCAGCAAGACAGCTACAGCTCGAGCAGCGGCAGCAGCGGCGTTGCGGGTGGCAACAAGCCGGCTGGCGCCGGTGCTACCGTGACTCCCCCTTCTCCGAAACCCGTGCGCCTCGCAGTTGCAGTAAAAAGCATCTCAACGGCCGCCAAGCTTCTGGTCTATTCCGTTGCTCCGTCCGTTGGTGGTTTCGCAACCACCCAACCTGCCGTACAGCTGCTAGCACAGGTGCCGCTGCCCGAGCCCGTAACTGGCTTGACCTGGGTCGGATCTGGGTTATTCGTACAACATCCCTTGTCGTACAATCTCCTCTTACCGGGCGGTCGTGTAACCCAGATCGCCGAGCATGGGTGCACTCAGCCCAGGATGCTTTCTGCCCCCTGGCTTGGCGGACCCGCGGAAAGCAACAGCAACAGTACGACAACAGAAACATCCTCAGCCGGCGCCGCCGCCATGGCGGCGGCCTCTGCTCGCAGTGCATTGCTCTTCCAAGATTCGTTACTAATCCTAACCGACGGCACAGGCGCCGCCGTTGTGGGATCCGAACCAATAACGGTTTCGGAACCTCCGCTAGCGCTGTGCTCCAGCGGACCCTTCTTGGTCCTGCTGTCGGACGCAGATCAGGGCATTCTCGTGTACGACAGGGCTTCGTCGAAGCTCGTACAGCGGATCTTTTGGGCGCACGATGACCCATGGGTCGCCGCGGCTCGTAGCATTCCGGTGGCAGAGGACGCTGCTGGCGGCGGCGGGGTGGCTGTAGCAACCTCGAATGTGGTCATGATGCTACAGCCGGTTGCTGCGGACATGCAGGTGGGGTTTGTACCGTGTAAATAAATGGGATCCCGTCCAGCTCCCTGACTCCGCTGAACCGCTCTCTCCGCACCTACACCGCCCTCCCACCCTCCATCCCACCCTTCCCCCAGGCTCGCGAGCTCCTCAAGCGGAAGCGCTTCGACGCTGCCCTCGCCCTCATCCGCACCTGCCGGCGAGCTGGCGAGGAGTGGGCGGATGTGGCGCTCGCGCAGGCGGGGTTGCTGCTGCTGCAGGCAAGCAAGGGGGCGGGAGAGACGCGAGCAGCATGGCATGGCTCCAGGGAGCTTCCTGCTACCGGTGTTCGGGGCAATGAGGCACTGACAATGCGGCACGGACGGACTGTCCTATGCACTTATTGGGGACTTGTCAACAATGTCCAAGGCATGTCAACAATGTCCAACGTCGTTCCGCCGCGCTCGCCTGCCTGCCCACGTATGGTCTTTGACCCCCGCCCTCACCCCCTCCCGCCCTCCCGCCCTCACCCCCTCCCGCCCCCAGGAGCTCCGATGCGAGGACGCGCTGGCAGCGCTGGAGGAGGCCGGGCCCGCCACCTTCCAGCCCGCGCAGCTGCTGCCGCTGTTCCCCGCCACCGCCCGCCGCTGGGCCCCGGAGCGGCTGCCAGCCGGGCGGAGCTACTGGGGGCTGCATGGGGGTGGGCTGCAGAGTGAGGGGGGGGAGGGAGAGGGTGGGGGGTTGGAGGGGTTGGACGGGGCAAAGAGGGGAAGAACATGGGAAGGGAAGGGGCAAAGGAGCTGCATGGGGGCGGGCTGCAGAGTGAGGGGGGTATAAATGGGGGGTAAAGATGGGGGTTGGAGGGGGAAGGGGGAGGAGAAGTGGTGAAGGGAAGCGGAAACGGCGAACGGTCAGGAGACGCGGTGGTAGTGCGTCAGCAGGATGAGTAGCGTCCAAGCCTCCCACGCAGGGTGCTATACACACACGCCAGTCTTCTTAACACACGCTCTCTCACGTGTGTGACCCCCCACTTACTTTCGCGCCATTTCTCTCGTTTCCGCTGCGTTCGTCGCTGCTGCCCCCCCCCGCTGACATGCAATAGGTCTGGAACGGCTGTGTGAGGACTTCCTCGAGCTGCGCAACTCCACCGCTAGCAGCCCGCGACCCTCGCCGCCGGGCTCGATACGAGGCGGCGCGCCGCCGTCGCCACCGCCGACTGCCAATGCGAGTGCGGCGACTGCGGCACTGCTTGCGGCGGCGAGTAACGACAACATTCGCCATCACCACCATCACCACTCTCGCCACAATCTCCACCACCACCATCCCCACACGCCAGCTCCCGACCAGCAGCAGCAGCAGTTGGCGGCTGACGGCGGCGGTGGCGGCATGGGGGGCGAGGTGGGGGTGCTGGTGACGGACGCGAAACGACACATCGTGTCGTACCTCCTGCGGGTAAGATCAGGAAACTGGCCGCGAGTCGGAACGTACTGTGATTCCCGTGTGTGATTCGAAGACGCGTAACGGCCGCAAGGGGGGGGGGTGTTTGGAGAACACCCTCCGCTTGTGGCCCTTTCTCCCCATCCAACACCCTGCCTGTGTCCTGCACTCACTTGCGCTCGTTTGGTTACTTTGGTATCTCTTTCTTGGCCCCCACCCATCACCGCCCGCACCCCATCACCACCCCATCACACCTCCCCTCCAACAGACCCGCGGGTCACCCGGCGTCACCTCCCTGGACGCCGTGGACTGCCTGATTGCCCAGCTGCTGCTAGACACCGGGCAGACCGCCGCCCTGGAGGCCTTCCTCGCATCTGCAGCTGGGGCAGGGGCAGGGGGAGCAGGGGCAGGATCAGGAACAGGACCAGGAACAGGAGTAGCAGCTGCTGCTGCTGGTGGTGGTGTGCCGCCGACAGCAACAGCAGCCCCAGTCACAGGACCGTTAGGGGCCGTCTCACGGCTGCTATCACCGCCACCGCAGCAGCCGGCAGCAACAGCAGCAGCCGCAGCAGCAGCAGCACCCGGGGCCGGCAACACCACCTCGTCGGCTCCTGGAACACCACCACCACCTCCCCCCGCGCAGTGTAGCCCCCGCGATCCGGCGCTGGTGGCTAGCCTGGAGGCGGCGGGCAGGTGGCACGCACTAGCGGTGCTCCGGGCGGCGCGGGGGCAGGGGGCGCAGGCGCTGGAGCTGTGGGAGCGGCTGGCGGTGGGGGAGGTGAAGGTGGGTTGGGTGGGATGGGTTGGGTGGGGTGGGTGGGTTGGGTTGGGTGGGTGGGTAGGGGAAAAAAAGAAATTCCAAAGTGTGGTGTGATAATGATATAAGTTGCTGACAATCCCTGGTGGAATGAACCGTGAGTCGAGCCGAAATGGTGGTGAAAGCAAAGCGAGCTAAACTTACCGAACTTACCAATTATGGAGAAACCTTACCATAGGCTTGGGCATGTGTGGAGGCTGCTGAAGGTGAGGTGGAGACCCACCGCGCCGTGGGGCATACGCCAACAGCAGGAACAGCACAACACGAGCACTCATAAAAAACAACACAGACCGACACATGATAAAACACGTACCTAGGTACACAAAGAGGTGTGTACCGGGAAACCACGTGAAGGGCCAGCCGCCATGTCCAGGGACCAATCCAGAGCGAGGCCAGCCAGGGACGAAACATGTGGGAAGGTGGAAAGGAGGAAACGTTGGTAGTAGGACTAGGGAAGGAATAGCGGAGGACGGAAAAGTGCATTGTAATAATAAATGAACCAAAAAGCCTATATCACGCGGGACGGCACTATTGAAAAACGGCGCGGTGGGTATGTATGAAATGGCTGTGAAATGGCAGTGGGAAATGCAGGGGAGTGGGCAGCAATTGTACGAAAACAATGGGCAGTCCGGGAGATGGGAGGACGAGGACGAGGGGCATCCATAGGGGCATAAATAAGGGACATAGCATCGAGCGGATGGGGCCAATGGGTGCAGGGCAAGGACGATAGTAAGGACAACTAGCGGGAGGGTTGTGAGATGACAAGTGGGACCAGGCAAGCAATGGGCGGGGCAACTGGATGGTGACGTAGGGTGCGGTCTGTAGGTAGAACAGATCCCACACTCCCCTACGAAACACGGAGGAGGCTACCGCAGTGTAGCCAACCCTGTGGTGCCGGGTGGGTAGGGGAGGAGGAGGAGGAGGAAGGGTTGAGGTGGGAGATAGGTAGAGGGAGGGACAACCCTACGCACATTTCATCGTCTCCCCCGCCGCTCGCTCTTCCTTTCTCCTTTTCATTACCCTCTGCTTCAATACGCCGTGTCGCCTCACTTACAGTGGCGCTCTTCTTTCCGCCTGTAACCATCCTGTTTGGAATCTGCAGGAAGCGCTGAGCACGGGAGGTGCAGTGGCAGATGCAGCAGCAGCCTTGCTGGCGGAGACAGAGGCAGCTGCTGCTGCTGCTGCAGCCGTTCCCGGTCGTCCTCCGCATCTTAACGCCGCCGCTGCTGTTGGTGAGCCGCCAGCAACAACCTCGCCAGCCTCGTTGGAAGCATCCTCTTCCATCTTCCAACATGACAGTGCGCCGCAAGCATCTACGATGCTTCCAATGCCGCCATCGTCGCAGCACCAGCAACAGCAGCAACAGCAGCAAACAGGCGAAGGAGAAGACACCGCGAATGAGTACGACAGGCTCTGGGCGGCGGCCACGGCGGCGGTGGCGGCCACGTCAGCTGCGGCGCTCATGTGTGCCCCCGACCGCACTCCGCCGCTGCTGTGCCTGTCCAAGCTGCCCTGGCTGCTGCATGCGACATCGGACTGGGTGCGTGTGGGTGTATGACCCGTGGGTCGTCCTCCCTAACCCCCTTCCATGCTGCCGTGCACTCCCCTCGTCATCCTTCACCACCCACCCACCCATTCCCTTTCCGCCTTTGACCGCTGTGACCCCCCGCGCTGCCCTCTACCGCCTGGTTTTGGTATAACTCTGAAAACCCCCCGACTCCCCTCGCAGGCCCTCCATGTGATGCGCAGCCGGCCGCTGCCGGTAGCCGACGTGTTGTCGCTGCTGCAGGGGCGCTCTGACGGCGTGCGATGGCAGTACCTGCACCACCTGGTGTACTGCGGCAGCGGCAGCAGCACCGGCAGCACCGGCAAAAACAGCACCGGCCACAGCAGCAACAGCAACAGCAACAACAACAACAACATCGCCACCACTGCAGCAGCAGCGGCTGACCTGCGGTCAGGAGGTGCCACGCCGGAAAGGGGTGGTGATGAGCCGCATGGAGGTGCCGCGGCTTCTCATTCCCCCTCTTCTTTTTCCGCCTCCCCCGCCCTGCACCGTGACCCCGCCCTTCACACCGAGCTGGCGTTGGAGCTGGTGGAGTGCCTGGGGGCGCTCATGCAGCAGCCGCAGGGAGGTGGGCGGGCGCAAGGAGGTTTCTCGCATCATGAGGAGGGAGGAGGGCAGCAGCAGCAGCAGCAGCAGCAACAGGGGCCGGAGCAGCAGCAGCAGGAACTGCCGCCGGCGTTACCGCCGCTAGTAGCATTGTTGACAAGATACCCCTCGGAAACACCAACAGCTGCTGGAGCCCTGCCAGCCGCTGCCTCTCCGCCGCAGCACCCGCCGCATCGGATAGGTCTGTCCCCCCACCGCATGCTGACCTCCGGAGGCACCGTTGTACTTCCACAAACCACGTACGACAATAACGTACGGCAGCAGCGGTTGAACTCCCAACAGCCGCCGCAGCAGCAGCCCTCATCACTGCTCTTGCCGCCGTCGCAAGGCTCCCACGGTGTCACCGCCGCCGCCGCCACCGCTGCGACCGCTGTGGACGGCGGCGGCGGCGGCGTTCCTGCTACTAGCGAGCTCGCTTGGTTGGCCACCATCGGATCTATACCCGCGGCGGCGGTGGCGCGGCTCCTAAGACTAGCGCTGAGAGGAGCCCTGGCGGCGGCGGGACAAGATCCTTCCGTCGCCAACGTCGCCGCCGCCGCCAACGTCGCTGGCGGCGGCGGTGCAGTTGACGACGGCGGCAGCACCGCCGCCGGCAGCCTTCCGCTGCTCCGTGCGTTATCCCGCGGCGGCGACGGCGCGGGGATTGGTACGGCAGCCGGATTGCGTGCCGTACTGCAGCACCACTTGTACTTCTCTCAGTTGTACGACGCAACTATTGTACTGCAGGTACGAGGTTGTGCTGGTTTGGTTTTCGGAAGTGCTTACAACGCTGTGTTGTCTCTTTCTTGCCTGTTTTGCTGCTTTGCCTGTTTTGCTGTTTGCCTGGTTTGCTGCTTTGGCTATTTTGCTGTTTGCCTGGTTTGCTGCTTTGCCTGTTTTGCTGCTTTGCCTGGTTTGCTGCTTTGGCTATTTTGCTGTTTGCCTGGTTTGCTGCTTTGGCTATTTTGCTGCTTTGCCTGGTTTGCTGCTTTGGCTATTTTGCTGTTTGCCTGGTTTGCTGCTTTGGCTATTTTGCTGTTTGCCTGGTTTGCTGCTTTGGCTATTTTGCTGTTTGCCTGTTACCGTTACTTTTGCAAGGCCGTCGTCCTATCTCTTGTTTCCCCTTCGCATGTCGGCCCTGGCTGAGACTCATAAATTCACTTTGTACCTGATTGTAGCACCATTTGAGCGGCCCCACACCGAGATCCATTGCAGAAAGGCCTGTTGGATGTATACCTGTATCCTTCCCCGATTGAAGGGAACACGGTTACACCTCCCTTTCTCCCACCGCGCGCCCCTACCTTTCCTCCTCACACAGGCCGTACAATCCTGCTCCCCCGACTGCAGCCATCTGCTAGCTCGAGAAGTCGTACAATTGTACTGCCGCCTGTCGGATCACGCGGCGGCGCTTGCCGTACTCGCGCTACAGCTAGGTGACGTGGAGGGCGCCATCTGCTACTGCCGGGCCCGATGCGGCCAGGAGGGCTGGCTGGCCCTGTTGGATCTGTTGCTCAGGTACGGCACGATCAGATCTTAATAACCATCTTAGTATTTCGTATCCATACATTGCTTGCATTCTTTTGGACGACCCCTCGCGGTCTGCTTGCCCCGCACCTGCTCGCTGGATCTGCGTGTGTGTCACTCCCAGGTCATCCCAATCAGGCCATCCACACGTCCCACATCCCCCTGCCACGCCATGTGTCAGGCCGCCCGACGGTCGCGATCCGGACTACTCGGCCGCATGTCGTGTGCTGGCGGCGGAGGGAGCCGCGCTGGCTCCGCTGCAGGTGGGGTTCCAAGGGCGGGAGAGGGGTAACGTGGGTGGGGTGTGTTCGCATGGTGGCGCGAGTTAGAGAGAGGGGCGCGCGGAAGAGGGGGAAAGGATGCTGGGGAAGAGGAACAAACTAACGCACCGTGTGCATGGGAAGGGAAGGCACCGGTAGGTAAGGTAAGCTGCTTGGGGCCGTTGAGGGGGAGGGAGGTCCTGCACTGAACGACAACTCATGCCGACTTGAACGCGGCGCTCTTGCCGCGCATGCAAACCGCCTGCTGCCCTTCCACAGCTGCATGCAACCCCAGCGGTAGTACGGCAGCCCTCAGGCCCTAACCACCCCTACACGCCGCCCGATAGCCCCATCCAGCAACCCCAACCGACCAACCTACAATACGATAGTCAAGCCGCAAACCCTGAAACCCTAAAAAACCCTAAAACCCTGAAACCCTAAAACCTTCAAACCCCAACCCGAACTCCTCGGCTGTCCTATCTTGCCTCCCTCCCCCCTCCTCCGCAGCTGCTGGAGGCCCTGAGTGACAGCATGCCGCTGTATCTGGCGCACAGCACCCTCAGCCGTATGATGGGGGCGCTGCTGCACCGCAGGAGGCAGGGACAGGTGGGGACGAAGGGAGGGGGGCGGGGAGGGAGGGAGGAGCGGGCATGGAGGGAGGCAGGGACAGGTGGGGGCAAAGGGAGGGGGGCGGGGAGGGAGGGAGGAGCGGGCATGGAGGGAGGCAGGGACAGGTGGGGGGCGAAGGGAGGGGAAAGAAGAGACTCCAATGTGGGGTTGAAGGGAGGGGGGGAGAGCGAGGGGGCGGGGAGGGAAAAAGGGAACTGACGAGCAGGGAGGGAGGGTAGGGCGGGCAGGGAGGGAGGACTTATGACAAGTCACACAGCACATGTCTTCTTGCCACCTTGTGTACCTCCTTGCGTTAACAAAACTGGGGTTTATCTGGTGTTGTTTGTTTTATTACCGGAACATTGGCTGTTATTCCGGTGGTGACTACGTTCTTACTTGTTGGCTAACCCGGTTGTGACACCCCTTGTGTCCTTCCTTCCTCCTGCTCGCCCGCTGCTGCCCCCCACCCCCCCAGGTGCTGCGGGCACTGCATAGGGCCCAGAACCTCGCCCTGCGAGCCGAGCTGGCGCAGCTGCAGGTGGGTGGGTGGGTGGGAGGGCGGCAAAGGGGGTTACCAAGGAAAACCCCTTTGGGTCGTAACCACCAGTCCGTTCCCCTGTTACCTGTATCATCGTGACATTGACTCCTCTGTCCCTGTCAACACGCCCTTTCTTGTATGCGCAACCTGCGATAAAGTGTTGCCGCTACTGCCGCCGCTACTGCCGCCGCTGTTGTTGTTGCTGCTTCCGCCGCCGCCGTTCTTGTCACTCGCTGCCGCCTGCTGCTGTTGCCGCTGCCCGCTGCCCGCTGCTGCTGCCGCCCGCTGCTGCTGCCGCAGTCGAGCCGGGTGGTGGTGAGTGATGAGACGCTGTGTCGGGGCTGCCAGCGGCCGCTGGGGAGCAAGGTCTTCTACCGCTACCCCTCGGGTGTGGTGCTGTGCGGCAGGTGGGGGGGGGCGGGGCTGGGCTGGGAGGCAGGTGGGTGGTGGGGGGGGGGCGCGGGGCTGGGCTGGGCGGGGAGGCAGGTGGGTGGTGGTGGTGGGGGGGGCGCGGGGCTGGGCTGGGCGGGGAGGCAGGTGGGTGGTGGTGGGGGGGGGGGCGCGGGGCTGGGCTGGGCGGGGAGGCAGGTGGGTGGTGGTGAGGGGGGGGGGCGGGGCTGGGCGGGGAGGCAGGTTGGGGGGGGGGAAAACTGGGTTGGGCGGGTGCTAGGGAGGCAACTGGCTGGCAACTGGCTTCACGCCGCTTGTGCTGTGAGGCGCTTGTGAGCTTGCTGTCCGTATGCGGCCGCAGGTGCACCCGGCCTGAGGGCGACAGCACCCCCGCACCCGAGTAGGGTCGGCAGCAGCGGCGGCTACTCGGCTTGAGAGAGAGGAGTGAAGTAGCGGCGGCAGCTATTCGGCTTAAGAGAGATAAGAGGAGTGGCCCAGGGGCTGGTGCCGTCAGCAGGTGGTGCCGTTAGCAGGTGGTGCCGTCAGCAGCGGGTGCCGTCAGCAGCGGGTGCCGTCAGCAGCGGGTGCCGTCAGCAGCGGGTGCCGTCAGCAGCGGGTGCCGTCAGCAGCGGGTGCCGTCAGCAGCGGGTGCCGTCAGCAGCGGGTGCCGTCAGCAGCGGGTGCCGTCAGCAGCGGGTGCCGTCAGCAGCGGGTGCCGTCAGCAGCGGGTGCCGTCAGCAGCGGGTGCGGGCAACAGCGGGCTAGCGGCTGGCGGGCAGACCGAAGAGGGGTTGTGGTGGAGCTTTGGTGCTTTCCCGCGCTAAGGTACTAGGGGTTTGGGTAAAGGGTGAGGCGAGGGAAAGAGTTAAGAGACAGTGAGGTGGTGGTGATGTGGAGGCATTGGCTGCCCAGACATCACGGGCCGGGAAGCGGCGAGGAGGAAACGGCGTTAGCTGGGGGCTTGGGAGGCCAGACGAGAGCAGTAGCAGCAGTAGTAGCAGCAGCTGAAGGTAGGAGTGTAGCGTGAAGAATCCATAGAGCATACATGATACATCAAAAGCCTAGCGGTAGGAAAGATACCGGTAGGGGTTTCCCGGTAGGTGTTCGCAGGTTGAGAGAGCCAGAGCTCCCACCGCCACCACCCAGCATTGGTAAAGTGTTAGGAGGCTTGGGACTAGCGAGGAGGCAGCAAGCGGGCTTTGTGGTTTGTGTGGATGCAATGAGGGGTCTGGCAGCGCGGGGCAGCGCGGGGTAGCTGCCCTAGGAGGGAGGGCAGGTCAGGCAGGGTTGAGGCTGCTGGGGCGTGTGGTGTGCGCAGGCTGGTACCGTGTAGGTTTTGACGGCAGACTGGGGCCTTGTTTCGGAGCTTCCGATAGCTCTGCATTAGGATGGCAGTAGCTGCCCATCTGCGTGCCTTTTTGTGAGGAGAAGTGGAGGGGAGAGGAGGATAAGCAGGATAGGCATTGTATGGGGCTCAGGATGATGATGAGGAGCATTGATACAGCTATGTTGGCTATATGTAAGCGGCTTGGTGCAGGCCGGTTCGCACGGGGATGCTGCTTGTTCAGTTGCTTGTGCTCCATGAGAGGTACGGTAGCAGTGTACATCGTAGTCCCCTTGCGACATGGCTGCATAACCGAGGCCTTCATAAACCAAGACATCGTGGCCATTGCCAGGTAACACCCGAGAATGGAGACCGATTTGATCAAGCTACAAACCGTCCGATGAACCTCGAAACAGTTGAGACAGTTGCCCGGGCACTGTTATGGCCCCTCGGTTGGCTCTCTGCCCCCACGTCCCTGGCATCCTTGCAGACACACACACAGCTGCATGCATCCATCTAGCCAGACGGGCCAGGCATATGAAACCCTAACTTCCTACTTTATATAAACAGCACTTGCCGTACGGTCAATGTCAACATCAACTAATAACAGCACTAACCAGCACCGAAACCCCCACACACTTTGATCCCCAACATCAGCGGCCGATGCATATACCGTAAATGATGCTGTTACGTAAATATACGAGTCATGCCTGTGTATGACACACTCTGCCGAAATGTCTCAAGTAAGCTGCATCTTGGCAACTGAGCTGTCTGGTGAGTCCAAAGGGCCCAAGGACCCAACAAGGGAGGACCCGGCCCAGCCTCTTGACCTCACACAAGGAACTACCAACCTGCCCACACGACAATTGAACTGCCGTACCAGCCTAGTAAGCCGGTAGAGCCCTAAGACGCTGCCGGTATAAGTCCCCGGCCCTGCCAACGCGAAATCTGTGTGCATGAAACTGCTCGCCGGAAAATCTATGTGTGTGCATGGCGAGTAGATGCGCCTAGGGTATATGCGTCTTATGTGGTGTAGAAGTAAGGCCGCCCCGCAACTACTCGAGGAGGAAACAAGGAAGAGACGCTAGTAAACCAGCAAGAGCCCAAACCGACCCTGGTTTCGATGAATATGGCACATTCGTATATCACACCGTTCGTATCGCATGAGGAGCAATCCACAAGCAAGCATCCCGTATGTTTTGTATTTCTCAGCTCCTAGAGGCTGCCTGCCAGCGTGCGCCAAGCCACACGCAGCAAGCCAGCAACCCTCACGTCCTGGCACATGTAGCCGCAAGGATGGCAACCACATACGCCCTCAACTCCCTCGCGCCCGATCAACTTCCATGCAGTCAGCGCGGAAGGCTCAAGCTATGGCTAGAGCCTCCAAGTAAACATGCATGGGAGCTCGTGGGCTCCGCCCGTCGGCCCGCGTGAGTCTGGTGGCTCAAGACGTTCGCTTGCTCAGCTCCTTTCTATACTTGACTAAATGGGAGTATATGTATTTTCCGGCTGCGAAGGTAAAGGGAATGGAAAAGAGGCTCTTAGCTTGTGTGCAAAAGCCGGCACCCCTGTAATAAGCGACAAGGCGTGTGCAGAGCGCAAACGGCGCGTGGGGAGCACGATGGCTAGTCATCGACGCCTCGTTGCCCAACGCTGCACACGACAAAGTCCGGCTAACTGCACTCTAGGAAAACGTCAAGTAATTCGCAACCGCGGCGAAAGCTAGGAGAGCCCGAGTATGCGATTATTACAGGCAACCCTCCCAGCAAGCAACTTACTGAAGGCGTCTCGCGCAAATCGCAGGCCATCGCGCCACCGCCAAGAGGTCTTCCGCTGCAACATGTAAATGTTTAGGTACGTTAGGACAATTGGAATCATCGTCGTGGTGAACAAACACCCATACCTTCCCCTCCTCGGTCGACTCCTTGTGGCACCACGTTACGGCGAAGAGCGCGATAGCAGCGCTTATAGCTACTAGCACAAACCGCATTGGACACACCATGGTTCCAACCTCTTCTTTTAGTTACTAGCCAAGGTCGTCTACTGACGGACTTGGCAAAGAAGCATCTACGGGCTGCCTATACAACTTGTATTAGTTGCTCGTATTAAGCATGACTAGCCTGGCAAGTCCCAGAGGTATCGGCAAAGGTTGCTCTCGCTGCTCTAGAGGCTTGTCCTGAGGTGCCTGGCAGCAGTATGACACGTTTAACTAAAGTTACAACGTTGAGCATCCTGCAGGTATACACACCGGGCCACAAGGTGCCTTTCCTAGGAGTGATACTTTTCTTAACCGTCATCTCGTATATTACGGCACATAACGCACGAAACGTCGTCGGACTCGTCGCTATACCACGCAAAGGCCCCTTTGTTAGTCCTGGACAAGCATGTGCTTTCTTCAACAGAAGCTAGCAATGCCTCTTCACCTGCCCTCCTCTTAGTCACTTGGCTGCTCCAGTTGCCTTGCGCGAAGCATGCCTCAGCTGGGCAAGGTGGACAACTATAGAAACATGTAGTCTAACGAAATTGCTTGAGCTCCAATGATTGAAACCGTATACTAACTCGCCCCCCAGACTGACTCGATGATTAATCCAAGGCGTCAGACACACCTGGCTTCGGACACGTACTATTTAATTGCAAAGTGCTTTACCTGCGTCAATGACGTTGCGGATCACCTGGCGCAAAAACGTGCAAAGTAGCCCACACAACACATGGCAGCATGTCCAATATTCGTACTACCCTGAGGCGCAGGTGTAAAGCGCTACTAGCTGATTCTTAGGTAGGGGCTATCTCTGTCGTGTATCTGCCGCCGCAGATACGGTCTCCTGCTGCTGGTTGTGCTCAGGAGCCCACGAGTTCGACACATCAACTACCTCCGTCTCGTTTGCCGACACTACACTCTGCTAGCCACCAGCAGGAGTGTTAGCCGCCGTCGCATTCTCATGGTGCTCAGCAAGCAGCAGGCGACAGCCCTTGTGTCTTGTTCAATGCTGCCCGAACACGTCGTGATTGCAACAACCCTAAGCTCCACCGCGCGTTATGCACACCTACCTCACCCGCTTTAGACTCTCTTCTCTACCCCTACTACCGCACTTTTATACCCTTAATTTCGTATCCACGCTGATGAGGTTCGCCGCCTGAGTGACTTCCTAGGAGACCCGCTTTTTACAAATTCCCATCATCCCAGAAGCATGGGGCCAACCCATCCATCTGCGCAAAACCCACATGCACCTCCGTAGAACGAGAGTACGACATGTAGACCACGTCATGAGCTCATGATACATGGGTGACATGAAATGACAGTTGCTTTGGTTACTTCCTACCCTACAGGCAAGTAACAAGGGGGTTCAGCTTCCTCAAAGCTGGAAAAGGGCGGAGCCCCTCCTCTTCAGTACAGGAGCGTATTATTACCACTGGAATGAATGCGATTACAGGGGAGTGGAACGACTCAATGGGCCTTATAGACCTGGAATGCGCTCCTGTGACTCCACGGCACAAGTAAAATGCCAAAGAGGGTTAACAGCTGCTGCTGCCAACCGTTGAAGGCTTGAAACGGTGTTGCTTACACACGTGCATGCACACGCCACGTTTCCGCGGTCCCAGCCGACGATACGGTTAGTACATGCGGGCCCTGGCCTTCGTTCCCGTCCGTTGCCCCTCAGCACATAACCTCGCTTACAACAACAAACACAACAGAGCTAGCAGCGTCAGGCAGCAGCCATGTATGCAACAGCGCAACACATGATGATGATGAAGATGAAGATGATGATGATCGACATTCGTACATGCACCCTCAACCTACCCGGCTAGCTTCCATCGGCTACCGCGTCCTTACTCCACCCCATGATATCCTCCCCCATGCGGCCTTTCCAGGGACTCTCCTCTTCAGCACTCCTCTGAAGAGGAGTGTGCTAAACTTTCTGAGCGTCCGACCCATGGGTCGGACCCACTGTTCACCCATCATGAAGCATCAACACAACCGACCACAAACCTCCTCCTCAACCCTTCCACCCATGCGGCCTTCCACCCCTCCACCTCCTCCTAACCACCAAACCACTTAACCACAATTTTTTAACCACAAAAGGGTTTTTTTAAAACCCAAACTCCCCTAGCGGGTGCCGCTCTCGGGCGCCCAGCCGTACTCGGTGTCACTCATTCCCTCGGGGGTGCTGGGGTTGGAGAGGGAGGCGGCGCCCGGGCCGCTGCTGCCCGACTGTACGGCACCCGAGCCAGCCTCCGCCGTACGACCCGCCGTACCGCTCTCGGGGGCGGAGGCGGGGGAGGAGGTGTGGCTGGGGACTGTTGGTGCGGTTGGGGAAGGTGGTTGGGGAAGGTGGTTGGGGAAGGTGGTTGGGGAAGGTGGTTGGGGAAGGTGGGGGCGGGTTATTGGGCGGTAGCACTACAGTGTTGCACGACTCATTCACGGAAGTGGTGGACGGGGCCGTGCTACATAGTAGTAGATAATCACTTACAAATGCAAACTACGGTAAGATTACCAGGGAAAAATAGTAGTATCATTATCGTGTGGGGATTCATTAACGCATAGCGCAGTACTAACAACAACTAACAACTCTACCCACACGCACGCACCTCCAACTTCCTCGTGCACCACCGCCCCCTTCTGCTCCAGCTCCTTGCGTGATTCGTGATGGAAGCCTAGATAGGCAACAACCAAACGTGCAGACATGCAGCAGTGGCAGTGCAGAGGCGCGCGATTCATACCGGAAATTATGTCGTACGTGCCTAATACATGCGCCTATATGACGAATGTTCTGTACATCTGCCGTACATTTGTAGCACAATTATCCGTGGATGCAATACATCAGCAGAGAGGAAGCCGCGCAGGAAAAGCAAATGCAAAGGAGGTGGCTAGTACGGATCACAAGCGTAGAAGCTTTATGCCAAGCAGATGCATGCCCTTCGCGTCTTCTTGATTAACGCCTTATCCTCCAACTTTGGTCCTACCTTGTTCCCACAGCAGCAAGCCATCTCCCCTTACTTTCTCAGGAATTCCCACGGATGCAAAGCCCCTTCACACGTAACCGGCACCTCCCTCCCCCTACTCCTACAAAGTGTTCCTGCACACACACACGCATGCAAGCAAGCCTCCCCCCCATTGTTCTGTCCCAACCTGTGGTTTCCTATGGTTCGATATGGTCTTTGACCCCCGTTCCCTCCTACCTTCGCCCAGCCTCCGTCAACTCCCCACACCCCACATCCGGCATCACACACTCCCTCTCCCCGCCCTTTCCCGTTTGTCAACTCCTCTCCTGCCTACTCCACACCCCGTTCCCTGCCCACACACCCCGCGTTCCCGCCCCTCACCTTTCCCCTCCCCAACCAGCATCAGTCCTACACTCAAACCCCAGCATACCTGCTGGCCCCCTCCCATAATAAAACCCTCATGCAACCCTTGCTGGCCCCTCCCACCCCCCCCCCCAGCCACCCACCCGGCTGGCTCTCCTCCTCCACTCCGCTGCCGCCCCCGCCGCCCCCCGGCCCCTGCTGCTGCAGGGAGCTGCCGAACTGCCGCTCGCTGGCGGCCTTGGCAATGGTGTCGCGCAGGGGCGTTTCCTCCTCACCGCCCTCGCCCTGGGGTGGAGGGGGAGGGCGAGAGGGGAGGGCAGGGCAGGAAAGAGTTGTAAAGCTTTCAGGGTCCAAACTTGTTGGGATTGGACGCTGCTGATTGGACGCTGGTAAAGCGCACGGAGGTTCAGTATGCTTTGGGGAGTGACGGAGTTGGCGAGACGTGGCGAGACGGGGTCGACGCTGAGGATTGCTTTTTAACGCAGTGCTGTTGTCAGCAGGTGCGTTTTGTTTGCTGGGCGGCAACTTAGGCAAAATTGATGTCAAGCTGGAAAGGTAACCCAGCTAGCAATTCGGGTGGCGGATGGATGTCGGTGTTCCAATGGGAAAGCACGGCTCGTCACCGCAGGACGCGAGGGTCATCAGCAGGTGAATGTGTTTAACATAAAGCATCGATTAATGAATCTACGAAATAAAGCGCATTCATGAAAATGTCGATTGCCTACATATGCTGGTTACGGCGGGGTAACTCATCTTCATTTGAGTGGTGGATCACCGACATGTAGCTTCCGGAAGCTCACGCATCCGGAACCTATCGGATACGATCCTTTAAATTGCGACGCGCAACGTTCTCGTGGTCACGCACGTTACCTTTCCGGAATACCTCGCCCATAAAAACGCATTATACGCATGAACCAACCATATCCCAACGGCAATTTCACCCACCAAGCGGCCCGACTGGCTCGTGTAGCGCGCCACGAGCAGGCTTGAGCGCAGACCGCCAGGCGCCGGGATGCGACGTGACGAAGGGACAGTGGCCCGCCGGGACGCCAGAGTGACCCGCGGGTCAGCCCTGCTGGCCAGGAGCGCTGTTGTGGACATCATTCTTGTCTAACTTGGCTTGATGCTTTGTGAGCTAGCTCTCTTTAGCTAGGGTTGGGCGTTGTATGTATGTGCGAAAGCTAATTGCTGAAACTTTGGGATTATTGCGTTTAGCGGACGGACCTTCAGATGTCCCGGTGCACGTCGTTGGATGTCGTATTGTGAGTCAGCAGCCATGACATACAGCTCACAGCCCAACGCCATAATAAACGCAAAGTCTTACACGGAGGTTTCAGCGGCAACATTGTGAGATTGTAGCTGCCCGGATATCGATGCTGCGGATTGGCGGAAAGAGGGTCTCTTGTCCTACCTAGGCCGCAGCCGCGCGATTCCAAGTTTCCAACCATACCGCAGCAGGTCATAGTGTGCGGTGTCTTTATTGAGCGTCTCAAAGAAAGTCGAATCCGCAATTCAACCTAGATGTTGATTAAACCCATTTGACGATGCTTGCGTAACGACACTGACGGTGCTTTCGGCCGCGGGAAGCAACTTTACAACAAGCAAGCATGCATGCCTGCTTTCTTGCTTAGCTTGTGGGAAGTAAAGCTCCCCCTCGGCTTTCTAGTGCTCTTATTATTGCAAAGGTTACGTGGCTAGCTAGGACCATGCAAGCTTGTAGCGTGGAGGGCGGGGAATCTACACGAACAACACCATGTTTCTGCTGGCCTGGGCCTGCCGGAATGCGTTTTCTGTAGGCTGGCTGCCAAAGAAACCGCAAAGGTGCCCGCCAAAGTGTGTTGGGTGGTGCCCCCACCACAGCTCGTTACCGGTAGTCGTTTCCGCATTATCGGTACCCCCACTACGGCTGACTTGTGCTGCCAGCAGGGGACGCCTGCGGGTATTTCCATGGCCGAGTAGAGTACGTGGGGAATACGGCATCCTGATCACATAATGTGATCACCACCCGTATTCCCTTTTGGGGAGCCATTGTAACAGCCAGGCATTCAGGGAGATCACGTTAAGGGGTGGCGGTAAGGGTTGAACCGGCATAGTACCCAGCCCGTGGCCTGCCTTGGCATTGTGCCCGCCTTCTAACTCCATCAGGGTATGAGCTTGAACAAGAGCATCAGTCATCAGCGTCAAGTCACATGCACATGAAATTGCGGACAGGCGGCAGGAACTCCTGCCGAAAGGGAGGCTGCGTGGCGATGTGTGCTTGCGCGTGATGGTGCCACGCAAGCAAGCAGTATACGGCACTTTTCGTCGCAACCACCAGAAGTTCGATATTAGCAAATGGTAGCACTAAGCAGTATAGGCTGCATTCCGCTGATCCAGTAATTTACCTATGTCTTGTGGCGCCTGAGCAAAGTTACTGCATGTGCTCTCGCATGGCGCTAGCTAGCTGACCGACTGGTTTGCTTGTCGCTTGGCAATTCACAGGCTTAATGGACACATTTGATGCGAATGCTTTAGGCTCTTCTCAACAAACAGGTCCGGGTGCGGAGCAGGTCCATGGCGAGTCGCTGGGCGAGGCTCGCGGTACCGACTCAGTATTTCCATCGATGAGCCACATGGAAGCTACAGCTGGTGTCTTGCTAGTCAATTCGGGAACACGGGACCCCGCAGCGCGCGTATTTGCGAGGGTAGGTTCTGGTCCATGGGCTAGGGTTCAACCGCTGCGCGTGAGTTTAGCCCCAAAGCGCACGCGATGGCGCGTTATCTTTAGCTTACGTTTGCCTAATATACTTTGCAGCGCTCATTCCAGGATAAGCGTGAAACGGGGAACCGTTCGGCTTGGAAACACAAGCCAGTTAAACGCTGCCCAATAGTTGTAAACATGGTTTTCTTGACCTACGTTTTATACCTAGGTGGCCTCCGTAAGCCAAGGCAGCGATACTGTCGCCCAGGCGGAGCAGGACCCCACGGAGCTCGCGGCCATGAATGTTGCAAAGGAGCGCGGCAACGGACTCTACAGCGCACAGCAGGTAGGGCACTGCGCCCGACTGCTCGAGATATTTAAAAGATATTTAAAATACAATTCGGACATTAAATTGAACCGCTTGATGGTCTTGGCAATGCCCCATTTTTGCTACCCGTATGTATGCCCCAACGTTCCCCTCGCCTCCCAGTATGGTGAAGCGGCTGCGGCTTACACGGAGGCGCTACGGCTAGCTCGCGAGCCGGGTCACGTGGCAGCACTGCTCAGCGAGCGCAGCGCCGCGTACGCCAGGTGCGCTGGCTGGAGTTGTGTGTTGCAGTGTTGCAACAACCACTCCGGGATAGGGAAAAGTACGGCGGTGTCGTCCGAATGTAAGAAACCGAATCTCTCTGCTTGAATAGTTTTCTGCAAAAGTTCAAAACCCATCTGAATGCCCCGAGCGCCATCCCTGCCGGCGGAATGAGGCACGGCGGGACGTTCATCCAGTGCCACGCGTCCGTGCCAGCGGCACGGCCACTGTGGCCATACGTAGCGCTCAGGCGCCGGGGCTTCGTCTCTTCGTCTGGGTTGAGGAGCTTGTCTGATTCGAAGAATACAGACAGGTGTATGACCTATAGAACAGATCCTGTTCAAGTACGGTCATACCTTTAGATCCCTAGGCCGGCTTTATGTACCAAGCACTGGTAGCGATGGTGGGTCCGACGGCACTATCATCTATAATACATCCATCGCCGCCACGCCAACTACCGGTAACGCAGTGCAAAACGACCTATTATAAGACCTTATATTACTTTTAAACTTCCCAATCCCGCAATTCGAAATCAACCGCGAACCCCTGCCTTGCCTTGCCCGCCCCCAAGCACCCTCACCGCCAGCATTCCACCTTGTGCATACCCACCCCCTTTTACCCGCCAGTATTTCTCGCGGCTTAGCTTACCTAACCCCTTACCCCGCCCTTCTTCCCATGAACCGCTAATTGAACGGTTTGCCGCTGCTACCTTCGTTCCTCCATGGACCGTAAACTGTGCCCCGTAAATGCTAGCAACCAGCCGAGTGAAGCTGCTGGACCCCATCAAGTCCAACCCTTACAGGGTTACAGCCCATTACCAAGTACAGGAACTAAGGTTTGGAATTTACGTCCTAACCAGGTTTTGGTGTCCGTAACTACGTCAGACCGCAAAACCGTAAACTGTAAGGTTCCATCCCTAACGGTAACCCTCAGCGGGATGTCCATCCTCTGCTGCTCCCCACCCCCCGCCCCCATGTTGCAACCCATGTTGACGCCTTATCCCTCAGTCAGTTAGTTGTTTCCTCTTTCCCCCCCCCCCCCCCCGCCCCCGCAGCCTGAGTCGCTCCTACCTTCAGCGCCCCGCCCGCCGCAGCGAGGGTGCCGCGCTGTTCGACCTGGACCCCGCCTGCCTGGCGCAGATGGCGCTGCGGGATGCGGAGCGGGCGGTGCGGCTGAGGCCGGAGTGGGGGGAGGCGCATGGCAGGAAGGTGCGGGGGGGGGAGGCGCATGGCAGGAAGGTGCGGGGGGGGGAGGCGCATGGCAGGAAGGTGCGGGGGGGGGGGGGAGGCGCATGGCAGGAAGGTGCGGGGGGGGGAGGCGCATGGCAGGAAGGTGCGGGGGGGGGGAGGGGAGGCGCATGGCAGGAAGGTGCGGGGGGGGGAGGCGCATGGCAGGAAGGTGCGGGGGGGGGAGGCGCATGGCAGGAAGGTGCGGGGGGGGGGGGAGGCGCATGGCAGGAAGGTGCGGGGGGGGGGGAGGCGCATGGCAGGAAGGTGCGGGGGGGGGGGGAGGCGCATGGCAGGAAGGTGCGGGGGGGGGGAGGCGCATGGCAGGAAGGTGCGGGGGGGGGGAGGCGCATGGCAGGAAGGTGCGGGGGGGGGGGAGGCGCATGGCAGGAAGGTGCGGGGGGGGGGAGGCGCATGGCAGGAAGGTGCGGGGGGGGGGGAGGCGCATGGCAGGAAGGTGCGGGGGGGGGGGAGGCGCATGGCAGGAAGGTGCGGGGGGGGGGAGGCGCATGGCAGGAAGGTGCGGGGGGGGGGAGGCGCATGGCAGGAAGGTGCGGGGGGGGGAGGCGCATGGCAGGAAGGTGCGGGGGGGGGGGAGGCGCATGGCAGGAAGGTGCGGGGGGAGGCGCATGGCAGGAAGGTGCGGGGGGGGGAGGCAGGAAGGTGCGGGGGGGGGGAGGCGCATGGCAGGAAGGTGCGGGGGGAGGCGCATGGCAGGAAGGTGCGGGGGGGGGAGGCGCATGGCAGGAAGGTGCGGGGGGGGGGAGGCGCATGGCAGGAAGGTGCGGGGGGTAAAATGATTAAGGAGACTGACGAGGGAACTAGCGAGCTGTGTGATAAGAAAACTGGCCGCGATGTGTGTGTAGTTGATGTGTGTGTGTGTGGGGGGGGGGGGGGGTGTAATGAGGGAGAAGGCAAGTTCTCTCGACGAAGTTCTCTCGACGAACATTTCCTCATGGCACTGCCATGCTGCTTACCTATCTATCTACCTACCCACCAGTACCTTCATGCCTCTTTGAAGCCTTTGTAAGCAACCCCAACACGCACAGGAGGTTCACCCACGCACCTCCTCCAACCCCCTCTGCACATCCCACTATCCACACCGCTCCCCTCCCCCCCCCCTCGTCATCCAGTTCGTCAGTTTTCCTTATTTTTACCCCCCCCCCTCCCCCCTCCCCTCCCCCCCTGCCAGGCCGACGCGCTTTTCCTGCTGGAGCGCTACTACGAGGCGCGGGAGGCGTACCTGTCGGGGCTGGAGCGGGAGCCGACCCACGGGTCACTACAGGTGGGTGGGTGGGAAGGTGGCACACCCCCCCACACACACCCCCACACACAGTTCACTGTTTCCCCGCGGCTTTGGTAATGAACCTGAACCACATGCCCTTTCACACATGCCCTTTCACACATGCCCTTTCTACACAAACACCTCATTTGCAATGCAATGACGTGATGTCCACCTTCATTCGCACCTTCAACACTGCAGGTCATCACAACCATGTACCCTCATCCTAACCCCGCCTCCCCACCACACCACACCACACCACACCACAGCCCCTCAGTTGTTTCCTATTTACCCTCCCCTTCCCTCAACTGCTCCCTCCCCTCGCATGCCCTCAGGCGGGCTTGCGTCAGGTGCACGAACTCCTGTCCGGCTACCCATCCGACCCCACCTCCACCTCTCCCGCCGCCGCCGCCGCCTCCCCTCCCAGCGTCTCCCCTCCCAACGGCATCAGCTGCCCCAACCCTGCAACCCCCAACACCATCACCACCCCCAAGCGCCGGCGCATGATAGCGGTGATGGCGGCGGCTGCTGACGCTCCTCAAGGCCAGCAGCAGCAGCAGCAGGCGATGTTGGAGGAGTGGGACTGCGGGCTGTGCTGCGGGTTACTGTACAACCCCGTCACCACCCCCTGCGGTCACAGCTTCTGCCGGGGCTGTCTGGCCCGGGCACTCGACCACCAGTCGCGTTGCCCCTACTGCAGGACGGTAAGGGCTGAGGGGGTTAGGTAAACTGAGCCGCGGAAACACTGACCCTGACCGTAGTGCACCGGAAATTGCTTGATGGCGTCCCGGTTGTCGAATTATTGTCATCAGCGTCGTAGGTGGGGGGAGGGTGAAAACACGGAAACTGACGAACTGTATGACGGGGCTTGAGGGTGGGTGGAGTGGAGGTGCGGAGTGAGGGGCTGCGTGAGGGAGTCATGAACCACCAGGTAGAAGCACCCGAATGCCCGAACTGCCATTGCCATCCGCTGCGGGAGTCACAGATAGAGCACAGGTTGCTTTCTAACCCAACTTGTTCTGATCGAACCCGGTGCGGGTGCGTGTGGAGGGGAGGGGAAGAGGAAGAGAAATACAACTTTTACGTTCCCAACACCGGGGGGGGGCATGCCCGGACCAACCTACTCACCCCTCTGTCCCCACTCCCTTCCTCCCCTCACCCCTTCTTCCTCCCGCCCCGCAGGTTCTCCACATGTCGTGCGGCGCCCCGCTGCACCTCTCCGTCACCCTGGCCGCCCTGCTGGCCCGCGCCTTCCCCGAGGAGTACCAACAGCGGCGGCGGGAGGAGGAGGGGGAGGAGCAGGAGGAGCAGGAGCAGGAGGGAATGGGGATGGCGACATTCGGGACGACGCAGCGGGATACAGCGGCCGCAGCAGCTGGGGGTAATGGCGCCGCAGCCGTACCAGCCACCCCTGCGGGTCCCAACCCTGTTGCTGCTGCTGCTGCTTCTCCCGCCCAACCAACCAACCCACCTTCCAACAACGCGCTGCTTTCCCCAACGCCGCCGCCCTCCTCCTCGCCGCCCTCCTCCTCCTCGCCCTCCGCGCTGCTCCCCCTGTTTGTGATGTCCCTGGTGATGCCGGGGGAGGGTCTGGCGCTCAACATCTTCGAGCCGCGCTACCGGCTGCTGGTACGGCGCTGCATGGAGGGGGGCAGGCGGCTGGGGCTGGCGCAGGTGTGTATGGTGGTGGGGGGGGGGAGCTGGATGAGGAAGGTGGTGGGAATGGGAGGTCGGGTCCCTACTGTCGCTCGCTCGCGCTCTGTCCTCTCCTCTGTCTCCCTCCTCTATCTCTCCCCTCTCTTCCATCTCTCCCCTCACCCTTCTCTCTTTACCCTTCTCTTCCCTCATCTCTCTTCCCCCTCTCCTATCTCTCCCCGCTCTTCTCTCCCCGCTCTTCTCTCTCCTCTCTTCATCCCTCTCTTCACCCCTCGCTTCACCCCTCTCTTCACCCCCCCTTTCAACCCCCTCCTGCCTGCCTGCCCCAGGCCCGGCGGGACCGGCAAGGGGTGGAGGAGGTGGCGGTGGAGGCGGAGATCCTGGAGTGTCAGCCGCAGCCCGACGGGTGAGGAGCGTGGGGGGGGGGATTATATAATAAATGCAAACAACCAAGATGGGGGTTCCGTCGATGGCAATCTACCCAGCTAATGCATTGTGTTGGGACCTGAGGTAGCCTGGAGGTGGTGGTGGTGGTGGTGGTGTGACGTGCCGCTCTGGTGCCAACCCTCCGAGAACCCCCTCCTTCTAACAAGTAAGAGTCTGCCCACTTCCAACCTCCCTTGTCCTTGTTCCCTCCCCCCCCCCCGTCATCACACGGTCAGTTGGTTGCTTCCTCTTTATCTCCCTCCCTCCCTTCCCACCCCCCCTCCTTCCCTCCCTCCCTCCCCTCCCCTCCCCCGCAGTCGCTACTATCTGGAGGTGGTGGGGCGGCGGCGGGTGGCGGTGGGGGCGCTGGGGGAGCTGGACGGGTACCGGGTGGCTCGGTGCATGGAGATGAGGGTGAGGGGGGTGGGGAGGGGGGTGGCTGCTTCCCTCCGCGTGTGCGCAGTCTGAATACTCCCATGCCGCGCCCCGCCCCCCGCCCCCCACATCTCCAGCTGTTACCGGTACCTCCCTCCCTCCTACACGGGATATGGGATATCCTCCTCGGGATATGGGATTGGGACTTAGTTGTTTGCATTTCTTATATAATTTTCCCTCCTACACAAGGATCCGACGCATGGCTGCTCCCTTCTTTCCCTCCAATTCCTCACATGGACAGGACGAGGTCCCCGCCCCCGGCAGTCCCGAGGCGCTGCGGGTTTCGGAGCTGGCGGAGCGGTTGGAGACTCAGTTGGATGCCGTACTGGCACGGTTACGGCAGTTGGCAACAGGAGGGGGAGGGGGAGGGGGGTACGGTGGAGGGCGGTTGGCTGCGCATGCTCGGGCGGTGTTGGGGGGAGTGGGTGCGGAGCGGCCGCCGAGGGAGGCGGTGGAGCGGTGGAGTATGTGGGCGGTGAGTGGGGGTGCGGGGGGGGGGGTGTCAAAAGACCGAACCATAGAAAGCCACAGGTTAGGGCAAAGGGTGAGTGAGTGTGTTTCCTGCTGCTACCCCACTCCTCTCCCCCCCTGGTGTAACAACGGTCCTGAAAAGGCCTCCTAGGATGCTGTGCAGCCGTAATTAACGGTAATTGTAGCACCCTCGCTACGCCCTGGCCCCCGACTTCCCCCTTCCCATGCACACTCTGGGTTCTCCATTGTGTTGTCACTCACCGCACATGAGTCGGGCCATGAGATTAAGACTCCAGCCCTCCACTCCTCCTTCTGCCCCCCTCCCCACCCCACCCCTCTTATCCCCATTGCTTTGCCCTGACCTGTGGGTCCGGTATATCTTTGACACACCCACCTCCACCTTCTCCCCCCTCCCCCAGGCCTCCCTGCTCTGCCAGCTGCTCCCCGAGTTGGACCGCCTGCCCCTCCTGCTCACCCGGGACACGGGGGAGCGGCTGGGCAGGTTGTGGGCGGCGGTGGAGGCGAGGAGGGTGGTGGAGATTGGGGCAGACGCAGCAGCAGGGGCAGGAGGAGGGGCAGGAGGAGGGGCGGCGTGTGTGGTGATGTGAAGCAAAACAGAGCGGAGCGTGGTTGGTGGGTGACGGTTGGTGGGTAGAGTTGTGGGACACAGGGGCTGCTCGTTGTTGCTGTCATGCATGCTGTTGGTTAGCTGAGTGTGTCGTACTGTCGTACAGTTGCGAGCACAACAACACACGCCGTTAGTTGTTGTGCGCAAGAGGGGCGGGGGCGGGGGCAGCATTAACGACGTGGTAAGGTATTGGTGGAGTTATCGTGGGGAGAAGGGGCCGACCTGCGTTGGCTGGCTGCGTTCATTGCTGTTATTGTGGATTGGCGCTCATGTAATGATGTACTGGGTATTGTGTCATGACAGTCAATGACGCCGGACGCCTGGCACCCGATATCGTAAAGTAACCAAGGAACTGCGAATGGCTCATTAAGATAGTTATAGTCCAGCCAGCAGTATCGACAGTTCACACGAACTCAGTAAACGCAGTAATCGTACCGCCAAGCGATGTGTGGGGAGGAGGGGGGCCGAGGAGAGGGGGGTGGCTATGACTGTACTACTGTAAGCGGCGCCGCTCGGCGCTACCCCACCAGGTGGTTCAAGAGCTGTAGTCCAATTGTGTACCTACGTAGTGCCGTACCTCTCCATGTAGGTCACCGTACGATCCACTTAACTCGTACAATGGTGGGTGCCCGGCAGTAAGGGCGGCAACAGCCCCCCCCTCACAGCTCAGTTACAATACCGTTACCCTCTCGGTGCGGTATCCACCCCACCTTGCCAGCTCCAAAACGGCACAGCAGGGGGATCTGCCCCTCACACCCTACTAGCTCCCACTCAGACATCAGTGCTTACTCATCGTTCTCTACCACAGCCTCTGCACCCCAGGCCTACTCCCGATAATGCCTATACCCCTAGCGCCCTCGTACACAACTATTCGCTCCAACCGGTACTGCAAGCGCTCGCTTTTCCCCACCAGTCTCCTCCTCTCCAGCCCCACCTGCTGTCGATGCTACCGCTGCCCCTCCCCCTCCTCCTCCCCTTTACATCCTCCCGACCGATGCCGCTTCGCACTCCGCTCCTCCTCCCCTCCCGCCTCCTCCCCCTCCTCCTCCTTCACCGTACCTCCATCCACCCCCACCTCATCCCCCCCTTCACCTGCATGCCTGCTGCTCCCTTCAACCGCCCCACATGCGCCCTTCGCCCTCACACCCACCGCCCCCAACCCCGCCCCCGTGCCTACCACCCCCGCTCCCACACCTCCCCCCACCACCACCTCCTCGGGTATCCCCGGCAACAGCACCTCGTTAATCCGCACCAGCAGCGGTCGCAGCTCCTCCTCCGCTGCCGCCGCCTCAGCAGCTGCCGCCTCAGCCGCCAGCGCCGCCTTGCTCTTGGGCTTCGTGCGAGGAGGCCGGCCGCCAGCTGGGGCAGCAGCAGGAGGCGGCGCGGCAGGTACCTCACCCTCTTCAGTACCCTCAGCCGAAGTACTGGTAGGTAAGTTGGTCGCGGCGGGAGTAGGAGCGGCAGCAGCCGCAGCAGCAGCCGCAGCGGCGGCGGCGGCGGCCTTGGCAGCAGCGGCAGCATTAGCGGCGGCTCCCGCCGCTGCTGTCTCTGTGAGCAACCGCAGTTTGGGTTTGTGTCGCATGACGGCCTTCTGCTCCGCCTTGCTCAGCCGCCCGCTGTCACCGCAGCCGCCTGGGGGGGGAGGGAGGGGAGGAGGGAATGGGTGGGGTGGGTGGATGGAAGGGTGGAAGGGATTGGAAACAAGATGAGAGGGAAGTTTCGGTAAGAGAAAGTCGGGGAAGGCAGTTGGGGTGTTCTGGGCTAACGAATGGGAAAGCCCCCTCCACGTGCCCCTCCCCTACCCCACCTACCCCTCTGCCCCCATCCTCTTACCCTAGAACCTTATTGCTTTGCGCTAACATGTGGTTTAGCCCCCACGCACCCACCCCTGTGCTTGACTTCTCACTTATTGTTTCCCCTCTCCCAACCCCTCCTCCCCTCCCCTCCCCTCCGAGCGGATTCTGTTTCCATATTAATCCCCTCCCCTCCCCTCCTTCCTCCCCCCCTCCCACCCTCGTGTTGAGGCTTGTCCAGCTCCTGCATCAGCTCCTCCACCACCTCCTCCGCCCCACGACCCTCCACATCCACCCACTTGTACATGGGGTCATCCCTAAGAGGAGGGGAGAGGGGGAGTGGAAAGGGGCACAGATAACGGTGTACATAAGAAGAAGCATGGGATGGGGTGGGAGGGGGGAAGTATTGGAGAAGAAATCCGAGTTCCCAGTAATAACGGTACTAACGGCAACCCAACCCGCAGGCAGCGCTTGTCCCGCACCCCCTCCCCTCCCCCCACTTCACCCACACCTGAACCACGTCATCTGCGCCCGAACCAGCTTGTGAGTGGCCTGGCAGATGGCGGCATGCAGCGCGCACAGCTCCGGCAGACCCACGGGTCGCCCAGCCGCCCGGGACCCCACCAGCCACTCCATGGCCTGGCGGTAGCCTGGGGGGGGCAGGAGGGGGGGGCAGGTGGGGGGGAGAGGGGGGGGCAGGTGGCGGGGGTAAAACGAGGAAACCGACGAGCTGTAAGGCGAGGCTTCACCATGGGTTGCTAACAAAACCCGGCCCAGCCCAGCGGCAGGTGGGGGGGTGGGGGGGCAGGAGGAGGGTGAGGGAGGGGAAGAGGTAGTGGGAAAACACAAGAGGAGCTCAGCAGGGTGCGGACCCTTGCCGGCCGCGTTGTCGTCCGTGACCCTTCCAGCAACCTCAACAGCAAAGGTGCAACAGCAGCAGTTGCAGGGGCTACTACCTAAAAACGTAGGGGGCCAAAGGCAAGTCAGGAATCCCTCCTCCTCATCTGCCGCTTCCCTCCCTTCCTCCCTCCCTCCCCCCCCCTCTCACCAATCGCCTTGCTTGCCATGTTCTGCCCGGGCCTTATCCCCGCCCGCAGCAGCCCCGCCGCCTCCTCCAGCAGCCCCCCGCCTACCACCATCTCCTCCACTCGGGCTGCGATGCGGTCGTACAGCGCTGGTCGGGGGCGGTGCAGGAAGAAACACCTGGGGGCAGGGGGGGGATCCGGGGAAGGGGGTGGTGGTGGTCAAAGATCATACCGAAGGAAGCCACAGGTTAGGGCAGATCAAAGGGGGTAGGAGACGGCAGGGTGCCACAATACAGAGTGTTGGTCAGTATTCTTGGGGCAAAGGGGGGGGGGGAGAAGAAGAAGACCCATGCATGGGGGACATGGGGGAAGGGGGAAAGGAAGCAACAACCCCGGGATTGATGAGACCGCACAAGTTAGGGCGACACATGAGGTGAGTGTGTCAGAGTGAGGGGGCATGATGATGGCATGAGAAAGTTGGGGGAGTGCAGCGGAAGGCGGGGGGTGGGGCTGCTGCTGCTGGTGGTGGTGGTGATGGGGAAGGGGAGGGGACCTCTATACCCCATCTGCATACATAGGGCAGCCAAGAACCTACCTGAAATCATAGTCCAGCTCCTGCTGCTGCCCTGCTGCACCTCCTCCCCCCGCTGCCCCTCCCGCTCCTCCCCCCGCTGCCCCTCCTCCCGGCTCAAAGTCCGCCAGCTTGCTGCCCGGGTGCATGTGCAGGATGGCCAGCGCCCGCTCCAATCGGTAGTAGTTGTTGCGCTCGACACGGATCCTGCACCAGGGGGGGAGCAGGAGGAGGAGGGTGTAGACCCCGCACGATACGCTGCCCCCCCTCCTTTTCCCTATTCGCTTTGCCGTTGCCCCGTGTAGCATGGCCCCTCTTGATGGCACTCGGTAGTCGGCACTCGCTGTCACCCCCTTACCCCCTCGTCAGTTTCCTCTTTTTACCCCCTCTTTGCCCCAACCCCTCTTCCTCTCCCCCTCCCCCCTCCCCCCCCCTAGCCCCCTCCTCACCTCTCATACGCCGCCTCGTCCCCCCAGCGCCTCAGCAGCTCCGCAGCCGCCTCCCACCGCTCAGTCTCACTCAGACCTCCTGCCCCAGCCGCCTCCTCCTCCTCCTTCGCTCCCACCCCCTCCTGCTCCTTCGCTCCCACTCCCTCCTCTCCCTTCCTCTCCTCCTCGTCCCTTCCCTCCACCCTCCCCTCCTCCCTCTTCTCCTCCTCCCGCTGCGCCCACGCCGCCCGAATGGCTGCCGTCACCGCCGCCGCCGCCTCCGGAGTGGCCCGCGGCGCCCCGCCCCGCCCCACCACCAGCCAGCGCAGGTAGAGTCCCGTGCCGCCCACCACCACCGGCACACCGCCGCGCTGGGGGGGGGGGAAAGGGGGGAGGGTGAGGGTGAGGGGAGGCGGCTGGGAGGGGGTGGGAGAAGGGCGAAGGAGGTGCTGGAGGCAAAAAGGAGTGAACAACCAAGTTGCTTCACAATGCTAGCCGCCCTAACTCCCCACACGCCAATGCCCCCCCCACCCCGCCCCGGCCCTCCACCCGAATGATGTCCTAAACACCCCAGCTCCCCCCCTACCCCCCCCCCACCCGTACGATGTCCTCCCCACCCCCCACCCACCCCCCTCCCCCCCCCACCCGTACGATGTCCTCCACCGCGGGTCGCGCCTCCTCACAGAACTCCCCCGCCGAGAAGTCCTGATGCGGCTGGCGGATGTCGATCAGGTGGTGCGGGATGCCGCGACGCTGGGAGGGAGGCAGCTGGGGGGGGGGAGGAAGGGGGTGGTGAGAAGGGAGGGTGGTGAGAGGGAGGGCGGTGATTGTGCGGTCCAGCGCTCCCGTCTTCTTTCCTGCCTTCCCCATGTCCTCCTGCCTCAACCCCCCTCCTCCTTTCTCACTCATCACATAGGGGTTTATACTTTTCCCCGCCTCCCCCCTCCCCCCCCCTCCCCCCCCCTCCCCCCGCCTCCCCCCCCTCCCCCTCACCTTATCCGAGCCCACATCCAGTCCCCGGTACACTTGCACACTGTCCGCACTGATCACCTCGCCGCCGCCACCTCCTCCGCCACCACTGCAGCAGCAGCCCCCGCCACCCTCTCCTCCTGCTGCTGCTACTCCTGCGTCTGCCCCATCTGCCCCCGGCTCCTCCTCCGACTCTGCTCCCTCTGCTGCTTCCCTTGCTGCTCTTGCCCATGCCGTCCCGCTGGCTTCCCTGCCCCCACCCGCTGCTCCCCCACCCGCTGCCCCCCGCCCCCTCAGCCGCTCCGCCAGCAGCAGGCTGATGGCGGTCTTACCCACCGCAGTGGGGCCGGTCAGGATGATGACCTGGGGGGGGCCGGGAGAGGGGGGCAGGGGGGGTCAGAGAGGGAGGAGGGAGGAGGGAAGGGAGGGAGGGAGGGGGGGAGAGAGGCAGGAGGGGAGAGGAAGGGGAGGCTGGAGGAAAGGGAGGGGAGAGGAAGGGGAGGCGGGAGGGAAGGGAGGGGGGAGGCGAAAGAAGGCGGGCGCGTCATCCCACCTGCGGTTTGCGGGACCTGTCTGCTGGTGCCTCAGGGTGCTGCTGGGGGGGTGCATGCTGGAGGGGAGCGGCAGCAGCAGCTGTAGCGGTGGAGGTGGAGGGGTTGGAGGTGGTGTGGGAAGGGGCTGCTGCGGCTGCGGCTGTGCTTTTGGGGGGCGGCTGAGGCTGGGTCCTGGGGGCAGGTGCTGGTTCTGGGGCTAGCTCTTGATGCTGCTGTTGTGGTTGTGGTTGTTGTTCAGAAGAGCCCTGATCGTGACCTTGTGGGTGGTGTTGGGCTTGCTGCTGGCCTTGATCAGGTTGCTGGTCAGGAGTTACCGTAACCATGGTACGGCAGGGAACAGCTTGTACTGCAAACTTGCTTTTAGGGCGAGCGTCGAGGAAAGGGATGTTGGGCTGGCAGGCGGTGATGCTAACGAAGCCCAAGTGCAGCTTGCCAGCGCCGGCGTTCCGTTTGGATGTAAGTGCTTGCAGGTTAGATGGACCCGCAGCGTTGCTTGGGATGAGCTGCAAGCTGGTATTAAGTTTGAAGCCTCTAGCCCTCCATACGTGCTGATGTTTAGTCGCGATAGCGGTTGCGCTTGGGCGGCGAGGTTGGGCAACAGCACTAGCCCATAGACCGCCGATGCGACCGATGTATTGCTGAATCTTGCTTGTCGTCCACTCAAGGACACGGATTTCGCTTGAAACTCGTGACTGTCTCCAGGCTCCCTGGCTCCGTGCGGCGCAAGTACGGCTGGACTCGCCAGCAAGCGTGGCGCTGCTTTTGCAGTAATTGTAATGAGCCTACTCGAAAACTCCTACACAGAACACTGAATAAAAGCTACAACCAGTAATCAGCGGGATAAACAGCTTTGATGATTGCCACGTGGCTGATAACGCGGGAATTCCTAGCTATGTCATATAAATGCATCGGTAGCTGTATGTTACTAACTGCACCAGTTCTATGGAACTGGCTATTGTGGCTACATTGTAACCCTTGTTGGGAATTCTCACACCCGTACTTTATAACTGTTGAGCGCCCCTTTTGGGTCCAAGGGTCTAAGTAAACATCTGATTACCGAATAGTATACAATTGTATTGTCTATTTTCTACTAGCATGCCGCTGGATAAAAAACAGACGCACAGCGGGGCACGCGACAGCCCCCCTCAGTCGGAGGAGTCAGAAAGCGGCTGGTCAGGAGATGACGATGAGGTGAGCACTGGCTCTCCCTGTACAGTGGTCTAAGCGCGCTGCTCGGACTATTGTTCCGTCCTTGGCTTGGTTGCGCTGGTTGCACTCGTGTACTGCTTAATGCACCAAACTAGTAGAGGGCCATTAAGCGCCATCAAACGCTGTGTGACAGAGGTGTTTAGAAGGTTTGCTGCAGAGTTCGTTTACAAACTAGTGGTTATACCCATGGAAAATTGTTTCAAACGTCCCGAGGAGTGTTTGCAAGTCGGACTGTGCCATCAAACGTATGCGTCCACTCTATGCCAAGCAGCCGGGCTTACGCGTTATGAAGCCCCAGGAGCCAGGACGTGCGTGCCGCCTCCTCTTGCCCCTGCCTCCCATCAATCCCCTTCTTCCACCGCTTGCTCTGTCCATCCCCTTCCTACCCACAACTCTTACTCAAACCCACAGTTTGACTGCTACGAAAGCGTGGACGACCGACCGCAACAGGTACAGCTCTTATAGCTCAGCTGTTGACCATCAGTTATTCTGCTTGACATCTCGATGTTCGAAAAGCTTAGGTTGGCATCGAATCCACAGTCCTTTCGTCACCCAGTTTTGAGTACTTGAGCTTAGTCACTTCAAGAATAGGAGCTTTGGTGTGCTCCTCTTCCACACCAATTCCCACACCATTACATCTTCTCCAACTCCGAACCTCTTTCATTAACGTATGGTTATCCTTCTTTTCCCCTCCACCCTTCCCCCAGGTTGATGACCGTCTTTTCATCGGCTCAATGGCAGCTGAGCACAACTTGGAGGGCATGCGGGCCGCGGGGATAACACATGTACTGCAGGTGGGGGTGCGGGGATGCATGGATGGGTACTCAGACCCCGGTTGTGGTTGGTTTCACGGGAGGGGGAGAGGGATGACAAGAAAGAGGCGCCCCACCCTCCTCAGGCGCCCCCCCCCCGCCTGTCTGATCGCCTCCCTTCCCCTTCTCCTCCTTCCCCACTCCCTCCTCCCCCAATTGCCACCTCCCCAAGTTGGTTTCTCCATCCCCGCCCCCCCTCCAAATCGGGATACGGAATTGGAGCTCCAGTTGCTTCACTTCTCAAGTATATTTTGCCCCCTTCCCATCATGCTGCCTCCTTCCCCCCCTTTATTTTCTACCCCTACGTTGATTACTCGTCACCCCTCCCCTACATGTGTTATCCTTCTTCCCCCCTTCCCTCTCCCCCCCCCCCGAGGTTGCAGGGGCTCCACCAGGGATTGTCAGCAACTTGTATCATTATCACACCACACTTTGGAATTTCTTTTTCCCCCACCTGCAGTACATGTGTTATCCTTCTTCCCCCCTTCCCTTCCCTCCCCCCCCAGGTTGCGGAGGGGCTGTCCCCCTCCCACGCCTCCGAGGGCCTGAGCTACCGGTCCGTGCAGGTGGCGGACCTGCCGGGGGAGGATCTGGTGGCGCACTTTGGCAGGTGCTTCGAGTTCATAGCGGAGGCGCATGGAGGGGGAGGTGAGGAGAGGGAGGGAGGCGGTTGGCCGGCCTGTTGTATTGGTGTTGTTTGCATGATGGGCGTACATATGAGCGTACGAAGTGCAGTAACGAACCGACTGGTGTACTGGCGACTACCACCCAGACTATAACCCCTTCTGCTTACGGCAGCTTACCCCCCAACAACCATTAGTTCATAATTGGCCCACAATCAACATACCAACGTACCGTACCACCCCCTCCCACCACCCGCCTCCATCACCCACCCCTCCCCCAGGCGGCGTGCTGGTCCACTGCGTGGCGGGGGTGTCCCGCTCCGCCACCGTGTGTATGGGCTGGCTCATGTGGCGGCACAAGGTGTCGGCAGGTGGGGGCAGGAGGGGGGGGAGGGGAGGGCGGTGCAGTGGGCTGCAGTGCTTCAATCATACGTCCCCCCTCCCCCTCCTATCCTATCCTCTCCTCCTCCTCTCCCCCCCGCTCCCCTCCTCCCCCCCCCCAGATGACGCCTTCCGCCGGGTGCACCGTGTCCGCCCCTGGGTGGCGCCCAACCCGGGGTTCAGGGAGCAGCTGGAGCGGTTCGGCAGGCTGGGCTGCGACCTCAGCAGGTGGGAGGGCGGTGCGGGAGGGTGGGCTGCGACCTCAGCAGGTGGGAGGGCGGTGCGGGAGGGTGGGCTGCGACCTCAGCAGGTGGGAGGGCGGTGCGGGAGGGTGGGCTGCGACCTCAGCAGGTGGGAGGGCGGTGCGGGAGGGTGGGCTGCGACCTCACCAGGTGGGAGGGCGGTGCGGGAGGGTGGGCTGCGACCTCAGCAGGTGGGAGGGCGGTGCGGGAGGGTGGGCTGCGGTGCGAGCGGCACCTTCATACTTGTGGAATGGCACGTTCTCATTCGCCGTTCTCATTCAGCACATGTGTATACTTCTTCCCCCCCCCCTAGTAGGTGGACCAACGCTCTGAATTGTGGCACCCTGCCGCCTCCTACCCACTTTGCTTTGCCCTAACCTGTGGTTTCCTATGGTATGGTGCGTGGTCTTTGATCCCTCCCAGTGGGATACCAATGCTTCACTTCTCTGTTTTTCTCCCCCCCCCCTCCCCCTGAGATGAGATGCGTGTTATTAGTGCCTCCGAATGCGCTCACTGCATGAGTCGGGATATGGGATTTGGACTTAGTTGTTTGCATTTCTTATATAATTTTCCCCCCTCCCCCTGGCCCCCCCCCTCAGGTGGACCGCATGGCGTCACGTGTGGCGGGAGCGCGAGGAGCCGCTCACGTTGCTGCTGCGGGACCTGGAGGAGGAGGGGCGGGAGCTGGAGCGGGAGAGGGAGCGGCAGGGGCAGGGGGCCAGGGTGAGGCTGAGGGCGCTGGGGCTGCTGTGAAGGCGGGTGGGGGGTGGGGTCAAAGGTCATAGCGGACCATAGGAAATGTGAGGGCGGGTGGGGTGGGGTGGGGTGAGGGAATGAGTAGTGTGAAGGGGAGCTTGCTGTGGGGGACGGCTGTTGTGAAGAAGGGCTTGCGCTGGGGAGGAAAGGGGACAGATGGCAAGGAGAGGAGGGCGAATGGAAGGGGAGGGAGTGGGAAGAGGGGTGTTGGGTGATTGGCTCCAGTCCCCGACCCATGGGTCACGGCGACCCAGATTCAACGGTGGGCCCCTGAATGGGCAGGAGGAGAGGGGAAGAAACGGGAGGGGAGGAGAGGAGAGGAGAGGGGTGTGAGCAGTTGCGGTTTGTGCGTTTGTTTGTACAGAGGAGAGACGGAGGTAACGTTAGGAGGCGGTATGTCCTTGACAACTCCCTTCGTGGCTGGTTTGTGGTGCGAGCGTAGGAGAGAAAATGCAAAGCAGAAGAGGGGGAGGCTTGGCGCGTGTGTGGTGTAAGCCAATTGAATTGCCGCGTGTACGTGTATGTGTTTGTGTTTTTGTGCGTGGCTGCATGCATGGGATGGGACGATGTTGTGTGCTGCGGCGTTTACTGCATCGATATTGTATTGTATTTAGGACAGGAAAAAGACGGAACACAAAGGGCAACAAAAAGTAATATTAGTGTGTGGTTCGAAAACTTGTATCCAACAGCCTAAGCGGTTGATGTTTGGGGGGGTGGCATCAGGCAGGCGGGAACCACCATTTCAGGGGAAGCTTGGTTTCCCGGTGGCCCCCGATAGCTAGCCCCTGAAAGGAAACCTTGTGTGTACTATTCAGAATGCTATCCCACGTGTTGCTGTGTGTGGTGGTGCACAATCAATCAACTAGAAAGCTATCTTGATGGAAGCAACGGCAAACGTGATACGGATGCGAATATTGAACCCTTTTTCAAATATGCGAGGATATGTGCGAGGGTCTGTGGGTATGCAATGTGGAGAACGGTGGCATGCGGTACAGCAACGCATTGATCGAGATACATGGGTGGGTGGGTGGGTGATTCATCATCATTGGAAGGAAGGAACGACGGAGGAGGAACGGGGGTGGAGGGCTTCTCGGCTCGGACGCGCCGGGGGCCAGTCGGCGGTGGTGGTGAAGGTGGTGGCAGAGCAATCCTGTTGGTTAAGGAGGTTGAGGAGTGGTGGCGAGGGGATGCTGTTTGTGTTGGCTAGGGTCGTCCCTTCCTGTAGTTACCGTTGCGCGCAGTGTCCAATCAGATATATGCAGATGCAGCACATCTTTAGTGTAAGCTTGCTTTAAGGATCACGAAAACAGCAATGTATCGGAGTTGACTGAGATGAGGGCTGGCTGGCTGGCTGGCTGGCTGCCGTATGTTTGTTGGTTGGTTGCATCAATTCTTGCTACGTACAAGGTATCGTTTGGCCGCATGGGGTTGTGAACCGTGCTAGTGGTGGTGCGATGGTGGCTGGGGGGGAGGAGGTGAGTGTGGCCGGGTTGGGGGAAGGAAGTGAGGTAAAGAGGGTGTAGGTGCGCTGCTCTACTAGTACCGGTAGCAGTGCTGGTGTCCATGTAAGGAAGAGGAGGGCTTGGAGGGGGTGGGTGTATTGGAGATCGTGTTTTTGGATCCTCTGGGCTGAGGTGCAGAAAGAAACCCTAAAGAAGGCGAGCGGTAAAACCTTGTAGCACCTTGGTAGTGGTACTTGAGTTATCCGCTAGTGTCTAGTGCGTGCACGACAGTATCGGTAATAGTGGTTGCAGTGGATGGGGTCGGCCAGATGATGAGGATCGGGTCGCATTCCGTATTTGGCCCGCCAGTACGTGCGCGTGTTGTGTGTACGGTATTCTAGACGTTTAAACTGGTGAGATGGGATTTAAAAAGTTACATGGAGAGGGCAAAACAGCAACGACGTCTAAACTTGCCTAAAGCTTCAAACCTAGCGGTACGCACGCCCTCGCAGTGGTGCTATAGTAAGGAGCTGCTGCTGCTGCTGGGTCGCAGATGGGGAAGCCGCTATAAAACCCTGCCAACTTTGGTTGCGTCTTTGTGTGCAGTAGCGGTAATCAATCTAATCATATGCGGCGCAGTTTACGGCGTGGCACACGTGTTTCTTGGCAACTTCGAAGTAAACGTAGTGTACGCCTGGTCTGGACGCCTGCGGGGACTTGACGTTGTTAATGTGTTGTTGCTATCTTTAGTGCTTGCGGGCTGTAGATGGAAATACGTGGCATCGTACAAGGGCAGGTCCTTTACCGTACGTTTTGTGCCCTTCTGTAGCCAAGCTATGAGCTCCTGATGAATGTAGTGGTGTGCAGGATGCAACTACTCACGCTCGCTTAGGTTTCCGTGACATAGCTATCTTGCGTAAAAAAAGTCATTTGTCAGGAGTGTAGGTGATTGCTGGACATAGTAACTAACTTGTGTGAGGGGTTGCAGAATGAGGGGTTGCCCGACCGGCGGCGATACGGGTATGCAGTGTCTACAGATGCTCATGCGGATACTCTGCGCTCTGAGGTACCGGTATTGCATGGCTTCTACTGTAAACCCTCGTGTGGTGCCTTTATGGCCTGTTTGCATGTGGCAAAGGGCATGTGGCATGCGCCCTCTTGGTGCCTCCATGATTTGTAATACCAGGCATGCCCCTCAGCCTAGGCACCTCTGCTTCGTGCACTTAACGTGCTTCGTGGGTGGTTGTAGGTTAAAGCGTATGAGACTGGATCGGGTCAACGGGAGCCCTTGGGGAAGTACATACTCGATAGCAGCACTTAGAAGGATAGGATGAACGCATCCAAGTCATGCCGAATTCTAGTGGTATGAAATCTAGAAGCTGCGCAACGCTTCTGGCATACTTGGAACGGTTGGAAGCGAAGTATCCTTGGCTCCGTAACCGCATGCCTCAGCACGGACAGCATGTCGGAAAAGGGAAAGGCGCTATCTCGCTAAACCTTGGTGCAGTGAGTCCCATTTGTCGTCATGTATTAAGAGGCAGTTGTGCTTAGTGCAAAATCCCCTTCTTTGCAGGTCTGCCTAGCTTTGAAGGCTTTTAAGGGGCCATTCACATATGAGTGATTTTGGGAATGAGTGCGTAGGAGCGCGTAGGGGAAAATTGTTCAGATTGTAATTTTTAATTACGTTTGGCCTGGAATTATTTTTAACAACGCCTGAGTTCAAAAAATAATTCCAAAGGTGAAACATGAGTGAATCATGAGTGAAGTTGAGTGAAGTGAGTGAAGAAACTTGTGAGCAGGCGCCCCCTGGCAAATAGCATCCCTATGCCAAGCGCATACTTTGGTTGCTTTCCTAGACTTCGCGACTGCATATTTTTGTTCTCGATATACTACTTTCTCATAGAAAGCTTTGCGCGGCCTCGCGCGGTGCGAGTTTGACGAATTTGCTAACGTTGGTCGCGACAAGCAACTACCGCGTGCGCATGGCTGCGGAGACCTGCGAAGAGATCATCTTGGCAGGTCTACGCAGCCACTAGCTTCCTGCCTTGCTGCCCGTGTTCGGTCGCGGTCGCGGCATTTCGACTCTCACTGTACGCCCGACCAATGTGAACGCATATTGAGTTTTTTCGACTCATTCACGCGCCCTCACTCAAAAGCACCTCCTTCATATATGAATGGCCCCTAACGAATAAATTGCCCCCTTGCCCCTTACGGCATAAGGGCCTAAGCTCTTCTGCCCGCTGCTCCCTTGTATAGGCTAAGCTCCGCGCCCAGCCTATTATCGTAGGCTTTCACTAGCAACAACCTTCACTATCACTTCCGAGCCTATTCGGCAGTCTTGCATAGCCCCTATAGAACAGCAATCCAGGCTACATACAGCCTTGGGACTGAGGTCACAGCCGACTCAGTTACTTTGCCGACACCGGGGAGGAATTTGAAAGCTGGGACTACAACAGCCGCTTGCTTGTGCGGGACGTCCTGGTGCACGTCAGCGAACCAACCGTGCTGCAACGGCTTGACGCGCTGCAGGCAGATATAAACGACTTCTTAGTTGTGCTTGCCAGGTCCAACGCCAAGCGGGTGCGGAACACCGCAGCTCAGATTTTACTGGCTGCTGACGGGAAAGAGTTCATGACCAGCAAGTGTACACGCTTTAGGGCGCGTGGCGAGTCGGACAAGGGTGTCATGGACACCGCGGACGCGCTGGGGTTGACGCCCGCGCAGTTCATTGACAAAGCGGACATGGTGGTGACCCGCCGCAACAAGGCGATGCACGTCGTCAGCGACGCGGACGAACTGGACGAGGAGGTGGCGGAGGTCGCGTCCGTCATCACGCCGGCCCTGAAGGATATTGCGAAGTGGGAGTGCGCCGTGGTCCTCAACTACGCCACCATCAAGAAGGCCTTCCCCGAGGGCTTCCAGAATCTGGTGTTCCATGAGTAAAGCCGATGCGGTTTGTGTGTGGAAAGAAGAATCCCAAGAGGGGCCAAGGGGGGCCGGTGCAGCTGTGCGGGGTTCCCCGCTGAGAGCCCGTTGCCGGCAGCAGGGTGTGTGTCAAGCTGTCAACACCGGGCTGCTGGGCAACCTTCTGGGTCAACCCTCCTTCTTGTCAAACGCTGAAAGAGCAGCCAACTTGCCCCTTGCCCTGGCTACCCCTTCCCTGTTCTGCGGGTGCCTCGTGAAACCGGCACCTAGCTTCCTGCCTGCCTGCCTGCCTGCCTGCAAGGAGCCCCAAAGGAACGGCTGGCTGGCCTGCAAGATGTCGCTGCTGCCATCTCAGCTATTGCGCATTCAATGCAGTATGGAGTCATTTGCGTACGGTGCCGCAAACGCAGACCACTAGTGAAGCCGTGATGGCCTTATCTAGGGGCCCCAGTGCAGCTGGGGCGCCGTGGCTCCACCGCTCCAGGGGAGCTGTCAGGGCGGGGCTGTTTGACGACTGGCGCCTTGCGAAGTGCGCGCCCTGGGGAGCGGAGGGCATCCAGGACAGCCATGGTGCTTGCATGGGCGTTTTTGCATGCATTGGTGTTTTGCGTGCCAAGGCGCACATGGGACAACATATCGGTACACGAATCCTGTGCCGCTGTTGTGTCAGAAGGACCGCTCAATGACTATAGGGCTGTCTCCGCAAGCTTGGCAATGTCACAAGCATGGTGTAGCACTGTCGTTTGACATGGCACCATTGTAACGGTCATTCATTCATGGCTGCCCAACATCGGCAACTGGCAACTGGCACCCGTAACAGCAGCCCACCTCTGCGGCTGGCTGCTGCCCTCACAACAGCACACTTTGCATGATGTGTTTATAAATGTTGTGGGGTTGATGATGGCAAATGCAATGGGCAACGGCATGGGTCGCATTTCCGAATATTGACGACGGGTAAGCTGGAATGTTTTTTCTCTTCAGCCAGGCGCTATGACTGGTAGTGTATTTGCTGTAGTGTTTTTTCTCAAGGGAGCGCAAGCCAAGCATGTTGATATAATGTGTTGTGTATGGCAAACTGCGCTGTGCGGGGTGAACTAAATACGCCGGGGTGGCGTGTTCCTATGATGCCGAGGTTAGGAGAACGAACAGGCGGCGTGGGACCTGTGGCAAGGCCATCGGCTTATCGCCCCTTAGCTGGCGCTTTGCTCAGGCTCCGCTGCCTATTTAACGTGCAAAGATTTACGGCGTCCAAGTGTATCGTTTAACTGATGGGTGCATGCAACCCGATGGACCTTATCCTAGCGTTGTAAACGCGTTGCACGCCGTATGCTTGGTGAATAAGGAGAGGAGGAGGGGTGAGCAACAACCAGCAGATGCAATTTTGAGACGCATTCCTGGCGGCAGCCTCCGGCCAGCGTGCATGCATGTGGGGGCAAGATGTGGAGGCAGATGCGTAGGGTGGATGGAGGGGGGCCGGTGAAGCAGTATACGGTACCACCACACCGTTGATGGGCTGGTGGCCCAAATTGAGGCACAGCGCAGCCTCTGCTGCGAAGACATCTAGCACCCTTGGGGAACTAGATACCCGACAGGAGTGCTTCTAAGGATGGGATGAACGCATCCAAGTCATGCATGTCAAAGTGTAGCGGTGTGTAATCTAGAAGCTGTGCAACGTTTTCGGCAAACTGGAAGCGGAGTATCCTTGGCTCCGTAACCGTATGCCTCAGCACGGACAGCATGTCAGGCAAACTGGAAGCGGAGTATCCTTGGCTCCGTAACCGTATGCCTCAGCACGGACAGCATGTCGGAAAAGGGAAAGTCGCTAAACGTTAATGCAAAAAATCCCGTTTTTCGTCATGTATTAGAGGCAGTTGATTATTAGACCAATTGGGTAAGCATGGATGGTCGAGGAAATCCAAATGAGGCCACAGTGCAAAGTCTCCTTTCCGAAGCCCACGCAGCGATCGCTAGCGGTGATCCAACTCAAGCGTTGAGGGTAGGATTTACGGGTTGAGTTGGATTCTGCTCCTATGGAGCTCGCCCTAATGGTACTTATGCGATCGTTCCTTCGCTGCTCACAGCTTGTGCTCGCCGCCCTCCATGCAACCGGAGGTCAACAGGCGGCAGCCCCCGCTCTCAAGCGGTGAGCGATGGTTTCGTTACGGGCTGCCGGCTCCCTCAATTGCCGTTTGCAACCATTGCCGTTTACACATGCGACAGGGTTGTGTCCCACTTAACGGCAAATAACCAACGCAACGCTCTTCAAGAGCTTACCGAATTATTCGCCCGAGCTGCTTCGGTGCGAGAGGTACGACTTTCCAATTCAAAGTTTCTCTGGTCGTACACTTTAGCCCTGTCCACGGAGCTGTTCACCCCGCTTGCGCATAGGCTAACTAGGACGCACCCCGAAAATGGTCACCTTCGTCCCAACCAGCCCTCCTTTTAGCAGTACCACACCAAACCCTTGCACCTACGTGTTTAGCTGTTGACTTCCACTCTCCTTCCTGTCACCACTCCCCACCTTCAACAGGATCCAGCCACCTTCGCAGCCCCCACCCCAGCTCCCTGGGGCGGCCCCTCTACCTCCACCGCCGCCTCAACCACCGCCCCTATCTTCCCTCCCGTACCCCCTGGACCCCTCCTCCAGCACCATACCAGCAATGCTGACAGCGACGTTAGCATGGTGAGCTGTAGCAGTCAAGGCAACCAACAGCAGCAGCAGCAGCAGTACTTGTCGCCCTCCGAATGGTTGTTGCAGGGAACAGCGGCGGCGGCGCATGGGGGGGCACCCCCATGGCACCCCCAGGGCTTTAACGGCGGTGGAGGCGGCGGCGGAGGTAGAGGCGGCGGAGGTAGAGGTGGAGGAGGCGGAGGTGGAGGAGCGGGCTGGAGCAGTGGGGCTGCTGGGGGTGGTTGGGGCGAGGGCGGGGTAACTGGGGGGCATACGGCCGCAGCGGCGGCGGCGGCAGCGGCAGCGGCGGTGGCGTGTGGGGGGCAGGAGGCGGCGAGGAGTGCGTGGGTGGGGCCGCAGGAGACGGGGCAGCAGCAGCAGCAGCAGCAGCACGCGCCCATCCTGAGTGTGAGGCGGGGACTAAGTGTGTGTTAAAATAACTGGGGAGCTATACCGTGTTCTGTTACGGACAGCGGCTAGGCGGATGTGCAAAAGGGGCGGGAAGTCCACACATACCGTCGTACAGTACACTCCTGACAGGCCGCCGTCCTCAAGGCCGCATCACAAGGCTGCTTCCGTCTTGCTCTTCTGCCCCCCCCCCGTCCCCTTCTATCAGCAACCCGCAGTCCCGCACTCTTTCCCTTTCTTTCCCCCCAACCCCTCCTGTTGACTCCAGTTGCTGCACTTCTCAATAATTTTTAACCCCTCCTGTTCACCCCCCCCCCTGTATTTAATGCCGCACAGGAGACGGGTCGTGAGGGGTTCATGTGCTGCGCTCTCGAAGACGGCTCCAGCTACGAGTGCCCTGCCTGCAGGGGGGTGGTGCTGCTGACACGCAGGCAGCAGCATGAGCGGTTCTGGTGCCAAGGGAGGTCGGCAGCGGGGGGAGGGCTGCGGGAGGAGGAGGGAGAGGAGGCGGACATGGGGGAAGAGGAGGGGCGGTGGCAGGGAGGAGGAAGAGGTGGAGTAGAAGGAGGAGGAGAGGCGATGGCGGAAGGTTGAGGACTTGAGGAGGCGGGAAGAGGGGCGGAGGGCAAGTGTGGGTGACCTTGTGGGGTTGGGGGGGTGCATGCGCTCTGTGTGCTTGCGTGGGGGCGCGAGTGGCTGGAAGTGGGTGGCTGGAGGGGGGGTGGGATTGGGTTGGGGCCTGCGGGGACTGTTGCATGCATTGCTGATGCTACTTTCTGATATGGCGCAGGAAGCCCCGAGCGGAAAAGGACGCAAGCAGGGGGGTATGGGAACACAACATTCTCCCTGCAAAAGCTTGTAGCTGTTCAGGAAACCTTCCTTTCGGCCTCCTTGATTGTTGGCGCTATGTTGCTGCGCTGCTGCCGCTGTGGCGGTAGTACCCAGCCCCGCATTTACAGCGGTCGGGGTGTCCTGGTGCGATGTGAAATGGTGGAGGTGGGATACGGGTGTTGGCGCCAGCCGTGATTGCATGGCATGCACATGCAGTGTACGGCATTGTACGACAGCACGGCATGGGACTTCACGATCCCGAGATCTTGGTAGCTTATATTATCCCAGAAGCGAGCTGCCAGAGACCTTCCCAGGTACGCGGCATGACATGGGTGCCATCATGATGTCATCATCACGCCTCCAAACGGCGGAAACCTTCCAGTAACAGCAAACGAACGAGAGGAAAGTGAAATTCGAACACGAAGTCTGCCGCCGCTGATGAACACTACGACACAGTGGTCCACAACAAGGAACCGCAAAGGTACGCAACGCAAAAACCATCAGCAGGAAATGAGTACACGCGAATGCGCTCTCTCTCTATGGCAACTAACCTAATGCTCGGCCCACGAGGGGAAGAAGGCCCCGCTGCGCCCCCTCAAGCCGGTACACCCCATCACACGACCTCCTCCTCCCCCATCGCTCGCCTAGGCCCCTACTCCCCCTCCTTTCCCTGGGCCCCCTTCGCCCCTTCTTCAGTGTTTCCACGGCTGAGCACATCTAATCCCCCTTCTCCTCCTTTCCGCCGCCTTCCCCGCTCCTCCTCCCCCTCCTCCTTGCCGCAGCTTCCATCACCCTCAGACTGCTCCCAAAGAACTCCCGCATGTTGGCCGCCGCCGCACCCATCACCTCCTCCACGGGCAGCCCCCGCGCCTCCGCCGCCAGCGCAGCAACAGCCAGCAACCCCGCGTCAACACTGGGGAGCGGGGGGCGGGGGGGGAGGCGTGTATAGCGGGGAAATGATAAGTGAAAGGTGCAGCAACTGGAGCTCCAATGCGCTTCCCCCACCCACCCAGTGGGTGTGGTGGAGTGAAAAAGGGTTACGCGAAAAGGATAACGTTAACCATGGTACGGCACTCGGCCATGGGACCGGCCGACATGGAGGGCCGGCGTGCGGTGGTTTGGCATAGGCCTGTAGGGTTTTGTGCTGCCATGACTATGAGCATGTACTCTGAAGCGAAACGCCCCCCTCCCTTCTCCCCCGTAACCCACCTTCACCCGGGCCTAGGAGGGTTCGGTGGGTGTGTTTTCCCGCAGCCATCATAGCCTAGCCATCATAGCTAGCTTCTTCTTTACCCCTCTCCTCTCCCCCCTCTCCTCTCCCCCCTCACACATACACACCAGTTTCCTACTCGCGGCCAGTTTTCTTAACACACACCTGATGGCCTCACTCTCATGTAACGCATGGCTTTCCTTCTTTCCCTCCTGGCGGACTCATTTTCGGTAGGGGCCGTTAACCCTCCCTTTTGTCTTGTGGCGCCCTGCCGCCTCATCCCCCCACCATTGTTTTGCCCTAACTCGTGGTTTCCTATGGTTTGGACCATCCTGACCCCCCTCCCCCCGTGTCACCTTGCGGGTGTGTTTTGGTCGCTCTCCAGCAGCAGGCGGTTCAGCGGTACGGCGGCCAGGCGGGCCAGCAGCTTGGAGCGGTCGCCCCGCCCGCCGATGATGGAGGAGAAGCTGCATGCAGGGATGCCGGTTGTGGGTTGGGTGCGGGTTGGATGCGGGTTGGGTGCGGGGAGGGAGGGCGGGGTTGTTGGGGCCTGGCCGGCAAAAACGCTGGGTACAAGGACCCCCAATGGAGATCCCCAACAATTGCTGATGCTGCAAGCCAATGTCGCCCCCTGCCCTCTGTCCGCCCCCTCACGCGCCCGCCCTCCATCAGCCCACCCCGCTCCCTGCCGAACCCAAGTTGGGCTCATCCACTTCGGGTGTGATGGGGTGGGGCGGGCCGGGGTTGGGTCAAATTACCAACCCATGGTGAAGCCGCGTCATACAGTTCGTCTGTTTCCTCAATTTTACCCCCCACACCTGAAGTATATCCGTTCGCCCACCCCTCCCGGCAGCTTGAGGAAGCCCTTGACCATGTCTAGACTGCCACCGTAGCTGCGCGTGTGCGGGGGGGTGTTTGGAGGGGGGTGTCAAAGACCATACCGAACCATAGGAAACCACAGGTAAGGGCAACGCAATGGGGGTAGCAATGGGGGTAGCAATGGGGGTGGGTGGGGTGGGGGGTTACGCCAGGTACGAGGTACGAGGTACAAGGTAGGGGGAACCGCTGGGGCATCGCAACAGCAACAGCAACAGCAGCACGACGGCCCATCCATGGGTCCCACCTACCTAACCCCAGCTTCAGCAAGATAACCATCAAGTCCCCAAACCGCTCCCTCCCCCCCCTCCCCACCTGTGCAACATGATCTTGGGTGGGCAGCCCTCCGGCCCCAGCCGCCGCAGCATCTCCAGGAGCACACCGTAACCCTGCGCATGCATGCACGCATGCGGATAGACGTTCGTAACCAGTATTCCCGAATCCCTAGAGTACTGTCTTTTGCGCAGTGATCAGTGCCATCACTTGTTTTGCGGTTTGTGGGTTTTTCGTCATGCAGGTTGCCTAGCCTGCTCGCAGACACGTCGTTCACAAACAACAACATCCCTGTATGCCGTTCCTCCCTCTGCCCTCATATCTCACTTGTTTGGCGGGTTTCACTTTGTAGTTTTTCAGTATCTTTGTCTTACAACTGTCTCTTACGACTGTCTCTTACGACTGTCTCTTACGACTGTCTCTTACGACTGTCTCTTACAACTGTCTCTTACAACTGTCTCTTACAACTGTCTCTTACGACTGTCCCTCCCCCACCTGCACGCAGTGTACAGAGGCGGGGCGACTCAGCTCCGCTGCCAGGCGCAAGTGGAGCTCGGTGAGGGCTAGCTGGTGGGTCCAGGAGGGCTGGGGGGGGGAGGGAGGGGTGGTTGAGGAGGGGAGAGGGAGAGGGGTGAGAACGTGTCACACGGTGTTTCCTTCAAAGAGCACCTCGCCTCACGCACAGACACATCCCCCGTTCCGACTCGCGGCCAGGTTTCTTAAAACACACCCCACCTGCTGTTGATTTCAGCCCACCTGCAGTCGTGTCCCCGGCACCACTGCCGCCCGGTCCAGCCCGAACTCCCCCACGCACGCGTGCGGGTGCGCCGTCAGCAGCGCCCGCAGGCGCGGCAGCCACACCTCCCGCGGGGCCACCGGGCCCAGCGAGGCACCGCAGGCGGCGGAGCTGCCACCGGCGGTACCCCCTGCTGCTGCACATGCGGCCGCTGGTGATGGTGATGGTGCTGGAGCTGATGGTGGTGATGATGAGTGGGAGGTAACGGCTGTTGAGACTCCGCTGCTGCCACAGCCGCACCCCGCGGACTCCTCGTCATTATCCGGGTCAGCAGCAGCAACAGCAGCAGCAGCAGGAGGAGCGGTGAGGGACTCTGCGAAGGCTGCTGCTGCTGCTGCTGCCACTGCTGCTGCTGCAGGTCCGGCGGGTTCTTCTGTAGGTGCTGCAGGTGCTTGCCCTTCTGCGTTGTTCGACGTCCTTGTTAAAACCGCTGCTCCTGTTGTCGTGCCTGCTGCCGGTTCGACAGGTGCAGGTGCAGGTGCAGGTGCTGCTTGCGTTACTGCCCGCGTGAGTGCGGCCAGCAGGTGGGGGTGGCGGTCGGGGTGGTCCCGGCCGTTGGGGGGGCAATCCAGCAGGAGGTAGGGGGCGGAGGTGGGGGAGGTGGGGGAGGTGGGGGAGGTGGGGGAGGTGGGAGAGGTGGGAGAGGTGGTGGGAGAGAGGGCATGGCGGTGGGCGAACCAGGGGTGCACTCCGAAGCAGGGAATGACCTGGGGGCGGGGGGTGGGAGGGAAGAAGAGGGAGGGAGGAGGGTTGGGAAAAGGAAGGATGTGAGGGCGTATCGGCGCACCAAGGCACTCCCCTTCAGCTCCTGGGCCGCCCCGCGATCCCCTCCCGGCCCACCTACGGCTTTGCTTCCCTCCCCACCCCATGCCCCACCCCACCCCTCCCCTCTCCTGCCCGACCCTGATGACGCCTTATCACACGGTCACTTAGTTGTTTCCTCTTTCTCCCCACCCCACCCCACCCCTACCTTGTCCGCTGCCCCCTCCGCCAGCGCCTGCACCGCGCCCCAGTCGTCCCAGCGGGTACCCATCACCGCAAGCAGCGGGGCGGACAGCGACAGCACCTTGGGGGCGCAGTCGACGGGGTCGTCCTGGAGGGGGAGGGGGAAGAGGGTGGAGAGGGGGGGAGGAGGGGGGTTAGGGTGTTGAGGTGGGTTTGGGGTTTCCAGGTCAGGGTTGATAGGAGTTGGATTGTAAGGAGGGTTATTCTGCACTTTGGGGCTGGAGTTTTGAGGCTGTGAGTACGTCGAACATCGGGTTATGGGGTTACCACGGAGGAGCAATGGGGGGCTCTCTTGCAGAATGTACGGCAGTAGCAACTCACGTATACGGCACGAACGTAAGGCACAACGGCAGCCCCTGATGACAATGCTAAAGAGATGCATCCTCAAGACCTCATACCTGCGGGTGGCAGTGCGCGTCTCCCAAGCCAAATTTCGCCAACAAAGAGGCATCCATTGTCGCAGCAGCAACAGCAGCGGCAGCGGCTTTGTCAGTCGCCTCAGTTGCTGTTGCTGGGGACCGTGCTCCTCCTCCGGCTGCGGCAGCGGCGGTGGTGGTGGCGGTTGTGAATATCCTTCTTCCTGCTTGGGTCACCCAACCGGCCGTTGCTGGCACTGCAGTTGCTGACAACACAGGTACAGAGGCAAATGAGGCACGTCTTGAGGCAGCAGGAGCCGCCTGTGACGACAGGAGTGATGGCGTGTTGCAGATGGATGACCGTGGCGACAGCCGGAAAAGGGTTCGCAGCCAAAAGGGTCGGGCCGTTGTCCTCCAAGCTGTTAGGCTGGCCGAAGGATGTGTTGCTACTAGGGCTTTGGCGCCGGCTGCGGCTGCGCTGGTGGTGCTGCGCGCCAGATGGCCGTCCAACATCCAGATTGCGCTTAGGCGTGGCGAATGATAAGGGTTGTTCTCAAGTGAAATGCAACATTTAGCTCTATTAGTAAGATGTGCAAAGACTTCACTCCGAGGCACGTATGTAAGGGCAACGACGTAAGGATGCCGAAGCTTTGCGCCCGTTAAAATGTAGCCCAAGGCAAAATTCTTTTTGCACATGTGCCTCTCCCATCGACTGGTACTATGCACTGGTTATGTTCGCAGAATGGATGGATGGTTGCCGTGCTTTACAGCAGCATGCGTAAGCGCTGTAGTCAGATCTGCCAGAAGGCGCAATGCAAAGATGCTCGGTGTATTGTGGATACAGTGAGATGCTACATTGACCTCATAGGCTTAAGTTGTGATAGCCCTAGATTACCCCGTCGGCATAATCATCTGAACGTCCCAACCACTGAACCGCAAACGCCAGCCAAACGGTACTGACTTCTTGAAAACCATCCTTGCCCAACCGGAGGAAGGTCCAGAGAGGAAGAGAGGGAGGGAGGGGGGTCGAGGGAGGAAAGGCGCCGAAGTTAGGTTGAGGGAGGTGTAGGGCGGTTGGCCAAGGATGAGAGGGAGGGAACTGAGAGGAAGGGGGGCAGAGGCATACCAGTATCATTTGGGCAAATGTATGCATAAATTCATGTTAACATTTGGTTGGCTAGGCAACACGGTGGTTGCATGGTGCTCGCGCATGGAGAACGCTGCGACAGCAGAGGATGGCCATGTATAAACTCTTGCCGTTCCAACGTTCCGGAGGTCCGGAAAGGTAGCCGGTCTCAGCTGCCGCTGTAGGTGAAACGTGAGTGACACGAGCTTGTACGACCTTGAATTTTAGTAGACGACAATCGTCAAGCCGACTGATCCAGTCAGCATATGCAAGCCTTTTTTAAGCACAAATAGTATTTACCGTATTTTGTTATACTGGCCCATCTGGCATTTCTGTAGGACGTTGGTCCTTCTAAGATACAGGGAATAGCCAGTCTCACATATTATACCCTCACCACCTATTGAATACGCCTAAGGAATCGTTCATTCTAGTCCATTGGAATCGGCGTTGAGCTGTTAAGTGCTTGTAACTCGCAAAGCCAAGCACATTACTCCCTCACCGGTGCTATCGAGAAGGGTGACGGCAGCTTAAAAGAAATCTGGACCTTGATTGCAACCTAATCGTACGCGGGCGGTGACGCCCGCGCGGCCAACAGGTCGCCATGTCAGAGTCAGAATCGGCGCAGATGCTGCCGCAGCAGCCCCAGGACCTAGGGGATGACCAGCTGGACCCACATGTGGAGTACTTGCAACAACTGGTACGCCCTGCTTGTCGGCAAGTAGCGAGCTCGGGGCTTCGGTTCGCTTCGCACACCCGCTAAAGCCCCGAGCCCATCGGCGCAACCCTCCTCCTCCCCCTTTAGCCCCAACTTGCTTCTCCAGATCCTACTGCGTTGCAGCCCACTCCATCCCCCTGAACAATACATATACCATTCCGTTTCGAGAGGGCTGCATGCAAGTTGGCCCTCTCTAACATGCTCCTATCCCGCCCATGCCCCCCTAGCCCTCCCTCCCCAACCTGCTTCTTCACCTCCTCCACCCTCTCCGCCTGCCCTCCGCCCCTGCCCCTCCCCTCCTCCTCCTCTCCCATTCTCCCCACGCTCCACTTCTCATGTATCCCCCTCCTTTCCCCCCTCTTCCCCCCTCTTCCCCCCTTCCCCCCTCTCTCCTTTCCCTCCCCCCCCAGCTGCGAGACAATGAGTTCCTGCAGCGCGAGAACCTGCTGTTCGAGGCGTTCCTGGCCAAGGTACCGTTGGGGGGGGAGGGGGGAAAGATAAAGAGGATGGGGACCTGACGAGCTGTATGACGGGGGGGGGGGCGGTGGTAGGGCGGTGGGTAAGGCTGTTGGGAAAAGATAGACCGGGTACTTAACCGTGGGGTGGTAGGGCGGGATGGGTTTCGGGCGGTGGTGTTGGAGGCCTGCCTGGCAGGGGTACTGCGGGGGGCGGGGGGAGGGGTCGGGGGCGGTGGGTAGGCGCTGGACAGCATAGGCGGTGGGGCGGGAGTGGCCCTCTTGCCTTGGGGGTTCAGGCCCGTGCCTCTATATCGCTATACCCCTGCTACCGTCCATGAATCAACCCGCATCCCCACGCTCGGCCACCACTCCGCCCCCACCTACCCCCGCCCCCCCCCAGGTCGACCTCACCAAACTGGGTTCCCTAGCTGAGGAAGAAGCCGCCAAGAAGAAGAAGGCAGCCAAGAAGGGCGGTGCGGCGCCCGCAGCAGGGGCGGCAGGTGGGCCCGGAGCGGGAGGCAGGGGCGACGCCACGGGGGGTGGCGCCGGCGGCAGGGGCGGCCCCGGTGCTGCTGGCAGGGGGGGAGGTGGTGGTGAGGCTTCGTTTGCGAGCCTGACGGATGAGGAGAAGAACGACCTGGTCAGCCAGGAGGTGGAGATGGTGCAGGCGGAGATTGAGGCGGTGAGCAGGGGGGGGAGGGGAGGGGAAGGATATTTCCTATCCCCTCCAGGGGGGAGGAAGGGAGGAGGGTAGGTTTAGTGAGAAAGATTCAGTTGGGATGACTATAGCGGTAGGGGAGGGGCAATGCTTGGGAGGGCAACCCAGCCATGTGACACGGCCCCACCCTGGCCTGCATGCCGACTTCAGGGGTGCAAACTGGGGTTCCCAGTGCGGGGGTCCTATCAGCGTTACGCCCCCCCTTCGCCCCACCTCCTCACCACCCCCCATCCCCTCACCCCCTCCCTTCCTCTTCCTTATTTTTACCTCCCTCCCTTCCCCCTCAGCCCTCCCCTCTTTTATCCCCTTCCCTTGCTGCACTTATCTTTAATTCCCCTCTCTCCCCCCCAATGCAGATCAAGAAGGCGGGCGACAAGGACATCGACGACATCCGCACGCTGATGGAGGAGGTGGACATGCGCATCGCGGAGACCAAGAAGGACACCTACGAGTTCAAGCGAGACATCATCATCGGAGCGGAGAACCCGAGGACGGGCAAGATAGTGGCGGAGAAGATGATTCGGTGAGGGGAGGGGGGAGGAAAGGGAGGGGTTGGTAAGGCGGAGGGGAGGAGGGTGCGGCGTGCGGGTTTTGTAAGAGGCGCGTTGGTGGGTTAAGGTGAGGTGTGGTGTGGATGGATTGGGCATGACCGCCCTTTCCCAAGCTGCTCCCCCATCCTTCCCTTCCCTTCCTTGGTGGTTCCCTTTGGCCCGTCTCCCCTCCCCCTCACCTCCCTCCCTCCTCCTAATAAGTAATTTGAGATGCGTGTCTTTAGAATAGTGTCTCCGAATGCACTCACTGCATGAGTCGGGATATGGGATTGGGACTTTAGTTGTTTGCATTTCTTATATAATTTTTCTCCCCCTCCCCCCCTCAGCTTCATCGAGGACAAGCTGCGTCAGAAGGACGCCACCGCCGACAAGCTGCGGCTCAAGAACACCACCACCAAGGCGCTCATCACCAAGCTGGAGCACCAGCTGGCGCACAAGGAGGAGATGGGAGAGGTGGGGAGGGGGTCAGGGGGGTGGGCTGGAGGCTGAGGAGGGTGATGAGGGGAATGGGTGAGGAGGGGGGCTAAAGGTGTGAGGGACTGAGCAACACCCCCTAGTGCTCCCGCTACGGCTCCTGCTCCCTACCCGCGCCCCACTAGCCCGCCCGTTCTTGATACCGGTTTACTATTTGCCCCTCCCATACCACACCCGCCCACCCACCCCACCCGCCCCCTTCAGGTTCTTCACCTGGTTGACTTTGACCAGCTCAAGATCGAGAACCAGCAGTACATGGAGCGCATTGAGGAGCGCAACAACGAGCTGCTCAAACTCAAGCTGTCCACCAGCAGGACGGTGCAGGTGGGGGAAGGGAGGGGGCAGCTGGGGCCGGGGAGGCGGAGGGGGGGGTAAAAAATAGATAATGAGGCACTGACGAAGCAACTGATGAGCTGTATGTCAAGGCTTCACCATGGGGGGGCGGGGGTGGTTTGGGGAGGTTGGGAGAGGGGCTGACGGGGGTTTGGACCCGCCCGGGAGGACAGGTGTTGTAGCTGAGCCGCGAGCGATGAAACACTGACCTTAACCATCCCTCCCCTCCCTCCCCCCCCCTCCTTCCCCCCCACCTCCAGGTCCTCAACAACCTCAAGTCGCAGCTGAGTGACATGGTGGCTGCCGGGCACCAGCTGCGGCGGCAGATCGGCGAGCGCAAGGGCGACCTGGCGCGGTTCGACGCGGAGTACTCCTCCGTGCTGGACGAGAAGGGGCGCGGGGAGCGCACCGTGAGGCGACTCAAGCTGGAGCAGGAGGACATGTAGGGGGCAGGGAGGGCAGGGAGGGCCGGGGCAGGGAGAAAAGATACAGAAGACCTAGTTCTCCTGTATCTTGTTGGTTTAGAGGGGGGTAAGGGAGGGGTTCCAGCCTTTCCGGAGCCGCGGAGGGCGGTTGTGGAAGGTGTACGAAAGCCGCTGAAACTCTTATGTGGTTATTGTAACTGCGGAGTATGGCGTGCCGCGCATGCGGAGGTCGATTTTTTCCCCTTGTCGCTCCCCTCAACCAACCTCCCTCCCCCTTAGCGGTTAACCCTGTACACACTACACCCCCCCTCCCTCCCCCTGTTTCTAGAATAGCGTCTCCGTATGCGCTCACTGCATGAGTCAGAATATGGGATTGGGGCTCCAGTTGCTTCACTTTCCATTTATTACCCCTCCTTCCCCCTCCCACCCCTCCCCCCCAGCGACACCCCCACCATCATGGACTACATCCGGCTCAAGCACGAGGTGAGCGAGCTGGAGAAGCAGCTCACCGACTGGCGCCGCAAGATCGACATCCTGACCATGGAGAAGACACGTAAGCGCACGCTGCTCAAGAGCGTGGCGTCGAACAGCAACAACCAACAACAGCAGCAACAACAGCAGATGGGAGGAGGAGGGGGTGCGGGAGGAGGGGGTGGCGGAGCGGGAGGAGCAGGGGGAGGAGGAGGGGCGCGGGGGAGGCAGAGCGCGAGCGGAGGCGGTGTGGGTGCGGGGGGTCTTGGTGGGAAGTAGCAGGAAGCAGTAGGAGTGGTGGCATGCAGGTAGGGACCGTCAGTACCCACAGGCCCCTGGTGGTTGTTTGCTAGGTAGAGGACTGGCTGGTTTGCGGTTGATGAGGAGGCGCTGGGTGCTTCTTGGAGGAAGGGGCATGGAGAGGGAAGGGGGTGAAGCTGTGGTGGGAAGCAAGATTGCATGTATAGGATTGCACGAGGAATGGCGACCTTGGTTACTGGCATGTAACTCGAGTACGTTACAGGAGGGAAGGGGATAATGCTTTGGCTGTGGCTGTTTATGAAAAAGTGATCATGTAAGGTCAGCCTGTTGGCCTCAGGTTCTTCCTACTAAGACCGAAGGGCCTCTGGTGGCTATGTTACATCATGTTTTACATCATCATGGGCTTCATGGCTGACGTGTTCCCGAGGCACAGTCTACGGCTCTGTGCTAAAATCTGGTACCGGTACCCGCCGTGTCGCCCTTTTCGCCGCATCAAAGTACCTTCCTTCCTTGCGAACCTTCCTTTGTGGAAGGACATGCACAATCATGTGTATTACCCGTTCATCCCAGACCAAGAACCGAAGCTAGATTGCCATAGTCCCTGAGGGGCTCACGACATGCGGATCGCGTTCAGGAATACCGGTAGTGAATTACGGAAGAGACGACAGCCCCAAGAATTCACCATGGCCGCACCGCATACCATACATGCCCCTAACCTAGGCGCCGCCTTACACCACACCAGCCCCCAGCCGTATTGTACATACCGGTATGCTAACATCGTCCACTTACTTAGGACGGACAGGGGCATAGCTCCTTATATAAATACGAGCAACACAGTTGTAGCCAAGGCCACGGCGGCCTGCATGTGCCGGCGTCTTCCGTGTCTATAACCCAATCACGTGTCCAACTGCCCATGATTGCTTGCACGCGCATACCGTAGGCGCACGAGAGGTATGCACGGGCCTCATCATGACATGGTGTCATACATGCGTGGCATAAACGCGGGGCCCCATCATAGCACTGTTTCATGCATGCCGCCGCAAGCCATGTCGTAACCGCCGCGACCGCCGGAGCGAAGAAGGCGCCACCGCAGCACCCCCCTTCCCTTTCCCTCCTGCGGCCTGGGCCCCCTCTTCCCCGGTCACAGCCGTCTTCGTCGAGGCATGCGCTGCTTCCTTCCCGGCTGCTACTGCTGCTGATGTCGATACGCCCGATGCACCCTTTACGGCCGCCGTAGCAGCCTTGGAGGCCTTCACCTCCCCAGCAACAACCGCGACAGGCGTTGCCGAAGCGCCCTCCGTCGCCGCCGCTGCCGCCCTCAGCGCTACACCGCTACCCGCCTCCTTCCCCCCTGCTGCTGCTGCTGCCCCTCCTCCTCCTCCTCCTCCCTGACTCCCTCCACCATCGCTACTTATGACAGCTCTTGCTGCTGCCCCGCCCGCCCTCCCCCCTACCTCCTCTTCCACCTTCGCTACCTCCGTCCCTGCACCCTCCGCTGCTACTGCTACTGTCGGCCCCGTTCCCGCCCCCGCTACCCCTATCTCCACCGTGTCCACGTCATGCACGCGGGGCGCCTGGTCTAGCAGGGCCCCCAGCTCCTGACTTGCCACCGCGGAAACCGCATGGCGCGCGTCTAGACCGCAGCCCTGATGGGGGGAAGGTACGAAGCAAGGGCGTCATCAAGAAAGCCGCGGAAGGAGAAGGACCAGGGCGAAAGTGCAGTCTCTCTCACTCTTAAACTCCGCCTGCTGCACACCCTGTCCTGTCCACTCACCTCCCCCACGTTTATCCCCAGGTGCGCCAGGAAGCACAGCCCCCCGCGGTGCTCGCTGCGGGTCACGGCAGCCGCCCGGATGACGGCAACCAACACAAACAGGACTGCCAGGCTGCCCAGCAACAGCACCGGAACCAAACCCTGGAGGCGGGGGGAAGGGGGAAATAGGGGATGATGTTTTCGAGCTGGGGAGGGAACAGGTTCTGCGATTGCGAGGTTGGCAGGACAGCAAAACGCCGTAGCGAATCCCTCCCTTCCTAATTCTTACCGCCCCTGCCCCCTTCCTCCTACCGCATTCGCTCGCACGTCACCCTGTTCCCTGTCAACTCGCAGCAACCGCCTCCCCTCCCTCCAACCACATCCCAGCGCACAGACCGCAAAGATCCAACCCACCTTGCGCTTCCGCTCAAGCTGCGTCAGTATGGCGGGCAGCTGGTTCATCCAGGCCGACCCAGGGTCACTCCAGCCGCCCAGCTCCTCCCCATCTGGCCCCGCCAAGCCGCCTCCGCCGCTGCGCCCGCCCGAGGTAGCTGCTCCGGGAGACAGCGCTGAGAAAATCTTGGACTGCGGCTTGAAGCCTGCGACCCATGGGTCAGCGGTCATGGGCGCACGACGTGTAGGCAGGCAGGTAGGTAGGCAGGCAATGCGGCAATACCTTGTAAGTCCTCTCAGGAAGAGAAAGCCCAGAGCAGCAGCACTACATGTGCACTGAGGCGCATTTGACTACAGCCCATATGTGGCCACGTACAACACCATACAACACCGTTACCCCGGCTGAAGCTCTTCCGCAGCTTCCACTCTCACCCCTCCTCACTTCTCTTTCCTTTTTCCCCACCCCTCCTGCCCCACCCCCCACCCCACCCTCCCCGACCCACCCGCTTGCACGTCCTGAAACGCCCTGGCCGCCAGCCTACTCTTCAGCCCCGCATTCTCCTCCAGCAGGCGAGCGGTGTCCTCCCGGTTCTGGCGGGCCGCTGCGGTGGCCATCTCCTTGAAGGCCTCAAACTCGCGCTGTACCGCCACCTTCTGCTGGTTCAGGGAGGCCAGCTCGCCCGCTAGGGCCTGAGGAAGGGGAGGCGGAGGGTAAGGAAAGGAGGTTTTGAAATTATAAGGGAGAGGGAGGGAGCAGCTCACAATCAACCATGGGTTAAGACTTTTCTTTAAGATGCATGGCCATAGCCCGATCGCCCACACACTCGACAGTCCATAATAACCCCCTCGCAACGTTCTCAGTTCCTACGACATCCTCCAAACATACTCACACACCCACTTCATCTTCCGGCAATCCAAGAACGTTCCGCCTCGCGGCCAGTTTCTCAACACACCCAGCATCCAGTTATTTCCTCACCCACCATCGCGTCCGTGTTCCTGGCTGCTTCCTCCAAGTGCAGTCGCACCCTCGCCACCTCCGCCTCAAGCTCCCCCACCCGCGCCTCCGCAGCTGCGGTGGCCCGAACCACCTCAGCCTGCCAGGCCTCGGTAAGAGCCGCCTCGGCAGCCGCAACCGCCTGCTTCCTGGGGAAAGATGGCACGTACGTACGGCAATAAACTGTCATGTACGTCATGCCGAACAGGTAGGATGATGGGGGGGGTTACTTACACGAACGATAAACGCGGTTTCAGTTTTCAAACGAAACCCGCCCCCATCTCGCAGCCCCCGTCCTCCCAATGGTGCAGCCCTGTCACATGACTACAACTTCCTCTTTACCGTCCCCACCTGCTGCTGTTCGCTGCCTGCAACTCGCTACGCAGGGACTGAAGCTCCGCGTCCCGAGTTCGCATCTCCAGGTCATAGCGGGCCTGAAGACGGGCAGAGGCAGGCGGACAGGCAGGAGGGTTGGTTGGCAGGTGAGTTGGCAGGCAGGCGGAAAGCCACATAATGCAGGAGACGGCCCGAGTGGTCAGTATGCCAGGGGAAGTTGTTTTCTCTCTAGTTCCCCCACTCTTTTGGTCCTTTCCCTCCCCCTCCTCACCTGCAGCAGGGCCAGCTCGTGCTGCAGCTGCTCCAACTCGTCCTCCACCGCCTGGGCGTGGTGGGGACCGGTGGTTCAGAAAGCCAAGTGTGAGCTCATGTAAGGTAGAGGGTACGGAGGAGAAGACTAACTGTAACTGTAAGGTAGAGGGTAAGGGAAGCCGTGGGCGACACCAAAGCAGCGGCTGAATGAACCCTCCAGCACACAACATCAGCAGGAAGGGAAGAATGGGGAAGGGAAGCCGACCGAGTGGTCCGAAGGCCGATCTGGGTCAAGGAAACAAGGCCTATTCGGTAACTATAACGGCCCTCAAAGCATCAGCCAAGGAGCATCCATCGTTCCATTCCCACTCGTGCTCCTCTAAACCGCACCTGCGCCACCGCTGTCCGCGCGCGCGCCTCATCCGCCTGCCTCTCCGCCGCCTCCGCCTCCGCTGCCGCCGCCAGGGCCTCTCGTAGCGCCCGCTTCTGAGCTGTGTACATGCGCCGACACTCCTCCAGCTCCTGCGGTTGGTTGGGGTGTGGGGTGCAGGGCGGTTCTTATCATGACCCTAATCAGTTCGACTTAGTTGATCAGGCGTGTGGTGCATGGCCGTGTTGATGGTGTTGCGGCAGGGGAGGGACATGGATCCGTCGAGACGATTGAGGGGCTGGATTCAGAGCATGGTGGTTTCTTGAAGACATAAGAAAGGCCGTTCCGGGGTCAGCTTCATGTGGGTCATGCCATAGCCGTAACGGTCACCCCACCTCCTCCTTGTGCCCCAGCGCCGCCTCCAGCTGCTCCACGTGTGCAGCCAGGCTGACCAGCTGGCGGTCCTTCTCCGTGGCCACGTGGGCCGCCAGCTCCGCCACCCGCTCCTGAGACACGGCAACCTCCTTGCGGGAGAGCTGCACGGTCTGTGTTGGAGGGAAGAGGAGGGGAAGAGGGGAAGAGGGGAGGAGGAAGAGGAAGTGGGGGAGGTTTGAAAAGGAGGTGGAAAAGGTTCGGGGAAAGGTTACAGAGGAAGAGGGAAGGGTGCGAGGGAGAGGGGACAGGAGCCGGAGGCGAAGAGGAGGTATAGGGGTGGTGAGGTGGGCAAACGATAGGGGCAGACGTACATGGTTGAAGGTGTTTGGGGCTAGCAGATGGCTAGGTGGCGTGCCAGGCATATTGGGCTTTCGAAAGGTTTTACAAGTGGTTTTCGGTGGCGTGTATAGTACACGGATTTGGCTATATTCTGTGGACAGCAATTATCGGAAGCACTTAGGGCTAGGTTACCTTGGCTGCCAGCTCCTTGCGAACATCCATTAACTCCTTGCGTGTCCGATGGAGCTCATCCTCAAGCGCGGCAACCGCTGCGCTGTGCGCATCCTCGCCCGTCTCGCCGACGCTGAGCCCCGACGTTTTTAGCTCTACCCCATCCTGCTGCTGGTTATCTTCCTCCGCATCCTCTTCCAACCACAAGAGCTGGTCCTCATTGTTCTCCATGCCAGCAAGCTCTGGCATTTTTACCGCTAAAATATATCAAGGATGTCACATAGATAGAAGCGTCTATCCACACCCTGGGACTGATCCAAGGCACAAGGCATGCATTATGATCAATGCAAGTTGAATACTTGCGGATGCTAGTTCAACAAGCAGTAAAAATAGCTAACGAAGAAACACTTGTAATACTAAGCCTTTTGGATGTCTCCGGCTGTTGGAAGCTTGGGTTTGGATGCAGTACGGCACGCCCCCCATCAGTCGTAATGTCTTTGAAGCTAAACGTTATGCGCAATCAACATCACAAGACAGAAGTGCGATGGCTATCCCTTGACTATCGACACGCTACCCTGACAGGGACGCAGCGCATACATCCAGCTGCCTTACCAGTGACCTCTCATATTTTGATATGTAAATACTAGCATTCACACAAGTCTGTTTAGGTATACCCTTTAACGCTTTGGAGTGAACCCTTACTGAGGAAATTAAAAATGGCACTTGTCAAGCACGGATTCCCTATAGAAAGCAGGGATTTGACTGCAGAACAGCTGGTAAGACAATGAGCGTGCTTACGGCTATCGCCTATTGTTACACGGCGGGGCGCTCATTACGACAGCCTCCCTTTTAAACAGACCAAACTCCGGGCCTTCAAGCACTTACTCCAACAGACAGGCTCTTGGGACGACGCGCGCTTTGGTAAGGCGTTAGCTGGTTTGCTTTGCCGCTGTTGAACCTTGATTGCCGGCCGGTTGCCGTGGACCAGTCAAAGCTGGCTGACCGCGGGTGCATAAAGCGCAACCAATAAACAGTCAGAGTCTTAAGCAATATAAGTAGTCGGCTAGACAGGCTTCTGTGCCGGGCATATTAACTGCCCAACCTGCTGTGCCCATCCACCTGCTCCCCTCCTTTTCCGACCTGGATCGACGTTCCGCAGACGACCATGACTGTGCACGTTTCCTCAAGGCCCGCCAGTATGACGTGCAAGCCGCCAAGCAGATGTGGGACGCCATGCTTGCGTGGCGGAAAGAAAACCGCGTTGACAACATACACGATTGGTTTGTGTTTAAGGAGCGTGCGGAGTACGACCGTGTCTTCCCCACCGGCTTGCACAAGACGGACAAGGAGGTGGGTCGGCGCAGAAACTATGATGCACGCTGTGTTGGGTGCCCGTGGCGACTATTGAACAGCGTCCAAAGAGCATGGGTTCATCGTCACGACCCATGCGGCAGGAGCTTTGCCCTCACCCCCTTCCGCCTCTTCATTGACGACCCTCTCTCCATGCTAACTTACATCCAAACCCAAGTCAACCCCGCCCTTCCTGCCCTTCCACCTCCTCCTCCTCAGGGTCACCCCATCCTCATCCAGCAGCTCGGCCGTGTCAACATTGGGGCGCTCTACAAGGTCACAAACGACGAACGCATCCGTCTAGCGCACGTGGCGGAGAACGAGCACCTGCGGCGTGTCGTCTTCCCCGCCTGCTCCCGAGCCGCTGGGCGACCCATTGACCAGCTCTTTACCATCATCGACTTGGAGGGTGTTGCCTTCACGTGAGACGGGGACATGGCCGGCAGGGGTGCTTGCAACCACCACCTTGACTGCACCACAGCACAAACTGGCCGCACATCACCAGCCTCGCGACTGACGCTTTGCTGAAGTTCGTGTAAATGCATGTGGAGAGCATGCTCAACCTTTGTTTGCTGTTGTTCTCTGATCCCATGTTCCTGCCCTGTTGACGGCTGCTGCCGTACATACTCGCCTCCCCTCATGCCGTGTGTAACCATGGGCCGTGTATGCCGTACAGTGGCATGATGCGGACCACCTCGCTGCTCAAGATGTTCATGGCCATGGACTCTAACAACTACCCGGAGACGCTGTCACGCATGGCCATCATCAACGCGCCCGGCTGGTTCTCCACCTCCTGGGGCGCCGTCAAGAGCGTGCTCAGCGGTGACACGGTCAAGAAGATTGAGGTGCGTGCGCTGGTGGGCTGGTAGTTAGATACCGGTAGCGCGCGGAGAGGCACCTCAGGATGAGCAGGCTGAGGTCGGGTTGCCTGGTTTTCCCGATTGTTGGTCCTTGGTGGAACCCAAAACTGGTAGGCATGGGGTTACATGGTCATAGGTTGCAGAATACCCATGGTTTCCCTTCTTGCACCGCCTTGCTGCCCATCGATCGATCTGGCCCTTTATAATAAAAGGCCGATTGCCTTTCTGGTTCTCTGCTCGTCTCCCTTGTTCCTCAAGCGGCTCTTGGGATCCCGTCTTTTGCTGCCCTCGCCAACCTACTGCCCCACCATGATGCACCAACCTCACAGATCCTGGGCAAGGACTACAAAGAGGCGCTGCTGCGTCACATCCACCCGGACAACCTCCTCTTCGAGTACGGCGGCACCTCTCGCGGCAGTGTAACGGCCAACACGGGCCCATGGCAGGACCCCTCCCTGCTGGAGCCCCTGCCGGAGCCGCCCGCGCCGCCGCCTCTGGTCCCGCCCCCGCTGCCGCTGACACCCGCCGGGCTGGGACAGGTAGAGCCGCTCGTAGACACGCAGCAGGCGGTGGTTGGAGGCGGCAGCGGAGGAGTGGACCAACGGACGCCACGTGACGCGCAGCTCCGTCGCTCGCAATCCCCAGTTCGACCCGGGGCGAAAACTCCCGCGGGCGTGGTGGGTGGGGTGGGCGGCCCGCACCAAGCACCCGCGGCGAGCCCCCCGGACGCTAAACGGATCCACCTTGACGCCACATCGCAGCCTTCCCAGCAGCCGTCCTTGTCCCCATCGCCAGCGGCGCAGGGGCAGGGCAGCAGCCCCGCGCCCAGCGTCAGTGATACCTCCTCCGACATTGCGCAGAACATGGCGGCACCGCTGCTGAGCAACTTCCTGCCGGCCAGCGACTCCCCACTCCACCAGAAGCCCCTGTCGCAGCCTCTGCTTGTCGCGGAGAGCACGCTATCACCACCACCGCCGCGAGGCCTTCCGCTTGCTGCATCATCCATGCAGTCCGCACCGTCGCAGCCGGGGCCGGCACGCCGTACTGGCTCCGCTGGCGGTGCGCCGTCGCCCGCACACGCCGCAGCCGCTGTTGTCCCAGGTGGGCTTGTCAGCAGCGGGCTCACAGCCGGGCTGGTAGCGGGGATTCAGGCGGCGGTGTCACATGCCGGGTACCAGCCGCAGCACAGTGGAGGTAGTGCTGGTGAAGGGGTAGTCGGTGCCGCTGCTGCAGCCGCTCTTGACGCTGGCCTTCTCCACCCGTCCGCAGGTGGAAGCCCGGCGCCTTCCGCTGCGGCGTTGGGCGCAGTGCCGCCTCGGAGTACCTACCACACCCCCCTGCCGGCGACGCAGCAGCAGCACCAGCAACAAGCTGTGGCGGCGGCGGCCATGGTGGCAGGGAGGGCCTTGGCGGTGGGCCCGACACAGCTCCAAGTGGCTTCACCGCGGGAGGAGGTGTTTGGCGCGGAGACGATGCTTTCCGCCGCCAGCACCCTCTACAGCATGCGCAGCGCCATGAGCCCGATGAGCCCCATGGACGCGCACATGATTGACATGGTCACCTCACGCGCACAGCCCGAGGGTGTTGCCGGTCCGGTCCTGGCCCGGGCTTCAGCCGGATTCGCTGCGACCGTGACGTCCACCCAGCGGCGGATTAGCGGCAGCGGCGGTAGCGGAGTCCTTTTGGCTGCTTCGGGGCCGTCTGTAACGCTTGGATCGGGGCAGCCGCCGCAGCAGCCTCCTGGCGCTGCGAGCAACCTCTTTGGCGGTGCGGTGGTCGCCAGCGGGGAGCTACCCCCCGGCCCGGCGCAGCCCCTGCAGCAGCAGGACACGGATGACGCCGATTCGGTGCGTTTCTCTGTCATGAGCCAGCGCTCCTTCTACAGTGCGCTCTCGCACGTGGACCCGGGCAGCAGCAGCGGCCTAACCAGCCCCAGTGAGGCTTCAGACTACGCGCGGCGCTGGTCTGTGCAGCGTGAGCTGCATGCAGCTGCAATTGCCTCGGCCTTGGCAGCCACGGCGGAGCAGCGCCGGATCGCCGCCGCAGCGGCGGCGGCGTCCTTGACGCCGCTGGCGGTGACGACGACGGCGGGCAAGCCGCCTGGCGGCCCCTCCGCGGCAGCGACGTCTGCCGTACCGGCCCTGCCTGGCGTGTCGTTTATCGTACCGCCTGCGTCTCAACAAGCATTTGGGTCGTACCTGGACCAGCCCCCCTCGTATCGCGCCGTTGCGGTCGCGGAGGGCCCGTCCAACGGCAACACGGTGTCTGGAAGCGACTTGGGCAGCCGGCATGGCGCAGACGTGTCGGCGGGAGCTGAGGGGGCTGCGGGGACGGGCGCTGCTGCTGCGTCCACGCAAGGGCTCAAGGGCTCGGCCTCTCGGGGGGAACTTGCGGTGTTTGGGAGCGACGTGATCATCCATGTGGGTACCGACGTGGCTGGCGTTGCTGGTAGCAGCCTGTCTCGCTCGCATTCGGCTGCTGCCATGGACGAGTGCAGCCTGGGTGCCGGGGCGGTGCGGTGGGCTCGTGGCTGGTTTTTCCGGCGGCGGAACTACGGGCGTCTTATGGAGCCCGAGTCTTTGGACGCTAGCGGGGGCATGATTGGCCTAGGCAGCAGCAACAGCCGGGGCGGCAGCAGCGGCGGCGGAGCCGTCAGTGCTGACGGCAGCCGGCCGACAGGGGCGGCGACGCATGCACGCAAGGGTTCCGCAGGTGCCACCTACTCGAGCATCAAGGACGGGCCGGGCAGCACCAGCCCCAGCAAGATGCTTCCCAAGGCGCCGTCAGTGCCGCACCATGCACGCGGGGATTCTTGGGAATGGGACCAGCCGTCGCCGTACGACATTGATCAGACGTACGGGCGGTCGGTTGGCGGCAGCGCGATGCATCGTGACATGTCGTTTGGTCGAGGCGCCGAGCGGCGGCGGCTGTTGCGGTCCGAAAGCCCCGGCCGCCGGCGCGGCATGTTGAAATCCTGCTGCGGGTGTCTGCCGGGCTGCACTATCATGTGATGGGGCGGAAGAGTATTATCCTTAATGGAAGGTTGGGAGGGAAAGGGTAGGTGTGGGAATGACTAGGAAGAAACGAACCATGTGCAAAGTCTCCACCATGTAGGAGTGGGAGAGGGAGGGATCGGACATTGCCCGGTGTTTTTTTGCTTGGTAAAAGTGGGGTAAGAGTTGAACAATCGCAAAGGACGTCCCCGCATTGCGGCGCGCTCCTAGTTCGTATGCTGTGTGGCTTTGCAACAGGTCGAATAACCGTGATTGTGGGACGTTGGCTGATGTTGTTAGTCGTGGCCTTTGCAGCTTACATCGGGGGTTTAACTCTTATGACCGGGTGCGAGGTGTCTGTGGCTGAGGGTTTGGGTTTGGCCCGGGTGAAAGAGGGCTTGTTGGGGCTTCTTTGATCAGGTCTGTCAGGGGGCAATCGGGAGCTGTGTGCCAGTAGCACAAACTGACCTCTTTGTCGCAATCGATGCGTGTGACAAGGGAGTGGACTAGCGCCTTGGGTGCACCGGGGTTAAAAGCGCTCTAGGTGTGCTCGTTTGAGGGAGTATGTGTGTGGGACGCGAGAGCTGAGCGATGCGAGCAACAACACAATAGACAGTGAGCGTTGGTAACTCTTGATGATAACTCTCTTTTACTAAGGACTGACTTACACGGAACGGAACGTAACTTGTGTGAAGGCTTGGCTCTTCATGGCTCTTATGCAACCGTGTGATGGGACTGTGTTTGCAACATTGGATGGGTCACCATGAAACTCTGTTGTGATTCCTTCCGGGGGTTCCAGCTTTGACGCCGCAAGTGACATGACACACGCTGCTACTGGGGTTTCATAGCTTTGTTGGCGCAGTAGTTGCCCCGGCGAAGGCGGATGGAGCAGGTCTTGGGAGGCGCATCCCGTACGTGCACCCCCGTTCCAACCTTGTTATCATGAAGTCCCTCCTGCATCGTAACCTCCTCGGTCCATTTCCGGATCCTCCGTCCCTCCCAATCCTCGCTGCAATGTGGTCTTTCAATGCACTAAGGCATCCGCAGTCAGTCGGTCCACTCGGCCAGGAAGGCATGTGCACCGCTTGGAAGAAAGCGGTTGCAAAAATGGACTTTGCTGTGTTACGGCAGCTTTGGAGTTGCTTGAGATCCTTTCCTTCCCTCCCAAAGTTCAGGTATAGGTTTTGCCTTAATTGCAGAGCGCTCACGCCGCCGTGAGTGCATGACCCAACTGCCGTGTCCCCGAGCCACCTTGGCACTTCCCGTAGTCCATTGCTGCACTCGCTCTGTGTCTGGCATTGTTTTGGGAAGGCAGGGGCTGACCATGCTGACTGGCGCTTGAGGTACCAGGTGCTTTGGTGATCTGTTCTGCTGGCGGATTGCACATAACGAGGCGCATTGTGCTTGTTCCTTGCCGGGGTTCTAGCTATGCGAGACATGGTTGACCTGCTGTAGAAGGCTCTACCGTGCACGCCCACGGTGTGGGGCAAGTGCTAGGCAATAACCACCTTCGCTCGCTGCATGTGCACTGGTGTGTGTTACTCTCTCCGGTCGTTGGATCGCTTCAATGCGTCTTGCTCAAGGTACATCGACAGGCTTCTGCGAAGGACCACATCGGTAAGAACTGACCCTCGGGACGCCCACATTTTGAATAGGAAGAAAGGCAATGCGTTATGTCGTTGCGTGCAGTAGCAGATAAGGGATACCACCAGCTTCGAGGTTGTTGCGTCTCTAAGTTCCCATGTCAACTCGGTACGTCAAGGAGGAAGAAAGCTGCACACCGCAGAGAAACAATCTTACATCACTATACCTAAACGTTAGTGCTAACATGAAGCCGTGATCAAAGTGGTATCTTGTGACACGGTTGCATCGACATAGGAAAACTGGGCCTTATTGAGATTACTTTACCTATCCGCGTTGGCATTCGGTCGCAATTTGCACACAATGAACACATTCTCAGTAGGATATACCAGTATCTAGATAACGTTCGAGCTTGTCACTAAATACAGCTGAATCAGGCGAGGTTGCTAGAAGACTTAGCAAATCAGGGCTTAAACATGCAGAGCTGCTGTCCTGGAAGCTCTGTGGGCTATCAGCGGCGTCCAGGATTGCAAGCTGGAGGGCGTCTGCCCTGTCGCGTTACACGACAACCGACTTACGGGTGCTGGCGTGGCAAGGGCGCAACCGGCAGCCTTCAACAAGTTGCCAGCAGCCCCAGCAATTCATTTCAACGCGATGAGGGTGATTTAGGAGCGCCTGCCAAGCGGCAAGGCGAAACTGACGGATTGAGCGTTTCGGGTGCACGTGACATGCAAAGCTCAGAGCAGACACACATCCTTGACAAGGGACTACTTGCACGGCAAATGAAGATTACTGCAGCAGCAGCGCTAGCTGGAATGGCGGCCGAGGGACGTGACAGTAGCATGGGTCATGCGAGCCCTAGCCACATGCCTACGCCACCCTCGCGCCTCTCCAGCCAAGCCGAAGGCTCGAACGAGTTCCACGTCTTTGGCGTTCTAGATGCTGCTTACATCGACACTCAATCGGCAAGCCATTTCCTATCACAGCTGGCCATGCAAAATTCTCGGAGCAGTCCCCTAACAGTGGAGGAACTGGTAAGCAACAGCGTGGCCGTACCTTCAAGCACCGCAAGGGGAACATGTAAATCATTCGGCAAACTGCTTACTGTGATCAGCATGAAATGCTATGTGCTGCGCCCGTCACATAACCACTCACCGTTCTCCGCCTTCACCTCCACCCACCCTCCTATTTCCATCCATTCTCCGTCTCCACTCATCCATTTCCACCTTACCTCTCGCTGCTTCTCCTTTCCCTCGTCACCCGCTTCCCGCACAGCTCCACGCGGCCCGCATCGCCGGCATCACCGGCCTCTCCCTGCCGCCCGCCCTAGCGGCTCAGCTGCAAGACCTAATGCAAGCCCCCGAGCCCCAAGCCGCCCGCACCTCCGTCCTGCCGCTTCTGACCGCCTTCCGCCACAACCTTCCAGCGCTACTGGAGGTGCTGCGCTCGCTGCAGGTTACCCCATCGCTCGCTTGGGTTGATTACGCCCTGAACACTTGGCTCCATGGGGGCAGCAGCAACAGCAGCAACGGTAACGGAACCGACAACGGCAGCGGTGAAGATACCGAAGCGGCGGCTCCAGCGGTAGTGGCTGGGGCTCCTGACTTGGCGATTGCAGATGTACGAGCGCTGATGACGCAGCTAGAGGCCATGTACCTACCCCATGTGGATCCCGGTACCGAGCCGGCCGCAGGTCCTGTCGTACAGTCGCCGCCAAGCACTATCAGCACCGCCACCACCGCCACCACCGCCTCCGCCACAGTTTCGAAGCTGGAGTCCTGGCTAGACACCTGCATCGCCCGCTTGCTTGACGGCGGAGGCCTGATGGAGCCACGTCAGCGGGAGGAGTTGTACGACACGTTGCCGTACCTGGCGACGGCGCCGTCAGCGGCCGCCGTGGAGAGACTGTACGGCGAGGCTTGGCCGCCCGGGGGCACGTCGACATCGGTGGAGGCGCTGAGCGGGTTGCTTTGGTTGGTGGCGGCGTCAGGTGGGTCGTGTGTTGGGCTGTTGTTGGGGCTCACTCCACGATGATGTTGTACCGTTGAGGTGTGCGTTCTCCCTATATTCTCTTTACATATACTGTATACATCATAACCCCTTTTTCACGTCTCCCTGTTGACAACGCCTCTCCTCCCCTCCCTCGTCTTCCTCGCCACGCACACCGCCAGGCGCTCAACTCGAACCCGAGGACATCCAACAGGAACTCCGACGTCTGGAGTTTTCCGTGGCGCACATTGCCGCGTACGGCAGACCATGGAGCACCCAACCGTCAACCTCCAACAACAACCTCAACGGTCCAACGGACAGCTCCTCCTCTTCCTCCTCTTTCAACCATGGCGATTTCAACGGCCAACCGCCAACCACCAACAAATCTGAGGACATGGCAGCGGCCGCGGCGGCACTTTCCGCAGCCTTTGCGTTGCCTTCTGCTCAGGGCTCCGACGGCTTCCTGGCCTCCTCCTCCTCATCTCTTTCCTCCTCCACAACGCCCCCCGCCCTTCCGCCCACATCCTCCTCCTGGCCTGGGTTCTTCCCTCCGTACACCGCCTACCGCGCCCTGTGGGCCTTCCACCACTATCGACACAATCTCCACCCCGCCAACGCGGCATGGGTGGGATCCGCCCTGCTCACCGCAGCCCTTGCTGGCTCCCGCTACTTTCCCTACACCCTGCAACAGCAGCACGCGCAGCGGCTAAGGCAGCAGCATCAGATCCTGAGTGCACGGCAGCGCTGCCGTGTGTTTCGTGCCTGCCTGCTGTGCTTCCCAAGCGTCCAGGCGCAGCTTCTGACACATCACGACCTGTCGCCGCTGTTTGCCGGCTGGCAGCAGCTGAGCGCGAGCGAGCTCTTTGCGTTGCTGGAAGACGTGGCGACGTTAGCAAGGAAGCGTCAGCAGCTGCGCCGTACATCTGACGCAGCGGATGACGGCATGAACGACAGTGACGTGGGAGGAGGTGGAGGTGGCGGGCAGTTGCAGTTGGGGCATCTCGCGGCGCACGTTGTACAACTACCCGGGTGGCCGGAACGGTTGATGGGGGTAGGCTTGGGGCCGGTCATGGGCTCCGTTGCGAGCTTGATGACGGTTCTGGGGCTGAGCTACGTGGAGGGAGATGGAGACTCGGCAGCGGAGTGGCTTGTCGGTGCTGGTGCTGCTGCCGACGACGTTAAAGCTGACGGCGTTAACGCTGATGACAGCAGCGGCAGCAGCAGCGCGGACGGAGCTTTCGGAGGCTCACCGCAGTATGCTCAGGAGCTGCTGTCTAGCTGGCTGCAGTGCTTGATGCCCTCGCTGCGGAGTGCGGTTAAGGAGGCCACGGGCGGCGGTTGGGGAGGCTCGTCGTCGTCCTCCTCCTCCTCCTCCTCCTCCTCGTCTGCCTCTGGTCAGCCTAGCGGCAGCGGGACCGTGGGCAGTGGCTTTTGGAACCCGGGAGATCAGCACCCGCAGCACCCGCAGCAGCAGCACCAACATGTGTACTACCAAGGCACGTCACAGTACGGTGGCTTTGGCGCTTCTCCTCCTGTTTGGCAATCTACAACCACGACTTGGGAGGAGGAGGAGCCCGCCGCCGTGGGTAGCCCCCTGGCCCGGACTCCCTCTCCCTCGGCCGCGAGCTGGCCCATGTCTGACACAGCAGCAGCCGCGGCGGCGGCAGAAAGCCTGCCTGCAGGCGTCGGCATGAACGGCGGCGCCTTTTCCTGGTCTTCTTCTTCTTCTCCCTCGCCTTCGCCGTTGCCGCAGCCGGCGATGATGGCAGGTGGCATGACGGCAACGGCGGCTGCAGCGCCGCCGCCGCCACTGACGGCCGTGGAGTTGACGGCGGCGCTGAAGACGCTTCGCAGTGCGGCAACGGCATTGGAAAACGCCCACCAAGTGCATCATTTGCACTCGCATCAAGATCTCCGTCGTACATTGATGTGGGCGATGCAGCGGCTGGGCGCGAGGGCGGGCCGGTGTGTCGTACACCCCGCGGACTTTGGTCGCGTGCCCGAGATGCTGAACTGGGTGGGTCGCTACGAGTTGGTTAGGGCTGTAGGGCGTGCGAGGGTTATTGGCGGCCCTTGTTGTCCTGCTTGCTGAGCGGTGCCACAGAGGACGATGGTGGTACCCTCCATGCGTCTGTTTTCCTTTTCAGTCACGCCTGTTACGCCTGTCACGTTCATTGGCGTTGTAGCAGCCCTGCCCTCCTCACCCTTTCTTTTCCTTTCCTTCGCTTCTCCAAACCTTCGCCATCGCCAACTGACACCGCGCAGATGGACGCGCTGGGCTGGGTCGACGTGCCGCTGCAGTGGGCGGAGTCCGTTGTACGGCATTCCGAGGAGAATCCAGCCGAAGGCGATTCTTGGTTTCGGAACATGTCATGGCAGGACGCCCTAGGTGCCGTACTGGCCTCCGGGCAGCTGGTGCAACGTGCTCGAGCGGGGATGCTGCGACGACATGGCGTATTGTCATCGTCATCATCATCGTCGTCCTCGTCGGGTGTTGAGTACGACAATGCTGACTCAGCGTCGTCGTTGTCGTACAGTATTCCCTCTCAGTCCCTTCCAGCCTCGGGACCTCCATCGGGATCTTCTTCTGCGTCGCAATCCAAGGCAGAAGCTCTCCATGCGGCCGCCCAAAAGCTCCGAGCCCACATGCTGCGTCTGCTGAAGACCCGCGCAGCCGCATCAAGTACGGCAGATCTACGGCAGTTGGCTCTGACGTGGCAAGTGTACGACATGGCGTACGACAAGGAGGCTCTGAGTGCGACGTTGAAGGCATTGTACGACGTGTTGATGGGCCGGCGGCGAGCTGACATCGGCGGCAGCGATGCTGATTTTGACGGTTGGGGCGGGTTTGGAGGTGGGGTGGGTATGAACAGTGGTCCTGTGTTTGATGCGGTCATGAGGCTGCAGGCGCTTTGCCGGGAGAGAGGGGCTGCGCAGGAGGAGGTGGACGGGCTGTTTGAGGCCTGGTGGTGAGAGCAGAGTACGGTAGCTGTTTCTTTTGGTGAGTTTAAGAGTTGTTTTTTGCAGCTAATTTTGGGGGGTTTGGCTGCCAAAGCTGACATTGCTCATATCGTGGGATGGATGTGTATGATGTACCGAAATGGCGTAGACAGGGCCGCTTCACACCCCCTTCTGGGACCCCTAGTTTGACCAAATTTGAATTCCACTTACAGGAAACTTGGTCAAAGGTCCCATAGTATACACAAGCAATTTCTTTTACCCAATATTAAAGGGGAGTTTATGTGAAGTACCCGTCTATCAGCCTGTGTCAATCGGTCCTTACCCAGTTGTTCAAGGGGCCTCTTAGGCGTTGTAGCTCTTCCATGGAACGCTGTAGCTCTTTCGTGGGACGTCGAAGCTCTGATCGTGGTGCATCATCATGCGTTGCTCGTGTTCTAATCCTACAGTGCATGGTGTTCGAGATTGAGATCCGGATCCTGTTGTTCGCTAGTCGTAGCAATCCGCTGACTCAAGATGTATGGGTCATTTTGGAGCGGATTTTCGTCCGCGCTTTCCCACAGCCATGCCCAACAGAAGGGCAATGGGTGTTGGCACCTAGCCGCGTGCCTTAACCTCGACACCAAGACCTATTCCTGCACGCAGGAATGACTTGGCTCAGCAAAATGGCAGGTGTTTGTGATGCCGTATTTCTTCTTTCGGAGCTGTGTGGATGCCTGGATTCGGCAAGAGTGCGATTTGGCTGCTGGGTGAAGGACGCTTTTTGTAGCTGTCGGCTGGAGTACGGTCCCATACTTGCTGTCGCGCTGCTTAAGAGATCTGGCGAAGGGCTGTATGTATTGCTAGGTGTCCGTCGAGCCAGAATAAGATCGGGTTTTGACGGAATTGCTTATCCACTGGAGCATGCAAGGGAATTGCTGCTGGTGTTCCTTTCCATGCTGCCTGTTGCTGCTGCTGATAATAATGAATTTCCGCTCCGTTGGGATCACATCGAGGATCAGGTCTGTTACATGATAGCGCTTGTTGCTTTGAGAAGAGAGAAAGACGGGTGGGATGTGGAGATGTTTTCAGTTGCTCACCTTCACCCACCATTTATTGTTGCGATGTTGCCACCCAAGCGCAACCCATGATTGACATACCGGTGACTTGGGCGGAGTTTTGGCACAACCGTACGGAAAACCCCTGCAACATTGTTGCTTGCTTTGCTCTGGACTATTGTTGCATGTTTCTGTTGGTGACTGTATTGGGCACGGTGTGCATGATGTTGAGTGCCGGATGAGGCAAGGCAAAATATGGTGTGATGGCATGACGGAGTGAAGAGAGTGAAAGCGGGCGGCGTGAGTATCCAGGTTAGGCATGCACCACCGGACGCGACGCATGGGCTGGCCGTTAACATGCCTGAATGGCAGTTGTGGCGACAGTTGCAGGTTTTACTTGCGGTTATAAGGTGCTTGATGTTAAGAGTCAGGACAGCAGCCATTGCTGTTGCTAAACCCCTCCCGCAGAGGTCAACAGCAAGGCTGCGTTGAGGTCGTGGAAATCGATGTCTAGCTTCTTCCACCTACTACATTCCTGACTACAATACCGACGTTTTACCCTGCGCGAGGAGGCGTGGCAGGACGTAATGTAGCCGATGTATGCCGTACTTGTAACACTGCACACACATACACCTCGTCGAGTGCAGGCACAAGCAAACGAGTGCGGTAGAGCGACTTGGTTTCTTGTGCTGGCGGCTTGCAAAAAGGTTAGCCGACCTTCCCTCTTGCTAATTCCATGGGTTTTCGTGTGCGCGGTGCACGTGCGTGTGGCATAGCTAAGGTCATCAGCTCATCACCCAGCAGTTACCCTATCTATCTGAAGGGCTAGCTATCCTGTACAGATGCTTAATCCGCACCAGCCGCATGCGTGGCTGCAAGTAAACCGGTCCGCGACATGTAAGAGAGGCGCCTACTCAACCAGCCCTGTCAAGCACTTTCGCCTGGAAGTTAGGAAACACGCAGTTCCCCTCCCGGAGAGTTGGTTTAGGTGACTGTCACAACCGCATTCCCCTGTTAATGCCACGAAACACACGAATTCTTGTGGTCCTTACGAATCGTCTGTAAGAAAACATGTAGGACACTAGTCTGGCACATGCTGACGAACATGGACGAGCGGTTACAAAGGCATCAACACCAAAACGCAAGATGTATTATGAGCCGTCGTTTAGCAAAGTTCAAGCAGATAACAGTGCCATTTGCACGGGATTGCGTTCGTGAAACGGGTTTAGTGATGGTTGTACTGAAGGAAGGAGGCCGCCAGGAGTTTGTTAGGAAGGAAGGTAAATGATGTAACAAGCGCCATTAAGTTGACTAGTTGCCGCTTTAGGGATTTGGATAGAAGTTCATGTCGAGTTCGGCTGCCATACAGAAGGAAGGGCACAAGAAGGGTGCATGTAGTCAGCAGGGTGTCCTGACAGTAATAGTGCATCGTTCCTCTTAAATACTGTCTGGCGTGTGCTCCCTTTGGAATCCCGGACCTGAGCGTATGTCCGGCACGTAGCCGTACGGTCTGTTCCGTTTATGTATAGACGATACCTACTTTGTACATACTAACAGTTATATAGTGCAGCCTCTTAGGTTGGCTGACATTGTCACATATCCAGGTACACTCTATACTATCTAGCCACGCTCTTCGCTATCTCACTGCGCGGCTAGAAGTTTATCCTACGAGGTTGCTAACCCGCTTACCCTTATTAGTGTTGTAAGCTGCTATAGCTGAAGCAAGCGAGGTTTCCAAGAGGCTTGCTTGTGGCTCCGGCACCTCACCATTCCGGTGGCGAAGTTTCGGATGCCCACCGCCGAAAGGAAGGATAAGTTAACCCTTGAGGCACGTCTTAAGAACTAAACAGGCCAATGGTGGCCGCTGGGAAGTTCCTCCCGGCGGCAGGGCTTCTGCTTCTACTAGCCCAGTTAGTGTCAGGTTCCCTACAAACAACGGCATGGAACTTGTACTCGGGGTCGTCCTCTACCACTGGGCGCTCACGTAAGTTTAGCTGGACACCGCATCCACCTGGTTGTGCGAAGTTCTTCATGTGACCCGTCCCGCTCCCGTGCGATTGGCTTGGAGTGCACCGGACCGAGCACCAAGGCGCACGTCTTATATTTCAGCTCCCCATTAGTAGGCTCATTCCAACCAATTTTGGGCAGAGGTCTTACCCTGGCCCGTTTTTCCGTTGTGTTTCGCAGTGACCCAAGAACCGTGGCCACTATGTATACATAGCGACCCCTCCAACTACACAACTGTGACTGCGGATATTAGTGGTCCTGCGGACAGCTGCTCCGACCAGGCGGCTTGCCTGGACATCTTCGCGGTAGGTTGACATGCACTACCCAGCCCTTTCAAGCCTCGTCACAATACGCGAGCTGTATTGCTCTTTGTGTCTCTGTGTCACAGCCATTACTCCTGTTTCATACCCTACTTGCCTAAACTGCGCGCCCAAGCCTGTTGCACTGCTGACATGCGAGCCGTTGGTCGCCCCCTTCCCTCACCCGATCCTCAGCTGAACAGCTCCTATCACCCTTCCTTGTGCTTTACAGGACAGCAGCACATGCATGGAGCTTTCGGTTTCCGGCACAACCTGGATGTATTGCCAAGTTTGCCTTTTCTGGACCGACGCTCGCAACTGTCCCAAAGACGGGGTCGACACCGTTAGCCACGTCTGCGCAGCAGATCGGTTCTTTGAGCCTGGTGTTATCGGCGACCTTGGAGAGGAGCCAATTGTGGGTCAGACCTTCAAGGTGGAAGGCTGGCGCGCCTATCAGACATGTAAGTCAAGGTCACCTTGGCCCAGATCACCCTGACTCAGATGAAAAAGCATTTCTTAACTATGCTTCGTTCATGTCCCTTGCCTGTTGCTGTCTGCACACCGCTTGAACCGTTGGGATGCTGGTGTTGCCCGTTGGTTGACTCATGCCTTATTAGGCCTTGGCCCTGACACCCTTGCGCTCCTGCTCGTGCCATTCGCCGTTTGTCCTGCCCCTTCTTAACGCTGTTGACGTCTGAACCCTGCTGATGTGTCTTGTTGATGTGTCTTGCAGCCCAATACTGTCAGTGGGTGCGTTGGGAGACCGCGAAGAACTGGACCGATGTTGCCTTCTCCGTCAAGGATGGCAACGGCCCTTGCCTAAGTAAGTACCACCCATTCAGCCTGCCTACAGCCTGTATCGGTGTACTTTATCGTCCGCTTTCCCATGCCTTCCGGTTCGGGATCACTGTAACGGCCATTCACTCAATATTAGTCCCGCATGCTAGCACGTGACAGCCGGCATGCGACAGCCAGGCTCCCGTTATAGTGTTCCTCCTCGAGGCCAACGCCTGCCATGATTGCAAGCTTGCATGCACTCCATAAGAAGCCAACAACATGCACTGTGTCTCCTCCCTGCCCCCATCCCTTGACCTCAGGCTCCGGCCAGAACCCGATCAAGGTCAACATCAACGGTATGTCCGGCACCTGCTCGGGCCCCCGCTACATTAACGAGGAGCGGGCTGGCTGCGATGAGGGTAACCAGGCAAACGAGTGCTTGTGGACTTTCTCCGTCCCTAAGCCGGGCACCCAGAGCTTCAAGTGCCCCGGCGTGGCACCCCCACCTGTCCAACCTCCCCCACCCAAACCCCCAACGCCACCACCGTCGCCACCAAAGCCCTCACCCCCGCCTAAGCCTCCCAGCCCCCCGCACCCTCCGGGCTGGACGAGCCCTCCATCCCAGCCGCCCCCGCCGCCTCCTCCCGCGTCCAGCGGAGCTGGTGGTTACACATGCGTGAGCACAGACGATGCAGACGATATGGTAAGTCGGCTGGCCTGCTGCATGGCCCTTGCCTTTGTTGCATGGTCTTTGAGGCATGGGATGCATGAGGTATTTCAATGCACGCACGCCCATGTGTGTTTGCCTACCTACTGTAAAAGCTGCCTTGTACTACAGCAAGGGTCAGCGTCTGAGGAACCCATGTAAAGTTGGTTCAAACTTTTGCATGTTAGGAAAACTGGCCGCGAGTACTCATGCACTGTGTGTGGGTACCTACTTTCCCTGCTGTAGGGTCACTGCCAAGGCAACCTGTGCGGCAGTCTCTACTCCAACATGTTCAAGAAGGCGCTGGAGATGGCTCCCGCAGATGCCAGCGGCATTCTGGCTGTCGGTGACTTCCAGTCGAGCTCGGTGGGTTGACAGCGGCGCATGTGCTTGAGGCAGCTACAACGCCCTGTCTCAGCGCCGGTTGTGCTTGAACGGTATTGTGTGGATGTAAAGGCTTGTGGGCGTTGTGGGAGTTGTGCGCTATTTAGCTCGTAATGGTATCCAAAGCGCTGTCTTATTGCCTTTCTTTGTTCCATGTTGTTGCCCTTTGTTCTTCTTCCCAGAACGCCCGCATTTCGCTGGAGAGTTGGGTGTCGGCTGCGGGCTACCCCCTGAGCAGCATTGTGTATGCCACGAGCAAGGCAACCCTGCTTGCTCAGAACCTGACGTCGTTCAAGCTGCTGTACGTGCCGTCGGACAACACCAACACGGATGGTGGTCTGTCGTACACAATGAACGATGCTCTCATCAGCATCAAGCCAAAGATTATCGACTTTGTGAACAAGCGCGGTAAGTACAATGACGATCACACTTCGCCTTTTTATGTCGCCGTCATGCGGGGGTTTGCGACGCTCGTGGGTCGTGGCTCTCGGGTGACCCATGGGTCAGTTGGTCCCTTGCGATGTGTGCGACTGCCTGTCCAAACCTAGCTAAGCACTCCTAATCACCTTCTTGTTGTTTGCTAAACGTTAACCCATGTCATCGTTTTTTCCCTCCGTGTGGCGTCGCAGGTGGCTCTTTAATCGTGCTGACCCAGTCGGGTATTTGCTGCGGCAAGAGTTACGGTTTCCTGCCCGTGTCCTTTGCCTTCACCGCGGCCTCCTTCACCGACGTTTCGATCACCAATGAGATGGCCGCCATTTCGACGCAAACCAACAACTAGTGAGCGCAAGCGTGTGGGGTGGTCACTGCGTGCCAAGTCGGTTCCTTTGGAACTAGTAGTAGTTTTCTTCTGTCGCTAAGACCTATAAAACCTTCACATTTATGAAGTTGTGCGTCACTCGCAAGGTTCCTGTCGGACTGGTAAAATGCTTCGTCAACACTATGACCCCCACTCGCCACCCGCCTTGTGCCTCCTCTTTTACCTGTTTGCCTCCTCCTGCTTACCCCGTTTACCCATGCACGTGTTCCCATGTGCAGCAACGTGGACCACAACTACTGGCACGGCTACTTCACTGGGCCCATTGACTGGAACGGCATGCGTGTGGTGGCCTACCAGGCTGACAAGTGCCCCGTCCCCAACGGCCCCAACCAGAACTGCCGCGCTACGGGTAAGTGGGAGAGAGCGCTGTGTCCTGGATGTATGTAGCAACACTGAGTTTAATACGGCACTTTGTTGCCGGTAGTTGGTAGTTGCGCTAAACCTAGTATAGCGCTCTGATGGCATGGCTTTACTCGAGATGGAAACCCTGGATGGTCGGGCCTCATTGACGCTCTCGCCTCTCACTTCTTCACCTCCCACTCGTCCCTTCACCGACACCCTGCAGTGCTGTGCAACCCCAAGACCATTCTCACATCCGAGAACTGCTACGACAAGAAGGATAACGATGGCGATGGCTTTATCGACAAGTTCGACTCGGATTGCTGGCGTTGTGGTGATGGCGTCGTGGATCCCGGGGAGCAGTGCGATGACGGCAACATCCTGGATGGGGACGGTTGCTCGTCCACTTGCACGCTGCAAGAGTTCCCGCCGCCTCCCAACTACCCGCCGCCTCCGCCGCCGCCACCCACCAACGACCCGGACAACAACTACTGCTACGGCAATGGTGGCACGGGTTGCGCCACTTGCATGGGCTATTGCGACACGGTGAGGAAGGATGAGAAGGGAAGGTCGTACTTTGGGAGGGGAGAGTGTATTGATGCCCTCTGTATCTGCGAAACAAGGAGTATGGTGTTTTTTTCACTAATCTTCAGTGTCATAACACATGCCTGTGTTAGCCCCTTGCTCCTCCGTCTCATGCTTTTAGTATCAATATCTAATCACTCGTGTCTAGTCACTTTTGTGTTTAATATTCCGGGACCTACAATGATGAAACCTCTTGTTTGCAGGTTGATAACTTCTGGTCAAACGGCAAGGTTTGCAAGCTCCCCACGTATCTGCGGGGAGCTATGCCGGACGACCAAATGTGCACCAACGACATTGGCTTGGTGGCTTTCATTCAAGAGAGGCTGTGGTTTGGTGATGACACGGGCGTTACCGAAGTCGGTACTGTAACGGTCTTCCGTACCGTTGGTGGCATCCTGCACGTGACCGTTCAGACGGACTGCCCGTACCTAATTTACAGCAACTCTGATGACTTGTGGGACGACAACCAGTTCTTGCTGATGATCTACTCGATCAACGGCGAGCTGGGAGCCACCACGCTTTCGATGGTGGGTCCCGCTACAATCGAAGAACGGGCTCTTGGTGGTATGGAGGTTGCCTAAGAGCATCCTTTATGGTGCATGATAGTCTTTCGGGGGGTCTCACGCGGGGCCACTGTGAGGTGCATCCAGTGCCTGGAAGGACAGGACTGGCTTTATAGAATCGTTGATGTGCCCGAAAACACACTTCTCGTACTTGACCCAGCTTCAACCCTGTTTATATGTATTACAAACCCTCGCTACCACTGCCACGTTTTGCAGAGGCGCAACACGACCGGCATCCAGCGCTACTCTTGCTACACATTTACCTTTGATCTGACGGACATTGCCCCGGACGTCGGATGCGCGGTAAGTGGCAGGCGGAGGGGCGGGTCATGGTGATTGCCTCTTAGTACGTCGGTAGCCTTGTTTTCGGCTTCTTTTCTTGCTTTTCCTCTGTCCCGTTTGCCCTCTTCCCCTTCATCGTGGCTTGGGGTGTCTTCAAGTTGATATCCCGCTTCCCGACCCCTCCCACTGCAGCCTATCAACCTGGACCTCCGTGTGACCATGCGCACGAGTTTCTGCACTTCGGGCATCAACAGCAACGATTGCGACACGCAGGCAAGTCGGTCGTACTGCTTATTATTCCTCTTTTGAGTGCGTGCATTTGTGAGCATTATAGCGGCCATGAGGATGGGAGGATTTGCGTAGGGAACTAGGGTCTGAATGGGGACATGCGTGCAGTTCTCCAATCGTGTTGTCTGACCTGCCTCCGTGTCGCCCCCCTTGCTGCCTCTCGCCTGCCTCCCCACAGCCCGACAAGCTGTCGCAGACGAAGACCATTCCCACGAAGCCCATGTTCTATTCCGATCACCCGGCGGCCCCTCCGGATCTGCCGCCGCCGCTGGCGCCGTCACCGCCGCCGCCACGGCCGCCCAGCCCGAGCCCACCGCCGCCGCCGCCACGGCCGCCGTCGCCAAGGCCACCCAGTCCGCCACCGTCACCCTTCCCCCCGCCACCGCCGCCGCCACCTTCGCCGCCGCCGCCGCCACCTCCTTCTCCTCAACCGCCGTCGCCGCCGCCACCTCAACCCCCTCCACCCTCGCCACCGCCGCCGTCGCCACCCCCGCCGCCGCCACCTTCACCTCCTCCTCCGTCACCGCCGCCGCCGTCACCACCCCCGCCAAGCCCTCAACCGCCTTCGCCGCCGCCACCAAAGCCGCCCGCACCCCCGCCGCCGTCGCCACCGCCGCCGCCGTCGCCATCACCTCCCCCGCCTCCACGACCGCCGCCACCTAGCCCACCCCCGCCCTCGCCCTCGCCACCACCACCGCCTTCGCCTCCTCCACCGCCTCCGCCTTCCCCACCGCCCTCCCCACCACCGCCGCCTCCGCCTCCACCGCCTGCCCCACCTCCCCCTAGCCCTCCGCCACCCAGCCCACCTCCTCCCTCGCCGCGCCCCCCTGGCCCGCCACCCAGCCCTCCTCCTAGCCCACCACCTCCCCCACCACCGCCGCCGCCACTGCCTCCGAGCCCGCCACCTCCCAGCCCCCCGCCACCTTCCCCTCCGCCACCCTTCCCTCCTCCCCCCAGCCCTCCGCCCCCATCGCCTCCCCCGCCGCCCCCCCCACCACCCCCAAGCCCCCCTCCTCCATCACCACCGCCGCCGCCACCCCCCAGGCCGCCTCCGCCCAGCCCCCCACTGCCCCCTCCTCCCAGCCCTCCGCCACCCAGCCCTCCACCTCCCTCACCTCCTCCCCCTCCATCTCCCAACCCTCCGCTGCCCCCTCCGCCTTCCCCATTGCCACCCAGCCCCCCACCCCCAAGCCCTCCACCGCCCTTCCCTCCGCCGCCTTCCCCTCCTCCTAGCCCGCCACCACCATCGCCACCACCCCCTCCGCCCCCTTCACCGCCACCTCCCTCGCCGCCACCGCCCAGCCCGCCACCCCCCAGCCCCCCTCCCCCGAGCCCGCCACCACCATCCCCACCACCCCCAAGCCCGCCTCCGTTCCCGCCGCCTCCCTCTCCTCCCACGCCCCCCGGCGAGCCCCTCTACCCCTACCCGCCATCGCCCTCCCCGCCTCCGTCGCCTCCGCTGCCACCATCGCCGCTGCCGCCAAGCCCCTCGCCGCCCTCGCCGCCACCTCCCTTCCCTCCGCCGCCATCACCGCCCCCGCCCAGCCCGCTGCCGCCGTCGCCGCCACCACCGCCGCCGCCCTCGCCAGAGCCCCCATCGCCGCCGCCGCCACCACCACCCTCCCCGCCTCCTCCTCCTCCCTCTCCGCCGCCGCCATTCCCACCGCCGCCGTCGCCGCCGCCGCCTCCATCTCCTCCGCCTCCTTCGCCGCAGCCTCCTTCACCAGCTCCTCCCGGTCTGCCACTGCCGCCGCTGCCTCCTTCACCGCCGCCCCCCTCGCCGCCGCCGCCGTCGCCTGGCCCGCCGTCGCCTCCTTCCCCGGAGCCCCCGCTGCCTCCTTCTCCTCCTCCTCCGTCTCCGCCTCCATTCCCGCCGCCACCCTCGCCCCCGCCGCCACCTCCCAGCCCTCCGCCGCCCTCTCCTCCCCCGCCCAGCCCTCCGCCGCCCAACCCACCTCCTCCATCGCCGCCACCGCCTTCGCCACCGCCTCCTCCTCTCCCGCCCCCGCCCGACCCGCCTGCCAACCCCCCGCCCTCGCCACCCCCACCCCTGCTCCCTCCTCCTCCCTCGCCGCGCCCTCCTTCGCCGCCGCCACCTTCCCCTCTGCCCCCAAGCCCCCCACCACCGTCGCAGCCACCGCCATCGCCAGCCCCTCCTTCGCCCCAGCCTCCCAGCCCTCTGCCCCCCTCACCTCCCCCGCCCAGCCCCGACCCCCCGCTGCCGCCACCCCCAAGCCCTGAGCCGCCCTCACCCCTGCCACCCAGCTCTCCGCCACCCTTCCCTCCCCCGCCCAGCCCGCCCAGCCCACCCCCGCCATCGCCCCCTCCTCCCAGCCCGCCTCCCCCGGCACCCCCGCCGCCCTCGCCTCCTCCTCCCTTCCCCCCTCCGCCCTCGCCTCCCGGCTTCCCGCCGCCCAACCCGCCCCCGCCATCTCCCCCTCCTCCCAGCCCTGCCCCCTCGCCTCCGCCCTCTCCTCGCCCGCCTTCGCCTCCATCACCTCCCCCGCCGCCTTCCCCTCCTCCTCCCCTGGCACCACCCTCTCCTATCCCTCCATCACCCACGCCCCCGCCGCCGCTGCCTCCTTCCCCGCCACCCCCCTCGCCCCCGCCGCCCCACCCGCCGTACCCACCACCACCCACCAAGTAAGTCGCCCTGGCTTAACAATACAACAGATACGCTGCTTGTTTCACCCTTACAGCAACCCCGCAGCCTGCTCTGTGCCTTTCTCCAGACACCCTCGTTCTTGCTTGACCCACGCCCATGGGTTCACTCCTTGTCCTTGCTTTGCCTGCTTAATTTCTCCTTGCCCATGCCTTGCCTGGTTAATTTTTTCCTTGTCCATGCTTTGCTGATGACGATGCTTCCCTCCCTTGACTTGTTGCCCCGCAGGTGCGACTGCTCCAAGCTGGTGGCTCCCGCTGAGAACGCACAGTGCCCGGACAACTACCGTCTGCTCAACTTCAAGCAGGCGAACGTGGACCGCTACGATACGTCGTACATCCCCATCCGTGCTTGCGTGCCCACCCTTGGCTACGACAACGTCACGGACATTTACAAGGTGGGGGGACTAGGGGATCGGGATTAGGGTGGGAGGTCTAGGGGGTCGGGATCAGGGTGGGAGGACTAGGGGATCGGGATCAGGATATATCGGGATTAGGCTACCGGTATCTGGTGACACCAGCCTACCGCATACATAGTACCGCATACGGCAGCATACGCCCCTACAGCATACTGCAGCATACGCAAGCGCTTCATCCCCTCCTCGCGCGCCTTGCACTCGCACTTCGTTCCCCGCCCGTCCTTCACCCTACCTCGCCCCTCTTCCCTCCCTTCCCTCCTCCTTCCTGCTCACAGATCGCCTTCTGCTGGAACACCAACTGCCCTCTGCTGGCTCCTCTTGCCGGCGAGGCCCTCCGCGTCTACATTGACGAGGTCCCCATCGAGCCCGCCACCGGCCCCGACCGGCTCTCCAACCAATCCGTGGTGCTCACCACCCTCACGCCCAAGTGCGTCAACAAGTCCTCCCACACAATCAACTTGGTGAACAAGGTGGGAACCTACCAGCTGGGAACGGCGCAGAAGCTGCTCACCATTCCGGCCCCTGGTTTGGACACTCTGGACATTGATATCACCACGGATGCCGGCTGCAATGACGAGTGGTGGGTGGGGTTGGGGAAGGCGGTTGGGGGTTGGGTTGGTTGCGCCAGTTGGGGTTTGTTGTTGCTGTTGGTTGCTTTGCGGTGGTTGGGTTGTGCGTAATAATATGGTAGGAGTATTCCCCTCGACTGTCTAACCTCTTGGCGTTGTTCTTTGCACGTGTCTTGCTTTTTCTTTCATGACATCTTGTTCTGCCCTGCACAGGGTGGTGATTGCCTTTGTGCCGGTGCACGACTCTGGCGCCTACACGCCTCCCATCCCGCCCGCCTCTTGCCCGTGCTGGGATCGCACTACCAACGGCACCTGCCCTGGCATCAAGGTAGAAACCGGCCCCGCTGTTGCTGCTGCTGCTGCTGCTGCTGTTGTGTTTTCTCTAGCATCGCCTGTTGCACAATTCCACTGCTTTGTCAATTATTGGCTAATGATGGCACTAGGGCCTTCTACAACCGACCCCAACTGCTAACCGTTGCTTGGTAACACGAGATCTTCTCCCGGCTCCAACCACCCCCCACCTCAACCTGCGCAGGTTCCTATCCTGTTGGAGACTTTGGACATCACGAACGGCATGTCGGTCATGCAGTGCATTGACCCGGCCAACTATGACATTTACACCGGCCGCATGGCTTACAGGTAATCACACAAGAGCGGGGATGGGCACGCAAGCATGCAAGCGGTGATAACATTCATGTAGTACGTCTCTTGCTGCGGTTGGGCCCAATATGTAAAATGCGTTTACAGACATCTTGGATTGGGGTGGACATCTTAGGATGGGTGGACATCTTGGGCCCCATGCTTTGTAAACTACCACCCGCCCCACCACCTCACATTTCGCCTCACGCACCCTGCTTCCCTGCCTGCGCCCCGCTTCTCCGCAGTTACTGCTGGCGCTACGCTTGCCTGCCCTCCATCTTTGCCACCACGCGCTTCAAGGCGACCTGCAAGGACCTGGAGCGCTGGAACATTGCCAAGATGGACGGGCAGTTCAAGCTGGCCATGCAGCGCACTGAGGGTGTCTACATGACTGTCACGGGTGGGTGATTGAAGAGTGGCTGATGGGTGAAAGCAGTGGGTGCATGCAATGGGTGCACATGGCAGGCTGGGGGGTGGCTTTTGACGACTACAGCGGCGGTGTTTAATACGACTTCCTGTTGCAGCTTGTTGAAGATGAATGAATGTTATATACAGGGAATCCAGCGGTGAATCCTCACAAGGGAGGAGAGAAACCCCACCGGTACCCTGTCTTGACGTCGCCTCTTCATGCCCCTCTTCCTAATCCCTTGTTCCTTTCCTCTTTCCAGGCAAGCCCAAGACTGCCAACACCTCCAACGTCGTCTACACCGTCCAGGACGACGGCACCTGGATCACCCTTCCCACGGGCGGTGTCGGCAACTTTACCTTTGAGTACGTCATTCCGCCCGGCTACGATGACCTCTCGGCTGCTGTGGTCATGGACACCTCTCCTCGTCCGCCACCGCCGCCCTCGCCTCCTGGCAACCAGGCCACCACCTGCCCCTGCCCGGTTCTGCCGGAGAACACGATGGGCGGTGCGCCGGGCCGCTGCAACAGCACGTACGCTACCATGACGGTGCGCTTCACCAACTCGTCGGAGGGCAACAGCACCTTCTATCAGTGTGTGCCGTGGCCCAACTACGGTGGGTGTTATGGTGCTATGGGGTTCTACCAAGGGGAATGGTATGAGATGTTCAATCGAAACTTGCGGATTCGCATGATGTTGGTACGCATCTGGTGTTGGCTTGTCTAGTTCCTGACCCTGCATTGATCCCCTTGGCGTGCTTCACTTCAAATTATTCACCCCGTCCCTTTCTCTCTGCTCGCTGCGCAGACCTCTTCACGAGGGAGTTGGCTTTCAGCCACTGCTGGCGCTACGCCTGCCTGCCCCAGGAGTTCTACGGCAAGGCCTACACGCTTTCCATTGACCAAGTCAGCAAGCACAACATCGCCATGATGCCGCCCGCTTCCTACCAGATGATCTTCCTGCCTGCGCCGTTCGGCATGCGCATCGAGGCCACACTCAACTCGCCAAGCGTCGGGGCCTCAACCTACAACTCCACGGTCGGAAGCCCGGTTGTGGGAGGCAAGATGCAGACGGTGAACGTACCGCCGCTGTCCAACATGACCATCAAGTACTACATTCCCGCGGTGTGGGGTGCGGATGGTCTGGCTGCGGCGATGATGATGCGCATGGTGACAGGCACGCAGCACCCGAGTGCGCCTCGTCCGCCCAGCCCGCCGCCTTCGCCACCGGCGCCGCCGCCGTTGCCAGCAAGCCAGCCTCGCGTGCTGGTAGGTTGCTGCTACTGCTGCAGCTTCTGCTGCCTTGCTGGTGGTTATGGGTTGAGCTCTGGGATGTTGTGGTGGGAGTGAGTGGTACATTTGATAGTTTGTCGGTAGTATCAAACAGCAAGGTCGCTGTCTTGCCGTATTAACCACCCTTGTCTTTGTTTCTCTCCCCCTCCTTCACTCTTCATTTATGCGTTCCCCTCCATGTCCAGATTACGACGGACTTCATGGTGACTGCCAACGTCTCTGTGGACTCGCTGGTCGGCAACGGCATCTCGCACTCCGGGTAGGACTGGTGTTGTGTTGTCGGGTGCTCGTCGGGTTTGCGAGGGCGATGACTGGCTGTAGCGGCCTTGCAGTAAACTATGTGCTGTGCAGCACCATGTCTGGCTGCTCGGGTGGCACAAACCTAACAGAGCCACATGTCTGGATGGGCATGCGTGCTCTACCGTCCACTTTTCTCCCTGTTCTTCTCGCTCCTCATCCCTTGCTCCTCTGACCCTCCCTCCCAACCACAACGAATAACCAACTCAACCCAACCCAACCCAAACCACCCCTTCAGGTACTACGTCACCGTGCCGGTTACCTTCTACGACTACCTCACCATGCCCGACTGCTCCGATGGCAGTGCCGAGGCCTTCAAGCAGACCGTCATGCAGTCCCTCAACCTCACCAGCACCGCCAACATGTTCGTGTCCTGCCGCTACGCCGCCAACTCGGCCGGCGAGATCATCGCGCGCCGCATCATGCGTGCCGCGAACTGGGTCATGGAGAAGGTCGGCCTGCGGGATCGTCGTGACCTGCAGGCCACCACCAGCAGCGATGCGCTGATGAACGTGCAGCTGACGTACGTCACCGGGCCCAACACCAACATCCAGCAGAGCGCCGTCAAGAGCTGCTCTGCGGTGGCTTCCCTCACGGGTGCTGATTGCGACGGCACCAGCGCGACCACCAATCTGAAGCTCTCGATGACCAAGGAGAAGTCCGCCAAGGACACCACCGACAGCACCGCGGCTTGCGACCAGGCCACGATTGAGGCCCAGTACGCCATCCTGTCCGCCACCTCAAAGGTCGCCCTCACGGACGTCCTGCCCGTGGCTTGCAGCTCGGTGGTCAAGGGCGCACCTCAGTCCGCCACCACCGACGGTACGCCCTCGCCTAGTGGCAGCACCCCGAGCGGCAGCTCTGGCGGCTCACCTAGCGGCAGCTCCTCTCCCTCGCCTCCTCCCGCGGAGTCGCCGACCAAGTCCAAGAGCAAGGTCAGCGTCGGCACCATTGCCGGCATTGTCATTGGCGCAGTGGCGGGTGTGGCCGTGCTGGCAGTCATTGGCCTCACCATTAAGGCCAAGCTGGCGCAGGGACATGTGTCGTACGTGGACCCCAACAGCGCCCGCCCGGGTGCCCGCCGCTGGCGCACGTACAGCATGCAGAGGCGCGCCGAGGAGGCCATGCAGGGTCGCGGCCCGGTGGCTGGTGTGTCCGTATACACTTAAATATCTTAAAAAAAGAGGATGGAAGGTGGAAGAACAGGAAGGATGTTGGGGATGCTTGTTCGTACTTTGAAAGGCTCCCCTAATGGCGCATCATGTTTGGATCACTTTTCGCGCCTAAAGGTGCACACGTGCCTTTGAGACGAGGCGTGGCGTGGCGCGTGGCGCGAGAAGTACGTGCACGTGTGTGGTTGTATGTCGTATTTTGGAGTGGCTGGTGGACGGGGGGCAGACCAACGTCTGCCTTGTGGCTAGGCAGGGCTGCGTCCCTTGTGTCTAGTTGTACCAAATTGCGCTGGATGGCTGCGTCGGTCCTGGCGCTTCTGTCGGCATGTTGAGGATGACCCGTGGGTCGCTTTCGTGCAGCCGACCCACGAACGGCAATAGGAGTCCCCTGCGTAAGCACGTTATGTTGTACATGGAGGGAAGAGGGGACAACAAGTGCCGTTGGTCATGTGTGGTTTGATGGCGGTCCAGGCGTTTGCATACTTTCTGCCTGGCTTGCTCCAGTTTCCCGCCAAGCGTTATTTGGACAGTTCCCAATTGGGTTGCTTCCCGCATGCTGTGCATGTGGCATGGCATGCCTACTTAGGATCGCCGTGGATTCGGCTTATATGACGTTCTACACAGATGAGAAAGACTCGCTGCTTCTGCCCAACTGCTTGCAGTCTGCATTCCGTACACAATATTCTCTGTCTTGCGTGCATCTTCATTGGGACGGTAAATAAAATACGAACGCCCGCGAGTCGTGACAGAATCCCGAATATTATTGCTGCTGCCGGCTTATTGTAGTGTGTCTGTCTATGCGCGCGCGTTTAAAGTGATAAGCTTTTGTGTTGGCCCGCGGTACACGTGTATTTGTGTTTCGGCGAGCACTTCTCTCCTGGGTTGCGCCCGCTAATAACACGCACATGTGCAGTTGCTAAGTCGCTGTCACCTTGCGTGATGTATTGGTCAGGTCGGTCCAAAGTATCAAACAATGGAGGCGTGTGCGTGTGTCATACGAATATATGGTTGTAGCCGTACCGTTACTTTCGCTTGCCAAGCGCTGCCTGGCTTGGAATGCTTTGCAATCAGACCTATGCGTGCGTGATAACACTCTTCAAGTCGCGAAGTTGCTCAGGGCTTACGCTTAAAGGAGCGGATCCGGTGCCGCTTCTGCAGGATCGTGTTGGTATTGTTGTGTCCGCGTTGTTTCGCCAACTTTATCGTAAGGAGTTGAACCTCCAAACAAAGCATCCACATGTGTGTTCGGGCAGCAAGTTTGACCGGCCCTTGGGGCCTTGTGCCTTACTGGCTGTGTAGGAAGGCTTGCTGCTACTGCTGTATGTTTTTGGGGCCCTACCTCTAGGTGGGAACCCTAGCTGACACGTGTCATTTGGTTGTTCATATTCCGGATGTGGCCTCAGCGGTCGTTTTCCCTTTCAAATCTGCTTACCGTGCTTGACAAAAGTACAGAGTTTCCTTGCCGCTGTGAGCATTGCGGTCACATATATATATAACCAACCTGCAGGATTCGTGCCTTATTGTTCAGTTTTGTCGGAGGGCATTGCATGTACGTGTGGCCTTGGGGGCCTTTTGCCCTTGAGGTCGTGCGTGCGTGGTTTGGCCCTGTTGACGTTTGTGTGGTCTGGGGTGCAAGTTGAGGGGACGGAGCGATGCCATACCGGTAGTTGCATAGCTCCCTGTACGTCCCTGCTCCTCTGCAAGACCTGTAAATCCTGCTAGGTTACAACCCCTTGCCCCATGCGCCATCCCATACCGGTGCACCATGCATGTCGTACACATGGGAACGAAGGCTACAGCCAGCAGCCTTTCGGACAGCTTGGTACAAGGAATCAGCCCTCCTGTCCCGCTGCAATAAACAATGACCGTTTGCTTAATACGGATGGTTAACTGCTGGCATGATCGACGCAAGCCAAGGGCGTCATGCGATCTGCGAACCCTTCATGTGAAGTCAATTCTCAACTGCAGGCTAACAGGTAGCAGTGGCGATTCCCAGACCCCTGCTGCTTTACGTAGATGGCCAGGACGGCAGATGCACCCAGGCGCCGAAACCATATACCGGTAGGTTCGTACGATGGATTGACCAACCGAGCAAAGCAAAGCAACGCTTTATGCGTTTTCGTTCTTGGCATATATAGGTCGCCTCGCGTGAACTATACCATTCAAATTGCCCAAATCCTGCATCCTAAAGTTACGACTCTTGCACACCTGAGTGCTGCGTCGTCTCAGGCTACCTATAGCTGAATTACTATATCGCTTTCTAGGGCGTTTCATTGCGCCAACTTCCTTTTTTACGCAGCGAACAGTTGACGCATCTGTCCAGAGCCCAACTGCAGTTGGCGTGGCTCGTAACTTAAGCATAGCCGTGTTGAAATACTAGATCTTGGGATAAAACCTAGGCGGTCGCATCCCGGTTGTCCACTGCCTTGACTTTGTACGTGAAGCCAGAGCGCCATGCCGCTGGGTGGGAAGCTTGTGCTCAAGGGTAAGGGCCCGGGCCATATGCCGAACTTAACCTTCCGTCCCCCCATGGCCCCTACCTGACTGCTCACGTATCCGCGCGGACCTTACCGAATGCTCCAGGGGGGACGACATTGAAGGAGCTTCAAGGTGTGGAAAAGAAGAAAAGCAAGAAGGTCAAGAAAGCCGAGGCGTTAGGAGACGGGGATGAGGGCAACCAGCCTACAGCGGCCCCTGCCGACCCGACCAAACCCAAGCCGGTGGGTCTTCCTAGAGCGTCAGGCTGCTTGTTTCACTTCAGTACAGTTACAGGTGTATTCCAGCCTATGGACTGCTGCGTCCGCCGGGTTTCTGCTGCCGTCCCTTAACCCCTTATCCGTGATGCGTACGGGAGTTGGGAGCTAGGGTACGGCATGCATAGCTCCGTACAGTTTCTTAGCGTGGTTGCATCCCATCGGTCTTCCATCAGTCTTCTCCACCGGAAGATGCCAACCATTGTCCACTCAAAGTTCTCCGTCCCCATATTCTCAGCCCCATCACTCCTGCTGGCCTCCTTCGCACGCCCCGACCCCGACCCCCTTCCTGCTCCAGATCGCACCGACGGCTGTCAACGTGATGAGCGGAAAGACGTATGAGGAGGAGTTCGATTTGGAGACCAAGCGTGTCAAGGTGACTATAGTGACCAGCGCCCTCCCTCTCCCTCCCTCTCCCCACCTGACTCCCCACCTGGCTCCCCCTATTCGCGTCACAGGAGGGCAAGGCCCGCAGCACGCCCTGGGGCACCGGCTACCGCGCCCCGCCCGCCATCCTGCACGGCTACACCGGCAAGGTGACCGGCAAGACAGGTGCGCTGCGCCGCAACCAGCAGGCTGCAAGTGCCTTCTCGACAACCTCCCCCCGTCGGTACCCCCCCCTCCGGTCCTTCCAATCCTTCCGGTCATCCATTATAGCACAAACGGCACAGCAATCCATCATATGACACGATCTGCACTTTCGCGCTCGTGCTTGTGTACACAGAGTCGTGTGGGCCCTCGTCCAATCCTGCCTTTTTACACCAAATGCGCCCCCACTCCTCCCTACCACCGGTAGTAGTAATCCAGTCCAATGCGGTTACCCTCCCTGTGTTCTCCCACTGACAGCCGAGGAGCGGCTGGACCTCCGGTCCGCCTCCAAGAGCGATAAATTCTGCAAATAGTAGTACCGGGGCTGGCAGGTGTTGGGGGTGCGTGGTTGGGTCGCGCTGCTGCTAGGAGGAATTCAGGTGGGAGGGAGAGCGAGGGCTCCGCATGCCTCCCTCTCGTGCTGCACCTTGGGAGCTGAAAGCGTGGTTACGTTGGCAGCTGCTTTTATGATAGCCGCAGCTGCTGCGTGTGCGCTTGTCGCTAATTTTGATCGTACACATGCACATAGCACCGGACATTTGGCTCGAGGACTAAAATTGTTAACGAGTTATTACGCAATCCATGGGGCTGTTGACGGTTACAGAGGAAGGAAGGAAGGGAGGAAGGAGCTCTTGAGGGCAAAGCTCTCGCAGTTGCTGTCGATACTGGCCATTAAAGCGTTAGCACCGCCGTGCCTTGTTGAGCTATATACCACACACGTACAGCAGCTATGGCAGAAGCTGCTGCTGTTGCCCATGGCCTTACTGCTTGTGCTGAAGATCTGAAGACCTAAATATCTCCTGAAGGGCCTCTCGGAAGGGTGTCATACGGAAACCCAGGTCGGCTGCCAGGCGGGTAACGTCCATGGAGATGTCGGGGGGGCTGGCCGCGGACCTGCGGAGGTGCGGAGCCGCGGATGGGGTTAGATATTCTAGCTGCGGAACCACTGACCATGACTGTAGTCTGAGCCGGAAGGGGGGGGGATGCAGGTGGAGCTGGAGGAGGGGACATGGGCAGCGTGGTCTGGTAGCAGCTGAACGGACGGGTTGCATAGAGCAAGGCATGCTGTCCTTTGTGGGTAGCTGCTTGCCTACTTGCTTGCTTGCAGCAGAGGTGCATTTGCGATTAGGCGTGTGGCCATGTGTGGGCGTGTGCACATGGCTTGTTGGCGTGGACATGGCGTGGATAGGACAACTGTACCGCTGACGATGAAACGGTCATGTGCTGTAAAACGCAGCATCGAAGCGACCCATGGGTCCACAGCTCCCATCCCAGCCTTACCTGGAAACAGAAGAGCTCGGGACTGCAACGATGGAGTTGTAGCCGCAGCCCAGGCAGTCAGCCACCTGCCAGCGGTTGAAAACGTCCAGGAAGGGAAGTTTGGTGTGGGAACGTACCGATACAGTAAACGCAGATGGCCCCCACGCTTCACACCCTACATATCCGTACAACATGCAGTTGACAAGCAGACCACATTCAGCGTTGCCGGTCTGTTCCAATCCCTCCTCGCACCATTCCTCCCACCCTCCCTCCCCTAATCCCGAGCACCTGCCGAGCCATGTCAACCCTCGACAGCCGCTCCGGGCCCCCCGCGTTGAACACGCGGTGCCGCCACAGCAGCCGCCCCTCCTGCTGCCCATCCTGCTGCGGCTGCTGCTGCTCCGCTGCCTCGGGCCCTGTCGCGCCCTGCACTGCGCTCCTGCTCTCAGCGGCACCTGCGCACGAGTGCGAGGTCCCCGGCACCTCCTCCTGTAGGGCGTCTACTGCTGCTGCCCCTGCAGCAGCACCAGCAGCACCAACATCAGTGTCCGTACACCGCCGTACGGCCAGCAGCACCAGCCGCTGCAGGTCCCTCACATACACCGGGTTGCGCCACTCGTCGGAGAAGAAGGTGGTGGGCTTGTCGCCCTGCACAGCTGCGGCCTTGGGGGGGGGGCGGGCGGGTAGGGGAGCGGTGGGGGTAACAATGACGGCGTCGCAACGGGCCGTGAGTTAGGATTTGGGGACCACGGATTACGGTGGAGAAGGACCAAAGTACAATTCAAGGCAAGGCAATGGGGATAGGAGGCGGCAGGAAGCGGGGAGCGGGGGTGGGGGTACCAGGCATAGGATGACTAGGAGGATGACAGGTAAGGGTTGGAACGCGGAAGGGAAGAGGAGAGGGCTTTGAACAGGTAGTACATGGCTCACTGGTGTGTAAGGGCAGGTAAGGGCACCTGACGGTATGACCAGGGGAGTGAGTCAAGGGAAAACAACATTCGATGACACACCAAGCTAGTCAACCCGCCGACCAGGCAGCAGCCTCACCACGAACTGCAGGAAGAGCGTTCGGTGCACGGTTTCGGGCGGGGGCGGGCCGTAGATGATGCTGCTGCGGAGGATGAGCAGCGGGTAGGGCTCGGGTAGGCGCGCCTGCAAGGAGGGTTGGAAGGTAGGTAGGGAGAGAAAAAATTATATAAGTGAAACAACGAGTACCAATCCCATATCCCGACTCATGCAGTGAGGGGGAGAGGCATGGCACGAGGCAGGGCGTGTGGGGTTAGGAGGCAGGGTGTGCGGGGAAAGGGTGCGGGGAAGGGGGAAACTCCGGGGGGCCCTGCTGGCGCCATGGAGGGGTTGATACCTCTGCCGTACTACCCAGCAGCATGGGTACAACCTGCATGCTGTCAGATGCTGTACCCGCAGCCTACTTCCCCGACACATACCACGGAGCGTACCACCAGTAGCTACAGCGCCTTTTACTACCGATTAACCATACATCCATTGTCACTGTCGGTGTCAGCATTGCTGCAGTCTCATCACGTGCCCATCAACGTCCCAACACACACCAGCAGGAGCTGCTCCGCCTCTAGCTTCGTCCTGCCGTACACGTTGACTGGCGTGCATGGGTCGTCCTCCTTCCAGTGGGCCTTGGATCCGTCGTACACCTGGGGGTGCGGTGGGGCGGCGGGTAGCGCACAGTGGCACATACAGCGCACGTGTGTGTGTATTTGCACCTGTACCTGTGGCGGCAGTCATGCAACACGCTGCGGGAGGAAGGGCAAGCCAGCGTTGCCGTGTCTCTACAGAGCAGGTTGCGAGACGAGCTGACAGGCTGCAGATTTTCCCTCTCGTTCCCTCTCGTCGCTGCTCCCGCCAGCTGCGTGCCTCACTTGGTCTGTTGAGATGTGTACGAGCACCGCCGGCCCCCCGCCCCGCTCCTCCTGGTGCAGCAAGCAGTCCACCAGGTGTATGGGCACGTTGACAGACCTGGGGACGTGGGGAGGGAGCGAGGATGGACGCCAACACTTCCGAGCATCAGCTACCTGGTTACTGGTATGTTGCCTTGTTTCATCTTTTCGTGCTTACGTGTGCATGTAACTCGCTCCCCTGTACCTACCCACCGTGGGTTCTTAGCTTGCAACCTACGTACCAGCTTACCTACCTTGCTGCCTCGGGGGACGCTTCACACGCACCCGGCTGGCTCATAGCTGCGCAGTTGACCACTGCATGGAAGGTTGCCTGCACAACATACAAGAGAGGTAGCAGCAGCAGCAGCAGCAGCAGCAGCAGCAGCAGGAGGAGGATATAGGCTTGTGGCATGAAGCGCGCACATGATTTTGCTGCAGCGGTTCCTTATTCCAATCTCACGCGAGCCTTCTTACCCTTTACAATCATGGCTTTGTATCCCTTCCATGGCCAAGCCTACTACCAATTCCTGGCCTCCTCCTCTCGCTGTTAAGCCACTACAAACCTGTTGGAAAGCCTCCCGCAGTCCTTCACCAGTAACCAGGTCCACCTTGCATGTATGGCAGCAGCAGGAGGAAGACAGCAGGTGCAAGGAGCAGTGCCCCAATGCGTTGTTGGGAGGTGGGAGGTGGGCGGGTAACGAGGCAACATGGGGATGATGCAGGCTAAGCCGGCAATACCGTATTTGAGCAGGGGGACTGGGGTTGCCCGTCCGGGTGCGGGGAGGTGGAAACATGGGCATGCACATGGACGCGAGGAGGTGGAAGAGGAAGTGTGGAGGTGGAGGAACTGGGTCTTTGCACCAACGAGTGCAAGTTGAGCTTTACTTCGCTCAAATGGTGCCGATATACGGTATGCGTGGCGAATAGTTAGACATCCTGAACTGCACGGTACTCGCCACAGCAACAGCCACAGCAGCGCATGTGACTTGCCCGACCCACCCCGGCGTCAATGCTCCAGCAATACCTTATGCGCGATGGCGCCTTCCGGAGCTGACCACAATGGATGAGTACCGTACGTGTAATGAACCTGGAAGAGCGGATGGGTGGAAGCGAACGGTCCGCATATATAGCCATCACTTAGTTCCCTGATAAAGCTCTGTCGTAAGAGGCTCTAGTTGGGAAAAGAGAAAATATATCGGGATGGGTACCTTGTATTCCTTCGCCAGAGCATGCACAAGGAACTGGCCCAAGTAACCTGAACCTCCCGTCACTAGGACATTCTTCAGTAAGCTTGTCATGATCTGCACTCCTAAGCTACCGTCTTGGAACAATAGAAATGAAGCAATGCGCCCTTGTGAGAGCTGTTTTGCCAATTCTTCCCACTAAGGTATACGTTTAGTATAGAATACAAGGTCTTGCAAATAAAGCAATGGTGAATAGAAGCAAGTTATTCGCCATGGAACACGCGCAAATATGAAAGCGACAGATGGATTCCAGAGCTGCTCTTGGGAATAGCGCGGCTTATTATGGTTATGAAAGAGGATGTTTAAGACCTTCAATAACAGTTATGACGGTGACCGCGGAAGCACCTGCCGAGGAGATGCCAGGCATGGCAGACAGTACAATTCCAACTTAATATGGTGGTGTTGAGAAACACCGGTTTTTGAATGCCCAATATGAGCTCGGACAAGGCCAACTTAACCACCGAAGCCGTAGAGGGTGCGGCCCTGGCGCTTCAGTGCGTAGACGACGTCCATTGCAGTCACGGTCTTGCGGCGAGCGTGCTCCGTGTAGGTCACCGAGTCCCTGATGACGTTCTCCAGGAAGGTCTTCAGCACGGTGCGGGTCTCCTCATAGATGAGGCCGCTGATACGCTTGACGCCACCACGGCGAGCCAGACGGCGAATGGCGGGCTTGGTAATGCCCTGAATGTTGTCGCGAAGCACCTTGCGGTGGCGCTTAGCACCACCCTTTCCAAGACCCTTACCACCCTTGCCACGGCCAGACATTGTTGTTATGTGATAATATAATGAGGGACAAAAGTTTGGTTAAATACATCTAGAGAAAGAGCTTTATATCGCGGCGCATGCTTGCCCGGCTTGGGACGACAGTACGGCAGGGCCTGGACGAGCGCGCGAAATGGCCCCGCTGATCGGGATCACCGCGACATGCTCCTGCTCAAAGGATGGATGCAACCGAGTTGATCAACTTTCAATCAGCAATATACTTGCATCTCGTATGTAAGAGCACATAATTCCAAAGGCAGCAAGTCGCCCCGCGCTGCCCTCAAAGGCCGTCCGCAAGACCCCAGCGACTGGCGGTGTCAAGATGCTTCACAGGTCACATGAACCCTTTATATAATGTAAATATTTCTGGTTTGGGCTAAACTTGATTCCTGGATTGGGCTAGGATCTTATCACGTGCGGCACTTCGGAGCAAAGCAGCATACCGCAACCTGCCGCAACCCATAAACGTTTGTCACTACGTAGCCTGTACTTGTAGACGTTAACTCCTGATCTCCCTAGGAAGAGGCTTCTCTTTCCATCGTCCCTTATTCAAGAACGTCCGTATGTGTGTGTGCCCTTTCAACACTGCACAACGTTACACGCAAAAGTTGAAGCTTAGACTGGCTTAGACGTCGTACAGATTCGTAATCCTCTGCAATATCCTTCGGTTCACACAGCCCATTCCACAGATGTGCACGTCGCAGTAGCTGTTTTTCGGCTCATGTGCTGTCCACCATTTCATACACCTACGCGCCCGTCAGGCAAACAACAGTAGTAAGAAAGGCAGGCGCTGTGGTTCCTTGTGGGGTCGAGCAAACTCACAGATGCCTTCCAGGATGCAAGGCTCGTTCACACGGTCTTCAACTGCCCTAGCTACGCTACCATTTCTTAGTTCAGAGCTTGCACACTAGCACACACCGGCTTTGCAAAGCAGTTACCGGGCTCACATGAGGGTCAGCGTGGCAGTCAAAGACTTATGTCGTCTTAATCGCTGCCCGCCCTCCCGCCCTTCTACTTGTAATGGGCCTGAAGAGAGGATTCGCTCTGGTACGTAAGCATAGTCGTTCTGCGGTTCCATGATGGCAAGGGGACGTGGTATGCCAGGTATGCCGTGCAGTCTTTTCCGCACATGTTGGCGAAAGGCTACCAGGCCGAAGCGATCTCGTGGCCTGCCCACGTATTGTGCGCCCGTGTGCTGGCATGCATGCATTGGCTGCATTGGCTGGGGTGTCTGGATATGTTGGAGCTGAGTTGGGTTGACTTCACAGGTTTGCCGCACTTTGCGTCTGCGTGTCATTCAAGAAATAAGACACATGCCATGCGGGTGCCCCATCCATTGTTCAACTGCTGGTGGGTAGGAAGGGCGGGGGAGGCCTTTTCGGCAAAGGCTGCCCCTCTAGGACGCAATAATGGACTTCAAAATGAAAGCGTCCTGCATGCCGAGTGTACGGGCGGTTTCATGAGGTGGCTCTTCTTGGGGCAACCTGGACAGGGCTAGCACGAGCAACATAAATGTTTCCTCCAAACAACATGCCTGTATAGGCTTCATGCCTGACTGTATGTATTCAATATAACCCAGCCTACGATCTTAACCCCGCATTTATCAGTAAAAAGTTATTCTTTTAATACTGGTATAGCGAGCGCCCTTCACGGCTACCAGTACCTACTTGGGCAGCGATCTTGACTCTAATGTTTAAAAAAGATTGAAAGTAATTTTGTTTTGCGTGTGTAATTACTTGCCCTATGCGTCTTCAGTACTATGCGTTGCCGCACTTTCTTCGTATTACATCCCCGTGTGTGTCGTACTGTGTCCTTTCTAGTTATCCTTCATCGGCGTACAGGTTTAATAGATCGTTTTCAGGATTACCATTACTGGATTTTGACTTAGCGGTTTAGCGCGCCATGTTAACCAGAGTGCACCCATCTGAACGCGCCTCTGCAGCTACCAGCGAACAGCCACAGGCGATAGCTACAATCGCTGGCGACATGTCCAGGGAAAACGCGCCTCCCGTGGTCGTTCGCTGTGCCCCCAAGGGGTTCGCGACGGGGTCCTCCAACGCTTCATCGATTAACACGGAGCCTGTAGGACGCCGGAGCGAAGACAACGTGCTGCCAATCAACATATACTCATGTGTATACGCATGCAGCCCGACGTCTGGCCACCCAAGGGCAGCCGAAGCAGTGGTCGTCATGTTGCTAACGGTGGCCGCTCAGCTCTTCATCGCAGCCGTCATCCTCGATCAGAGCGCACAAAACGCAACGGTGGGTTGGAAGCAGTTTGAACTTCGCAGACAAATTCTCTAAGCGCCAGGCGCTATCGCCCTGGCTGCTTACCGCCGGCGGACTGCTTCCTCATATCCTTTGCAGGGCTTCTCGTCCGGACTGGAACTGATAGCTGGCATATTGCTGGCCGTCATCGTCACCGTAAGCCACATGCGTTCGGACGTCCTGCCTTGCTGCAAATTCGCAACCTACCTAATGTCATTCGGACGCTCATGGACAAAATGGCTACTCGTCGCCATCTACTACGTCGTCTGTGTTATTATCACAGTTGCTAGTATTTTCCTTGTCCTTAGCGTGGAAAGTGCGCCTCTCTCGCTCCTCGCCGCGGCTGGTGGAATCTTACTAGCGCAACTTGACGACATCATCTTCGGCCTTTGGCAGCGCGACGGCAGCGCAACCAAGCTATCAAGGGGCCTATTCACTCGCCTCTGCTGTTGCGGTTGCTTCGACGAAACCCGGACCAAGGTAGCTGAAGACGCGGAGGCCCCTGCTGCCGTGGTGGTCTCGCTTCCCAGCCTTAGGTTGGACCAAAACGTCGAGGATGCTGCCACAGCAGCCAAACAGCGCAAAGTTGCCAAATGGTTGCCACGCATTTTAGTGTTTCTCTACATAGCGATAGCTATTTTTGCCATCGCAGTTGCCGTTTATACTGGCATGGCTATTGATGACGAGGACATTACGGATAGTAAGGATGGTAAGTGAGGTTGGTGACGATGGTGACGATGATGATGTTGAATTGTTGATTATCTTGGTTGGTAGGGCAGCAGCGGCCATCAATCTGCAACACGTTACTATACACATCTGGTGATGAAGGCATGCATGGTTCATCCTCGCTGACCTCGCCTGTTGTTGCAGCTTTCATCCATGATGCATCGTGGCTAATACGGCGTGCATATGCGTGGCTTGGCAAGCCTCCGATTTGGCACGCTGCTGAAGACCTGTGGGTTTACCCGCACAGCCGCACTCTACGGTCACCTCATTACCCGTTTTGCCCAAATCATGACTTTCTACCTGCATCGCTGTGCACCAACCTGTTGCAGCGTCAATGAGCACGTGTGGGGCATATGCCGCAGTACAACCATGTCGCCTATCTGGCATGCATGTGGCCTGTTCTGGCACTGCAGCAATCCATGGGCAAGCGGACCTGTCGTACTAGGATGTAGCCTTCACCGCTAGTTTCCAGGACAAGGAAATAAGCATTACGTTCATTACTACATGTTCAGAGTGATGTCGTGCCATACATGGTGTTTGCGGTTCTAATAAGTGTTCTTTGGGGGCGGTCAACTCCTCTAGATATTTGCTGTCTGTTGCAAGCATTTCGATTTGGATTAGCTGGGTTACCGTAACGACTAGTGAACAGTGCATGGTGGGAGTCCGATAAAGGTGGTGTTTAGAAACACCGTTTGTCTTTGAAGTCAGAAGCACAGACCGATTACGCAGAAGTGAACTTGGTGACGGCCTTGGTGCCCTCCGACACAGCGTGCTTGGCCAGCTCGCCAGGCAAAACCAGGCGCACGGCGGTTTGAATTTCGCGGCTGGTCAGGGTGGGCTTCTTGCTGTACTTGCTGAGCTTGCTCGCCTCGGAGGCAATGCGGTCGAACAGATCAGTGACCAGGGATGTCATGATGGACATGGCCTTGCTGCTGATGCCGGTGTCGGGGTGGACTTGCTTGAGCACTTTGTAGATGTAAAGCTTGTAGGTCTCCGCCTTGGACACCTTGGCCTTCTTCTTGGCGGCCTTCTCGCCGCCCTCAGCGGCGGGCTCCTTGGCAGCCTTCTTGGCAGGCGCCTTCTTCTCCTTCTTGGGAGCCTTCTCGGCCTTAGGCTTGGCCTCAGCCTTGGCCTCAGCGGCCTCCGGCTGCGAAGCGACCTTTTCTTCCTTCTTGGGAGCCATGGATGCTAAATTTATCAAGTCGGGTGAAATAGTAGGACGGGTTACTGAGACTTAGAGAGAGTCTAGAAAGTAAAGTCACATGTGTATCAGTACCTTCGGACATTCAGAAGTTAACAATCCCGACGAGGCTGCCCCTCTGAGTGACCAACCGTCACGTTACCGGTGACGGTTGCCCCGGTGAGCGCAGTACGGGCTTGAGTCAACAACGCGACATACTTATAACACGTGAAGGCTTTAGTTCAACACCGCACATTCCTTACCTTTAACCCTTATCTTTTAACACTTCCACTTAGCTGAAAATGTCTGGCCGTGGCAAGGGCAAGACTTCCGGCAAGAAGGCCGTGAGCCGCAGCTCTAAGGCTGGTCTGCAATTCCCCGTTGGTCGTATTGCCCGGTACCTGAAGAAGGGTCGGTATGCCGATCGCATTGGAGCTGGCGCTCCCGTCTACCTGGCCGCATGCCTCGAATACATTACGGCCGAGGTACGCATAGAATGGCATACGGTAATATGCCTATGCATACGCCTTTTGTATATGTCATGCCAAGAAAACCTAACCCAACTATTCGTATGCGCAGGTGCTCGAGCTCGCTGGCAATGCTGCCCGCGATAACAAGAAGAACCGCATCGTTCCCCGCCACATCCAGCTTGCCATTCGCAACGATGAGGAACTGAGCAAGCTGCTGGGCGACGTGACCATCGCTTCCGGTGGTGTGCTGCCCAACATCCACGCCGTGCTGCTGCCCAAGAAGACGAAGGGCGGCAAGGCTGAGGAGGAGACCGCCTAAAGGCCTTCTTTCACTGCGTTTCGTATACAAAATCGGTGTTTTTTAACACCACCCTTCTTGGATGCATGTCGCCTCGTTCTATTCAATCTTGTCGGGAAATTAGTACGGTCGTCGTGGCAAACGCTCCGTACCCCAGTACAACCAGATGGAACTGCGCTACTTCAGTATGACCAGTGAGTGTAGCCATTCGCAGCATACGCACGCTCAAACACATGCTTCCAGGCCTTCCTTGCAAAAATAGCCCGGGAAGTCCTGGGTCTCCCCGGCAACGACATGCCTCTCGCCCTCAATCCACGCCCTGCCGCAGTCCCGCCCCGCCCCCCTTTGCAAGGTTGGAAACCAACTCAAAAAACCTTTTCCAGGATTTTCCTCCCGCACCCTCTCAGTCCTCCTCTCCCTCTTGGAACTCGTGTCTCTGCTTCTTGCCGTAGTCCGTCATGCCACGCCCGCTGCCGACGACGCCCACCTTGCTGCCCAGCACCCCCTCCGGCACGGAGAAGATAGAACCCTTCTTGACCGACCCTGGAAGTGAAGGTTGTACGGCAGGTCGTACAGGCAGCCAGGAAGCTAGTAAAGCAGCAGCAGTAGAAGTAAGAGGAATGTACGGTAGCGCATGTGAATTGGATACTCTGCTCATCTGAGTGGTATGGCAAGCTAAAATACGTGGCCTCCGCAGTACAATGCCACATGGAAAATGCGCCTTTCCCACGCTCCACATGCGCCGCATAATGCGACTGCCCATGCCATCGCCATCATTACCACCCAAAGTACCCGTCTTACCTGTCAGGAACCCCGTCTTCTTCTTGCTGCCCTTGCCCTTGAGGAAGGACTGCCAGCTGTCCTGCTTCTGCTTCTGCGCCAGATCCATATTTTGAAAACGGATCTTGGATTTAAAGCTCTTGAGCAGCTTCTTCTTGCGCGCCTTGGTCTTCTCGTCGTCCGTTTCTTTAATGGCCAGCCACTGGAACAAGGGGAAGAAGGAACGGATGGGCCATGGGGCCGGGATTTGCTTAGCACACATCCCAAGCATTCAGGGCCTGGGCTGCAGGAATGCATGTTGGTGCCGGTGAGACCATTATGCCCCTTTCCCCTTATCCATCTTTGTCGGCCTCAGAACCCTGAGCACTTCAAAGCAAGCTCACCCCCTCCTGGCCCCACCCGGTTCCGCTGTCTGCCCCTCCCCCCACCTTGGGTATCTCCGTGACCACGGGCTCCTCCTCCACTCGCTTCCGCTTGGGGGCTGCAACCCCCCGGTAGCCCTCCTCCGCACTGGGCCGCGGCCGTACACCCGTGAGCCCCACCTGAGGACAGTGGGGGCAGGTTGGATGAGGCGAGGAGAGGCGGGAGGCAGGAGCAAGGAGGGTTAGGCAGCGCAGAAGGGAGGAAGGAGGAGGAGGATGGGGAGAAGGAAGGAAGGAAGGGTCCTGCTGCGCCCTGCGCTTCCTCTCTAAACTGGCCACATGCGTCCCCTCCTGCACACTTGCGTGTCAGCCCCACGCAATACCGGTATAACCCTTTCTTCATCCGACCCCAACCAACAATGTATTCCCCGTCCGATGCCTTACTGGTGCAAACATACGTTCCTGCATGAACCAGCATGCGCATGCACCCGTGCGTGCCCGTACGAGCCCGAACATACCCTCCCTCCCTCCTCCCCGCCACACCCCCACCCCTCCCAGCCCCACCTCCTCCTTGTTCCCGTAGCCATCAAACACCACGATGAAGTTCCCCGCCTCCGAAACCGCCTCCACCGTGGCATCGTAGTACTCCCCGTCCGCGCTGTACACCGCCTGGCAGGGCGCCCCTATGGCCCACTCGGCGGGCGCCTGACCCAGCAGCGCAGCACGGATCTGGGGTGGCCGTGGGATGGGGGCACGAGGGGTGACAAAAGGGACAAGACGAGTCTAGAGAAAGGACAAGATGAGTCTCGAGAAGGGACAAGACGAGCGTCGAGAAGGAACAAGACGAGCGTCGAGAAGGGACACGGCGAGCGTCAAAAAAGGGACATGAGGGCCGAGGGGAAGCAATGGGCGTGTTGTGGGACAACGTGTGGGTGTCGTGGTGCAGGCAACACATGCAAGAGGGAGAGAGGTGCCTCGCGGTACGCGCAGCAGCCGCGTCAACACCGCCTTACTCCGCGCCATAGCTCTTCCCAAAGCTCCTTACAGAGTTAGCAGACCCGGAAATACCAGCTACCCAGCAAGCATCCAACACAAGCAGTTTCCTCCTCCGTTCTGGTCACCGTGCTCATCCCATCGCACTCCTCTCAACGGCTGTCCGGGGCCTCTAACCCCTAGCTCTCCAGTGTTTCTGCCTCAAAGCATGGCCCCACCCGCCCACCTGCGCCTTGCGAATCTGCTCTGCCACGGATGCGGGCAGGATGGCGGGCAGGTTGAGTGCAGGCGGCGTCACAATCTTTGCCACGGGGCCCCCAGCAGCGGAGCCGCCAGCGGCAGCTGCAGCTGCAGCAGCGGCATCCGCATCAGCTGCTGAGGTTGCGGCAGCTGCTGACGTAGCTGCGCTGGCGCCGGCTGCGGGTGTGGATCGGGAGTTGGGGTGAGGCGGGGAGCGGTGTAGTTGAGATGTAGGCTGAGACGCTAACCGGCGAAGCAGCAGGTTGTGGGAGAAGGCATGCGAGAAGCTGGGAATGTGATGTGAGAGCGTGTGAGGATTTAAAGGAGAATTGGTGGTGTGTGGGTGTGCTTCCCCAGCACCGTGCGGGGGATCCCGGGGAAGGGCTCTGCCGGGTGTTTATGGTGCATGAACGAATACTAGTTGGCGGGCTTGGAGTTATGTCTGGCCGCTAGCTAAGACACCCGCAAGGGCCACAGCAGCAGATGTCATGGTAGCCGGTGGTGGCCGTATCACCGGCGGTTGACCCCACCTGCGGCCATAGCAATCCGCTGCTGCTCTAAGGCATCTCTAAGCAGCTCTTCCGTTAATTGTATAACCTGTGCAAAGGGGCATCCGAGCCTTCTCGATCAGCCAACATCCGAAGGCTGACTAGAGTGAAAAGTTACGGTATTTAGATGTGCAGCAAAGTACCTCTGTCAGGCTTTGATACATATCCTGTAGGTCTTGTCCAGGCATCTCCTCGTCGCTGCCCATCATGAGCAGCTGCTCAACCTGCGCCAGCTGTTCCCGATACTGGCGCAGGTTCTCCTCCAACTCCTGTGGTGTCTGAAGTCCGCTCATTTTGCTTAAGTAGCGCCTACGTTTCTAATTTATTTTAGCAATTCAGCGCCGAGGCTCTGGCCTACACGGCGGAAGGCGCTTCACACAATGCGCCTAGTCAGATCAATAATAGACTAACTTCAATTGTCATCGCAGTTTTCTTGCCAGCAAAGAAAGAGCACCTACGGACTTTAACCGAATGTGGGTCTGCTAAGTAGCGATGTGTTGAACAGCTTTCTTTATGTATTATAACTGCAGGGAAGAGTGTTATGAAAGAAGTCGGAATAGGTTATAAGAGCATTGGAAGTCCGTCAAGTCCCGTGGGACGATGGTCATCAGAAGCTGCATCAGACTACCACTCGAAGCCTCGTTTGCTGCAAACTGCTATTATAGGACGCTCTCTCATTTTAGAATTATATCCCTGTTATAAATTGCGCGTGTGAAAAAGGAGAGCACTTGCGTGCTTTGATACACGGCTGTGCCTTTATGTATGCGTGCCTTACCATCCATCCCTTGCTTTGACCTGCTGCAGCGCTTTTGCCATAGCAGCAAGCACAAAGCGACGCTCTTAAGGTGCACGAAATACGCAATATAAAATGAGGCCAATCGTGTCCTGTCGCAACGGCTCCGTTACTGTAGGCCTGCTGTTACTGAAGTAAGGTAGCTCCTAAACTGTCTCCGTGAAGTGCAGCTTCGTAACCATGATGGCAACATTGGCCAAGATGCTCCACACGTATGATGTAGGTGCTACACCTTGGTTAAAGCTTAATGTACGGTACATTAGTCATCCTAGCAAGCCACCTATCGTTGTGGGGTTACAATTACTCACCTTATTCTTCACGGCGACAAGCTGCCCCATTATTATCATGCGCAGGACTTCCAAGCCGCCTCTGGCGCGCTGGCTAACACATACTGTACAATCAGCCACATCTCCAATGTCAGAGAAGAAGAGTGAAACGCCACAGGCAACCATAACAAAGTGTGCCCCTCGCACCACAAGCAACTCCACAGCTAGGATGCCCATCCAACCATGCGGCTCAAACGACAAAACCCACGATTGCGGAAGCAACGCCACTTCCATGCACGCCTCCTGCCTTTATTTACTTGTGCTGATCACACCGGATTGTGGGCAAAACCACACCCCAGGGCCCCAACGACACCTTTCACTAGTGCTCACCAACACAACCGACACCAATGCCCACGCCCAAGACACATCTCGCTACCTCCGCCACCCTAATAACGGGGACCTCCTTCATGCTTGGCGCAGGCATGTCGACACAAGCCGCACACCCACCTAATGTGCAATAAAACCAATCAATACCCCACTTTGCCATTAGTTTGCCGTAGCTTTGGCCTAGACCCATATAATAACATGGCAGGATCCCATCACACTCACACAACCCGCTAACCCGCCCTCCGTAACCCGCTTCACCATTACTTGTCAAGGACCATCATGCACCGGTACCGCCAATCAAGTAAGAGTCCTCCCGGCGGAAGAGAGCCACGGCCGGCAGCAGCATGAGAACGTCAGGCAGCTAGTAGCTGGAAACGCCCGCAGGAAAACACGTGTCCAGGATGTATTATCTGTGTGAGCTGCTAGGGTAGGAAACACCACCCGCCCTCCATCCACCGCCCATTCGCCTCTAAGTGCGGTTCTCACAAGCCCCCGAGGTCTCACGCGACAGGGGGCCCTCCGTCCATACGAAGCCTCCGTCCTCTCCCGCAGCACGCTTGGCAGCGCTGATCGCAGCGCAGGTGGCTGCTGCGTTGAAGCAGTTCATTCCCTGCAGGTTCAGCCGCTCGCCAGTGGTGGGTGCCGCACACTCGAACGACACCTGGAAGTCTGAGTCGTACGGCAAGCCGAACAGGCACTTGACCCGTGCACGGAACTCCGCCATTCCCTCGATGCCGGGCTTGACGGGAATCTTGTGGTACTGCGTATGGTAGGACATGGGGCAAGGGGAAAGCTTGAAGTCGGTATGTGATTATGGGCATAGGATCCAACGCTGCCATTATTTTACAGTTACTGCAGCCGCTGCTCAGGGCTTAATCCCGATAAATGTGAAACCGGAGAGCTCAAATCAGGGACTGCAAAAATTAACTTACGGTGCCCTTATAGATGACAGCCATGTAGGGGGTGATTTGCTGCGCCGAGTCACGCAAATGTGTGGGTGTCAGCATGTCCTCCAGGGGCGGGAGTACTCGATCGCAAAAGCGGCAACGGGACTCCTCACTGTAGAAAGTTGGCGTTTCGAAGGTGAAGTGACCAAGGACAAGGTGTGAGCGAGGCAAATCGAGCAGTGGATGGGTGAATGCATGGCTGCAAGGAAACGCAACTTGGACCCGCAGGATAGCCCAAACCGGACAATATTTGCAAAGTCTGTTGTGTCCAATAATGTCGGTCATGCTTGTCTAACCTCACCCAAACCAACTTACTCGCGCCCCGCATTCTGCAATTGCCAGCGCCCAAGGCATCCTCGATGCACTAAGCGAGGGCAGGCGCACGGGCGGTCGAGATCACCATCATCTGAGCCGGAAAGGCAGATCCAGCAGCAGTCGCTGGAGCTGTCCATGGGTCGCAAGTTCGGTTGCAAAATGTGAACGACTAGGAGTTGCAGAAGTAGTTACAGGGCTAAGTAATCAAGATACAGCGAACAAAAGGCTTCGATGGCTTCTTGCATTGCTTAGCTATGCCTCGTTGCTTTATGGCTGGACTCTCGGCGTACAAGTCGCCTCTCGGGTCATTTCGCTGCTGAGGGAGTCAGTTTCCACATGGTAAGGCAGTTGATCATGTAAGTTTATAATAATTACCTGCTTTCAGAGCTAGTGCCTTGCTAGAGCGTAGCCATTTTAGGCGAACACACCGGTACATGCAAGCATCCATGGTTACCGTAATGTATGCCGTCAGCTGCAACAGCAGCAACTGTCACATTTTTGTATGCTTCTAAAATATATATCTTGCACCGACATCTATTTCCCTTTTGGCCTGGTTTGGTTGCCGAAGTTTATTTGGATGGACCATTGATACCTTGATACTTCGTGTGGCATGCTATGGATAGCGCTGGCACATTCAAACATATAAAAGGTCATTGCTCATGGGTATCATTCTGTCCTAAATGCACAAACCTCGTTCGTTCAAAAGCACTTCATGGTGTACTGTGGTGTACTCCATTATTACTTGAGGTAGGCAGACAGATAAATGGACCGATACAGACCGATAAACCCAAACCTACCCTGCGGCAAACGGTCCCTTTGCGGCACAACTCTATGAGCAGCAACAGTTCGTTTGATCTGCACTGACCCAATTATTGGCGCCATAATAGTAGTTTGTCGAGGGCCCCAACCTTCCGCAGTGCGCCATGGGGCTTTCCACCCACGCAAGCCGCAACTGATACTGGTAGAATGCAGGCACCGCCATGCCTGCCGGTGCCCCTGACGATTTGGTATAGCTAGGTAGCCTCACCAGATGCTCCGTACTCTATGACTAACATCTGTAAATGTACACAGCGCTGTACTGCACTCTGGGGTTATGATGTACGGATGTTGATCTGGCAGAAGTACGGCAGAACCCACCTGCTGCACCGCTTAGTCAGCCGCATCACTGTCATCTGTGTGCTGATGGTATCCTACCCAGCAATGTGAGCGTTGGGGGCGGGAGCGGAGAACTCAAGGGGGGTAGTAGCTAGATCGATGCCCTTGAAGACCTGCTGATACATGTTGCATTCCTTACAACAAAGTGTTGAATCGCAACTTCGCCTACCACAGTACGACTTTGGCGCGTAAACCCTCACGAAACGCTCACGACATTTCAGTGATAATGCTACCTGCTTCATCACGCCCAGCTATACCTATCCCTAAAGAAGCTAAACAGGCCGCTGAGACCAGACCACGTAAGAAGGCAACCAATGCACACACACGCACTGAATGGAATGATCTACGCACATGTATGATGTATCCGCCATTCCATGCATCAACAATGAGCCCAGTTTCAAGCGAAACACATAGTCCGGGACGAGTCACCATCCCAGGCGCCTTGTATTGACGTATCAAGGCATCATGCCTCGCTCCATTTAAAGTAGCCCTCCTTTCCCGCAGCACGCTTGGCGGCGCTGATGGCGGCGCATGAGGCCGCTGCGTTGAAGCAGTTCATTCCCCGGAGGTTCAGCAGCTCGCCAGTGGTGGGTGCCACACACTCGAACGACACCTGGAAGTCTGAGTCGTACGGCATGCCGAACAGGCAGTTGACCCGTGCACGGAACTCCGCCTGTCCCTCGACGCCCGGCTTGACGGGGACCTTGTGGTACTGCGCAGCCAGAGGTAAGGGCGGGGCACAAAGAGTAAGACGCTAGCTAGCCCAGGTGTTCCACCGCAGGCATGCGTAGGGTTGGCCCTCATTTTATCCCTTGCTTGTCCCTTTATATCCGCAATACTCACCACTCCGTTGCAAATGACAGCCATGTAGGGGGTGGCTTGCTGCGCCGAGTCACGCAGATGCTTGGGTGCCAGGATGTCCTCCAGGGCCGGGAGCAGTTGGTCACAGAAGCGGCAGCGGGACACCTCATCACTGCAGTTTGCGGAATGAAGAAGGTAGCGTTAGTTGCCTGATGGCATGCCGGCAACGGCGGCCGCACGTAGGTAGGGAGATTGTTTTATGCACGGCGGGGTTCATACGCATCCTTGCTTTAGGTTTCTGACACGACCCCCAGCCACTTGCCTGCAACCGGCGCTTTGCAGTTGCCAGCGCCCCAGGCAGACACGGTGCACAAATCGGGGGCATGCGCAGGGACGCTCGAGCTGCCCAGCCTCGGAGCCAGAAAGGCAGATCCAGCAGCGGTCTTCGGAGGCAGCCATGGGTGGGGGTTAGGGGTTGGCTCGACGGATGAACAGCAGTTGAGTTGCAAATTCCACACGTTTCTAGTTACCAAAGCTTATAATACTGTTGAAACTGTATTTTTGTCGCACACACTCCAGTGCCAGAGGAGTCGCACCCCTCATCACCTTACACCGCCTGGGACCTGGCCTGCGGGCCCAGACTCCGAACAGCGTCTAAGAGACCCAACTCTGTAACTAACCAAGTTTGCTACCTAGCCGATACCTCACCCTACCCTCTCCGGGGAACAACAGGAGAGGGGGAAAACCAACAGCCGGGCGCGGATGGGCTCTAGCCCCCAAAACCCGCCCCGGCGTATTAGGCTCTAGGCGCGCTTCCGCATGCATGCACGCCTAGAGAGGACCCCCCTTACCCTGTCACCCACCGCACGCCTCGTCACCTCACATGCACCCCACAATGCGGGCCTTAGCCGCCGCGGAGGGGAGGATATACGCGCTCACCGCCTCCGACCGCCACCTCCCGTGCGCCTTGATCTGCTCTCCAGAGGCCCCCCCTTCCGCTGCAGCCGTGGCTCCCCCCCTTCTCAGGCTGTGGGACGCGTAATCTGGTACCCGCCCGGCTATTTGTGGCAGGGCGCGCTGCATCTCTCCTAAGAGCGCCCTAAGCCTACGCGTAAACCCCTCCTTCCGCCAAGCCTCCGACCCCGGTCCCCACTGGGGGCCCCGCGTGAAGAGCGGCGCGCTGGGCTCCGCCCCCCCTGAGCGGGCCCGCTCTAGGTGGCGCCCTATAATGCGCCCGATGCGTACTCCGCTGCCAGACGATGCCCCCAGGTGCACATCCACCCCTGCCCCAACCTGATCGGTCTTGCTCCTCGTTATCCGCACCACGTGAACCCCACCAGTCAGCGAATGCACGTCACCTAGCCGCAGCCCCGCCAGCTCACTTCTCCGCAGCATCCCAAAGAAACCCACCACCAGCCAACACGCATCCTGCTCGAGCTCCGCCCGGCGCGCTGGCGCCCCGTCCGCCGTCGCTGCCAGCCAGCCCAATAGGAGCCGCAGAAGCGGCACCGGGAACGCCTCCTTCGTACGTTGCGGCAGCGGCTCGGCCCCTGCATCGCCGCCAGCTGTGGCGGCTGCCGCCGGCGCCCGGGCACGCCACGCCTGCCTCAGCGTGCGTTGCACCAATGGGTTCCGGCGGATGGAGGCCTCCGCCGGAAAACCCTTCGCGCGCTGCCAGTCCGCAAGGGCGCTAATGGTGCCTGACAACGTTGAGGGGGCCACACGGTCGGCCTCATGGGCGATGAACAGGCTCACCAGCTCGGGGCTGAGGTCCGCGCCCCGCGCAGGTGGGAAAGCCGCCCTCATGGGTAAGCCCAGAGCAGCGCAGAAGGCCGCGTAGCGGCGGCGATGGGATTCGTACGTCCCTGCTGAACCCGCCGACACGGCGCTTCCCGCTAGCGCCACCAGCCTCGCCGCGAGTGCCTCCTGCCGACCGCCCGCAGCCCCTGCCGGAAAACCCGCCGCCGCCAGGATGCAGTGGATGCAGCGGAACCAGCCGCCGGGGTACGAGCCCGGCGGCAGTCCCAGGCAGCGGCGATGTGCCCGTATGTCGCATGTCTCACAGCGCAAGTCCCCCACGGAGGTGCGCCGCACGCAGGCCTCGCAGCTCACGGTCAGGGCAGGCGTAAGACCAGCATATCGTAAGGAGAAGGACCCGCCTCGTCGCCCCAGGGCCAAACGCAGAGGCGGCCGCCCTTGGGCAGCACCTGGGCGACCCGGAATGGTGCGGATCGGCTACGGACGAAGGCCCGGAACCACCCCCGCTCCGGCCAGAAAGGCACCACCACAACCGCCCGCGTCCGCGAGTCACGCCGTGCCGCTGCCACGAGGGTCGCTAGCACCTCCCCCACCAGGGCCTGGGGTGGGAAGGCCCACAGCGCCTTGCCCGCCAGCTCGGCCTCCTGGCCAAGCACCGACCGCCCCGCGCTGTAGAACACCTCACAGCCGGGCTGCCGGTTGGAGCCATGGGCGTCGCAGCAGCAGTCGACGGTGGGCCGGAGAGAGAACTTGCGGCATAGCTCCCTGAAGATGCTGGCCTTCAGCCGCAGGTTCTGATCCTGGGCGCTGTCAAGGCGGCGGCTGAGGCGGTCGGCCTGGCCGTTGTCCACGCCGGGAATGTGCTCAGCCCGGACCTCGAACCCTGAGCTAATCGCAAGCTCTGCAATTTGGCGGCTAAGGCTGCGGCCCTCTGGGATGCGGGTGGAGCCGTGGTTGATGGCTGCTACGGCTTGGGTGTTGTCACAACGCACCAGCACCCGGCGCCCGGCAAGGCTGGCGGCCCATGACTGCAGCGCTCTGAGGACCGCCTTGAGCTCCAGCCACGAGATGTGCAGCTGACGCTCCTCCTCTGACCATGCCCCTTGCACCTCCGCCTCCCCCCAGACTGCGCCAAACCCACGCCCACTAGCGTCCGTGAAGAGGACGGCCCCATTCTGGCCGATAAACTCCCCCCTCACTAGGTCCAAACCGATGCCCGCTGAGCGCTTTACCCCGTCCCAGACAGAGGAATCCGCCCGTAGCACCTGCCACCAGAAAGCCAGGTCTTCTACTGCGTCCGCCGCCAGGCCGACAGTGGCCGGCGGGCGGGTGGGGCAGAAGAGGCTGTCGTAGAGGCCCTGCATGAACGTGAAACCCCAGCGGCATGCCCGGGCTATGAACGTTAAGCGGCCGACGGTGGACTCCAGGAGGTGCCGCTGCACTGGTCCGGTAGCTGCCGCGTCCAGGAGGGCGCGCACGTCCGCCGCGTAGCGCTGCCGCTTGTCCGGCGAGATGCGCATCTCCATCTTCTCGGTGTCGAACAGCATACCCAGGAAGTCGAGCTGCCGCAGGTGCTCGTTTCGTCCGCGGTCCTTGCTGGTCTTCCACTCCAGCCCCAGCTCGCCACCTATTTCGTCCATGACCGCGAAGGCGCCAACGACGTCTGCATGGGTCACCCCTAGGATGATGTAGTCGTCGACGAAGCAGAAGAGCTTGACCCGTAGCCCCCGCCGGTCGCACTCCGCTTGGAAGATGGCACACGCGGCGTTGGTTAACTCCACAAAGATTGGGGGCGATTGGCTGGCGCCGAAGGGTAGCACCACCCAACGCAGGACTGCCTCCGTGGTGGGATGCCTAAAGGCCATGTACCGGCGTGCTTCCGGGCTGCACTTGATGTGGTGGAAACCAGATGCGAGGTCCCGTTTGCCTAGCGCCCCTTGGAACGGCAAATGCTCCAGAATTGAGGCGAGGTCGGGCAGCGGGCAGGGGAGCTTGGTCATGCAGTCGTTCACCCCCGAAGCGGTAGGGTCGATGATCGGGCGCAGGTTGCCATCCGCCTTGCTGACAACATGCAGTGGGTTGATAGTGGCTGCAAAGTTGCGCAGGGGGCCATGCTGCTTGCTGTCGTACGCCTCCACCAGGCCCTGGCGCAGTAACTCGTCAATGTGGCTGGCGTACCATTCGCTGTGTTCGCGCACGGATGGGTAGTTGCGCAAGTGGTGCGAGGTTGGCGGCGTGGTGTGGAAGGTCCAGCTGGCTTCGTTACGGGACGCAGGCGTGTCGATGCCGTGACGCTGCCACGCGGCCGTATTAAGCTTCACGCCCCCTGGGCCGAACCAGCGGCCGGCCGACGGCGTTTCCGCCGCCGAGTCAGGCATCCACAAAACTGCATGAGGCACAGGTCAAGGTTACGCTTTGGGTGTTCACCCTCGCAGGGCCCCCGTTCGCCGTAGGTCGCGTACACCACCGATTGAACCACATGCGAACACCGTCAGGCCCTTCTTCCTTCAGGCAGAGCCACACGACCCCGGTGCATGCCACGGCATATTGCTTGTCACCCGCGCAAGGCCCCAGTCCGCCGTAGGTCGCGTACACCACAGACTAGACAGCAGGTGGACGCAGGCAGGCCCTTCTCCCCTCGGGTAGGGTCACGCCACATGGACACACGCAACAGCACATTGCTTGTCACCCGCGCAGGGCCCCAGTCCGCCGTAGGTCGCGTACACCACAGACTAGACAGCAGGTGGACGCAGGCAGGCCCTTCTCCCCTCGGGCAGGGTAACGCCACAAGGACACACGCAACGGCACGTTGCTTGTCACCCGCGCAGGGCCCCAGTCCGCCGTAGGTCGCGTACACCACAGACTAGACGGCAGGTAGACGCAGGCAGGCCCTTCTCCCCTCGGGCAGGGTCGCGCCACATGGACACACGCAACAGCACATTGCTTGTCACCCGCGCAGGGCCCCAGTCCGCCGTAGGTCGCGTACACCACAGACTAGACAGCAGGTAGACGCAGGCAGGCCCTTCTCCCCTCGGGCAGGGTCGCGCCACATGGACACACGCAACAGCACATTGCTTGTCACCCGCGCAGGGCCCCAGTCCGCCGTAGGTCGCGTACACGCTTACCTTCTGGTGTCTCCATCCCTGCCGTATTTGCGTCAGCTGCCCCACCGCCGGCTGTACTGCCGGCGGCTGGATGGAGGGGGGGCGCCGTTGGCGCCGGGGCGACCTCGCCCCCAGCTGACGCTGCCGCGTCCTAAGCCGGCCGGCGGGCTGCCTGCTCCTGCTTGGCGCATTCTGCGAGTGCTGCCGTTTGGGCCCCAGGTTCCAGCGACCGCAACTCTCGGCAGCCGCGGTAGCTGTGTCCGGGCCTCTTGCAGTAGAAGCAGCCGTTGTCGCGTGGGGCACGGGGCTGTGCTGGGGCCGGCGGGAGTGGAAGAGGCGGGGGCGGCGGGTAAGCCGCCGCGGGAGCGGCGGCTGAGGCGAACTTCCCGAAGAGGTGCTGGCGCTGGCTGTCCGTAAATTGCGACAGGGCGGCTAGGAACTGCTGTGTGAGGGGAGAGCCCTTGCTGAATACGTCCATGACGTCCTTGAAGGGCAGGACACGGGCTGCATTCTGCACCTGCCGGAGGACCTCTTGTGTACGAAAGGCCTCCTCCCACACCTGCGCGGCCTTGGCCAAGAGCAGCGAGAGCTCCTCCGAAGAGGATGCGCAGTGTTTGGCCGCTTCCAGCTGGGACGCGAGATGCTGCAGGGAGCGGAGATGACTGTCTGCCTTGTGCGTGAAGGTCGCCTGGTCCCGGGATGCGAAGCTGACGTCCGCCAGCGAGACCAGGCTGCTGAGGCCTGGGATGCGGTCGAACACGTCTGCCCAGGCCCCTTCACGCTGAACGGTTGCCGCCAGGGGGCCCAGAGCGGACGGCGGTGCTGAGCCGAGGGGTAGGTGGCCGAGGCCCAGCACTGAAGAGTTGCTGTTTAAGTCCCCGCCACTGCCCCCCAGCGTGAGGCCCAGTCCCCCTAGGCCTCCCAGGCCTGCTGACGCTGCCCCAAATGCTTGCAGCCTGCTGCTGCCGGGAAGGCCCTGTAGGTTCAGGCCGGCACTCCAGCGTGCGTTCCCTATGGCAGGGTGCCGTTGGTCGTTCTGCAGGGTGGCGACTGCCGGCCGCCGGTCTTGCGGCAATTGCTGCTGCTGCCGTTGCTGGCGCTGAGGCTGGTGCTGTTCGCTGTCTTCTTCGTCCTGCAGAGCCGCCAGCTGCCGCTCTAGCACCGTCCTCCAGACTTCCGCTGCCTCGTCAGCGGATACAGGCTCCCTGATTTCCCGTCTTGCCAGCTCCAGGCTCGCGAGGCGCCGTACTTTGCGAGCTGCATCGCTCAAGCCTGCGTTCTCAAGGCGATCGAGAGCCCGTACAACCGCTGTCGGTGGGACGGATACGGCGCTGGGTGCCACACCCACGTCCCTCGCCGGCGCTGCCCTTGCGATTGCCGGCGACCCCGTACCGGGCATGGCGGGAGGGCCGGTGTGCTGCAGTGGCGTTGCATTGTCAATTTCCTCCGGTGCCTCTGCTTCGGCGTTGTGGATGTGAGCCGGCGCTGCTCCGGCCGCTGCGTTGCTGGGCCCTGGGAGCGCGGCCAATTCTTCTTGCAGAGCTGTCCCCTGATTGCGAAGCTGTTCCCAAGACTGGTAACGTGATAGCAACTCATAACCGCGCCTGTGCGTCTCGCGAGCCTGCCTCCGTTTAGCGTTTCTGTTTGAATTGGCCCGCTGATGGGCTTCCTGCCAGGTGCTAACTGCTACCGCGCTGCCACGGCTAGGCCTGGTAAGTCCCACTGGAGCCATGGCTGCCTGATACGCTTGTTCGGCTTGCTCTACCGCCCAATTGTACTCGCGGACCTGAGCTCGGTCTGCTTCGGTCAAACCTAGCTCTGCTAGCTCTTGGTTAATATCTGCTAATTTAGCCTCCAAAAGGCTCGCCTACCTACAGCTGCAGCCATACTTAAGAACTGTCTGCAACTACGCAAAAGTCAGCGCCTTCCTAACTGCGCACGGAAACTCAGCGGCAAAGACCTGAAAGGCCAGCTGAGGGCAAACTGTTTAACCAAGGTCAAAACGTCTAGCACCGTCCACTCGCAAGCCTGGTGGCGACTGCTCTGCTCCCTGTCGTACATGCGCTCCATAACCCCATTTTTAGTTGACACTCAAAATGATACGTTTCTATAACGCTGGGGTGTCGACTTTATGTTTGGGCGCTCGACGTACAAGTCGCCTCGCGGGTCATTTCGCGGTCAATTGTCAGCAGCGCGCGGCAAGCCCGTTCCTGTCAGCAGCAATTGACCATGTTTCCCCTTATTATTACAGGACATGCTGTCTTGCGAAGCCTCTATGTTAACGGGCATGTCGGCCAGCATGATGCTGAGTCAGCCGTCGCCATCCTCCAAGTAGCACTCCAAGTACGCTTGCGTTGGGTTTCTGTGATCGTTGTTCCTGCAGACTGCTGTTCATCAACGCACAGTGCAATGCGCGGCTGGGTAGCTAGGACAACGTATGCCAAAGAATGCTTCCTGGCGGCAGTGAACCAGTGCACGCACGCCTACCCTGCTGGCCCCGTTCAGGGTCCGCCGGCAGAAGGCGTGTTAGCTGGGGGTTCTCTGCACGCATGCATGGCGGTTGCAGGCTGCTGCTTGTTGTGCTCCACGCACCCTGCTGCACCATGTCACCGTGACATGCAAGCCACGTGCTCGGGTACGTGGCTCAGATCCGTACGCAGGGGCGGGGGGCTTATGCATGGACTGATCCCCAGGCCTACATATGCGTTGCCTCAGCCTCTGAGCCCATCACACGGTGGCGGTGTCGAGCTGAGTCCGTAATCTTGCCGATCGCGGGGTTGCATGCTCGATTCCAGCTGCCAGCGAACTATGCTGGGGGGTGTCGCGGCCCCCTGTCACCCGAGCGGGGGCTGATGGTCGGAAGTTCCACATGATCCTGCCGGTCTAGTTCGCCTGCGTCGATGGTGTGTCCTCTCTGAGCCTACAGTCGACAGCGGCACCTGCCTGATGGGAGGTTGTCGTGGTTGATGATTAGCCCGGTAATGCGTGAGGCAGGAAACTGAGCAGCGAAAACGGGCAGCTGCGGGCGGCAGAAGGATAGCATACCTGAGTGGGCGGCTAGGCCACCCGGCAGGTCCTCTGCGGGGCGACCAGCTGTTTTGCAACAGTCACGCATGCTTTTGCACCGACCATTCAGCAGTGCCACCGTAGCGGCTTGTCCGGCACGGCAACCTGCGTGAGGTGCTACGTGTCCGGGAGGGCTAGGTGCGCAACAGCGCGCAGCAGGCAGGTACCGCCACCTCTGACGTCTGGAAGCTGCTGGCGGTGTCGCCAGAGATGTGACCTGCTGTCATGGCAAACACTGTACGGCACCGCTACGACAGATCTGTTGTACACATGCCGCTTCTGCAGACCCTATCTGTCCTGGTTCCATCGCCTGGGGACAGATGGTGCGTCTAACCACCGTCCTTGCTACCTCTGCACCCATCCAGGCGGCGTGAGCATTGCGAGCTAGGAGGAGTGTACATCCCCGCCCGGCATATACACAATGAGAAGCCATATCCATGTCGCATAATTTACAACGAAGGGTTGAGCCGCATGCAACCCTGCATGCAGCTGTAGGCTACGTACATACCATCGTGACCCTGACACGTAAACCCCCGCTCGCTCACGGCAGTTCAGCAAGCCTCCCTGCGTGCCTAACTCACCAGCACCCCGCTATAGCTCGGATGGAAGAGATGCCAAACAGGCCACTAAGGCCATTCCCCTATCTATCAATCAAATAACCATCACATCCCACGATACTACGCAAGTAAGCACACGGGACGGTACGGATGGACCCATGCAAGTGCATTCACTGCTGACATGTAAGCAACAACAGGCCCTAGTTGCAGGGCAAGACTATCTAACCTAGTACAGGTCACACTCTATGTACTGCTAGCTGTGTGAGGCTGCTGCCCTTGCTAATTACGCACGCCGCACGCTCAAGTGGGTGCTGCCGGATACACGCCAAGGCATCATCATGCCTCCATCAGAGCCTGCCGCCAGTCGAAGCAGCTGTCCTCCTCTCCCGCAGCACGCTTGGCGGCGCTGATGGCGGCGCATGAGGCCGCTGCGTTGAAGCAGTTCATTCCCCGGAGGTTCAGCCGCTCGCCAGTGGTGGGTGCCGCACACTCGAACGACACCTGGAAGTCTGAGTCATACGGCAAGCCGAACAGGCACTTGACCCGTGCACGGAACTCCGCCAGTCCCTCGACGCCCGGCTTGACGGGGACCTTGTGGTACTGCGCAGCCAGAGGTAAAGGGTGGGGCACAAAGAGTAAGTAAGACGGTAGCTAGCCCAGGTGTTCCGCCGTTGTTGATAGCAGGCATGCATGCACGAACAAAGGGAGGGTTGGCCCTTCCTTACTTCATCATCCTTTGCTTGTCCCAATTCTGTCCGCAACACTCACCACTCCATTGCAAATGACAGCCATGTAGGGGGTGATCTGCTGCGCCGAGTCACGCAGATGCTTGGGTGTCAGCATGTCCTCCAGGGCCGGGAGCAGTTGGTCACAGAAGCGGCAGCGGGACTCCTCACTGCAGTTTGTGGAATGAAGGAAATGGCGTAAGGTGCCTGATGTCATACCGGTAAGTGTCGCTGTACACAGCTAGCATGGTGAATGTTCCATACACGGCGGGGTTCATACACATCCTTACTTCAGGTCCTTGACACGACCCCCAACCACTTGCCTGCGACCGGCGCTTTGCAGTTGCCAGCGCCCCAGGCAGGCACGGTGCACAAATCGGGGGCATGCGCAGGGACGCTCGAGCTGCCCAGCCTCGGAGCCAGAAAGGCAGATCCAGCAGCAATCTCCGGAGGCAGCCATGGTTGAGGGTTGGCTCGACGAACGAACAGCAGTTGAGATTTGTTGTTGCGAATTCCACACGTTTCTAGTTACCAAAGCTTCTAATACTGTTGAAATTGTATGTTTCTATAGCGCTGGGGTGTCGACTTTATGTTTGGGCGCTCGACGTACAAGTCGCCTCGCGGGTCATTTCGCGGTCAATTGTCAATCGGCGACAGACGCGACACCGCTCAGCAGCGCGCGGCAAGCCCGTTCCTGTCAGCAGCAATTGACCATGTTTCCCCTTAATATTACAGGACATGCTGTCTTGCGAAGCCTCTATGTTAACGGGCATGTCGGCCAGCATGATGCTGAGTCAGCCGTCGCCATCCTCCAAGTAGCACTCCAAGTACGCTTGTCATTGCCGCGGGGCTACCCATACCCAGTAGCTATAGGACTCGTCGCTTTACGGTATGCGCGCGCGCCTTCATAGCGTTGAGTTTCTGTGATCGTTGTTCCTGCAGACTGCTGTTCATCAACGCACAGTGCAATGCGCGGCTGGGTAGCTAGGACGACTTATGCCAAAGAATGCTTCCTGGCGGCAGTGAACCAGTGCACGCACGCCTACCCTGCTGGCCCCGTTCAGGGTCCGCCGGCAGAAGGCGTGTTAGCTGGGGGATCTCTGCACGCATGCATGGCGGTTGCAGGCTCTGCTTGTTGTGCTCCACGTACCCTGCTGCACCATGTCACCGTGACATGCAAGCCACGTGCTCGGGCATGGCTGTGGCTGGCGGGTTCCAGATCCGTACGTACGCAGGTGCGGGGGGCTTATGCATGGACTGATCCCCAGGCCTACATATACTTTGCGTCAGCCTCTGACTCCATCACATGGTGGCGGTGTCGAGCTGAGTCCGTAATCTTGCCGATCGCGGGGTTGCATGCTCGATTCCAGCTGCCAGCGAACTATGCTGGGGGGTGTCGCGGCCCCCTGTCACCCGAGCGGGGGCTGATGGTCGGAAGTTCCGCATGATCCTGCCGGTCTAGTTCGCCTGCGTCGATGGTGTGTCCTCTCTGAGCCTACAGTCGACAGCGGCACCTGCCTGATGGGAGGTTGTCGTGGTTGATGATTAGCCCGGTAATGCGTGAGGCAGGAAACTGAGCAGCGAAAACGGGCAGCTGCGGGCGGCAGAAGGATAGCATACCTGAGTGGGCGGCTAGGCCACCCGGCAGGTCCTCTGCGGGGCGACCAGCTGTTTTGCAACAGTCACGCATGCTTTTGCACCGACCATTCAGCAGTGCCACCGTAGCGGCTTGTCCGGCACGGCAACCTGCGTGAGGTGCTACGTGTCCGGGAGGGCTAGGTGCGCAACAGCGCGCAGCAGGCAGGTACCGCCACCCCTGACGTCTGGAAGCTGCTGGCGGTGTCGCCAGAGATGCGACCTGCTGTCATGGCAAACACTGTACGGCACTGCTACGACAGATCTGTTGTACACATGCCGCTTCTGCAGACCCTATCTGTCCTGGTTCCATCGCCTGGGGACAGATGGTGCGCCTAACCACCGTCCTTGCTACCTCTGCACCCATCCAGGCGGCGTGAGCATTGCGAGCTAGGAGGAGTGTACATCCCCGCCCGGCATATACACAATGAGAAGCCATATCCATGTCGCATAATTTACAACGAAGGGTTGAGCCGCATGCAACCCTGCATGCAGCTGTAGGCTACGTACATACCATCGTGACCCTGACACGTAAACCCCCGCTCGCTCACGGCAGTTAAGCAAGCCTCCCTGCGTGCCTAACTCACCAGCACCCCGCTATAGCTCGGATGGAAGAGATGCCAAACAGGCCACTAAGGCCATTCCCCTATCTATCAATCAAATAACCAGCACATCCCACGATACTACGCAAGTAAGCGCACGGGACGGTACGGATGGACCCATGCAAGTGCATTCACTGCTGACATGTAAGCAACAACAGGCCCTAGTTGCAGGGCAAGACTATCTAACCTAGTACAGGTCACACTCTATGTACTGCTAGCTGTGTGAGGCTGCTGCCCTTGCTAATTACGCACGCCGCACGCTCAAGTGGGTGCTGCCGGATACACGCCAAGGCATCATCATGCCTCCATCAGAGCCTGCCGCCAGTCGAAGCAGCTGTCCTCCTCTCCCGCAGCACGCTTGGCGGCGCTGATGGCGGCGCATGAGGCCGCTGCGTTGAAGCAGTTCATTCCCCGGAGGTTCAGCCGCTCGCCAGTGGTGGGTGCCGCACACTCGAACGACACCTGGAAGTCTGAGTCATACGGCAAGCCGAACAGGCA